GGGGCGGCACAGACCAGACCGAGAACCATGGCAAGTAAAGCAAAAGCAAAAGAAGTCTTCATGATAAAATATTGACTGAAGTGAATGATGATTGAATAGACAGATGATTGGAATAAATTTACGGAAAACAATGTCCAGTATTTATAGTAAATTTAGCTTAGATATTAAGAAATATGGCTCTTTTTTTTCTTTAAAAAAAAGCTCTTTGGCTTATTGATTCATTTTATTTACTTTTACTAGCTTTTAGATGTTGTCTTTAATGGAAGTTTCAGCCTAGTATTTTGATATCATTCTCATTTTTCTAGAGACAATGGAATTCCGGGAGTTTCGAAAAGCCTGATTCCTCATTTATTTCTATAGAGTCTAGCTCACAGCTGTTTTAAAGCCCCATTTACTTTATATATATATATATATGAATATGATCTTCTTTCGGTTATAAAAAAGCAACTTTTGGCTCAAAAGAGTTATACAAGAAGAGCAGTACAAATAAGTAAATTTGAGAAAATGTGGAGTCCTTAGAAGGCCTCAGCCTTTTTATGGGCATGCATAGAGGATTGATAACTAAAGCCACTTTGTGGTACCGAAAAAGTCAATTTATTCTGAACCATTGTTCTAAACCCCATTTGACATTCAGTACATCAAAAATGCTTAATTCTTGATTGGCAGACATATGGGTAAAAAATAAACATTAGCGGGTGTACATACTGCCAAGTTAAATACTTCCATTAATTACTTAATTTGTAAATGGATTCTGTATTTTCTAAATTTAGTAGACTACATATTCAAAGTAATTTTTGTTTTATTTAAATTTACTCATTTGAGAGATTTTTTTTTGTTAGAATAATACAAGGCGCAATCATTTTTTGTGAAATTATTATATAATTAGGTATATTTTTTAAAGAAACTCTAATATTAAATGGTATACATATTAAATCAATGTTGTCCTGTAGTATAGTTTATGTATATATGTATGGGTGTATGTGTAATGTACATAGAAGGCTATAAAATACTGTTATCCAATACATAGATCTTTCCAGCACTCAAGATGAAATATTTAATAATAAATTAAATCGACTATTTGCTCTCTTGATATATATTACACTCTATTCATCAGAGTTTAACACTTATATTATTTAATTATTAAATGTTTGCTTTATATAATTTGCATCTTGTATACAGTTGTTTTTAACTTAATATCGATATTCTTCAACATATAATATTAAAAAATTATTATCTACTCTGAGGTATTCGGGATTGTTTATGGGCTAGTATCTCAAGAATGGGAAAAGTAGATACTGTGAGAGTGTTATTTATTAAGAGCATCCACTGGTATGTGTAACTAAAATAATTACGTAAAATAAAAAAGCCGCATTTAAAAGAGATAATTTAGACCATCCACAGCGGTCTGGGTAAAATTAGCAGTGTATGTAAAAAAGCCCTGGATGTTTTTGTGAATTGTTAAATTTAAAAAGCCGGTAATTATTATTGAGAAATAATCAGTTAAAACTTTTAGTTAAGCAAACCGCTGGGGATGAAAAAATCTAAATTTCCTGTCTAAATTAACATTCTTGTTAAATTTACACAGACCGCTGTGGATGCTCTTAAAATCCCTGTAATTCAAATCCCTGTTGTGTAATGGTTGGTTAACACTGTATGAGTGTGTAGTGTACATGTGTCTGGCGTGTAACAGTTCCGGAGATTGTTAAATTGCCGGATTCATTAGCAAGAAGGAACCAGTGTTTGGTTGTGGGGTCTGTTCTTCACTCAATTGTGGTGTGTATACCACATACTCGATTCAACCTGTTTTAATTTGCTTTAAATTGGGTAGAATAAATCGAAGCCTGGTTAAAAAAAACTTTTTTTATGCTAGAAATTGTACTTTGTTTTGATATATATATATAAAGGATATAAATGGCCTTTATATATTGAGAAGCTATTTGAAATGACACCTAGGAACAATTACTGGCGCGAGTTCGATTTAATACTGTATATTAATATTAACTTGGCAGTATGTACACCCGCTAATGTTTATTTTTTACCCATATGTCTGCCAATCAAGAATTAAGCATTTTTGATGTACTGAATGTCAAATGGGGTTTAGAACAATGGTTCAGAATAAATTGACTTTTTCGGTACCACAAAGTGGCTTTAGTTATCAATCCTCTATGCATGCCCATAAAAAGGCTGAGGCCTTCTAAGGACTCCACATTTTCTCAAATTTACTTATTTGTACTGCTCTTCTTGTATAACTCTTTTGAGCCAAAAGTTGCTTTTTTATAACCGAAAGAAGATCATATTCATATATATATATATATATATATAAAGTAAATGGGGCTTTAAAACAGCTGTGAGCTAGACTCTATAGAAATAAATGAGGAATCAGGCTTTTCGAAACTCCCGGAATTCCATTGTCTCTAGAAAAATGAGAATGATGTCAAAATACTAGGCTGAAACTTCCATTAAAGACAACCTCTAAAAGCTAGTAAAAGTAAATAAAATGAATCAATAAGCCAAAGAGCTTTTTTTTAAAGAAAAAAAAAGAGCCATATTTCTTAATATCTAAGCTAAATTTACTATAAATACTGGACATTGTTTTCCGTAAATTTATTCCAATCATCTGTCTATTCAATCATCATTCACTTCAGTCAATATTTTATCATGAAGACTTCTTTTGCTTTTGCTTTACTTGCCATGGTTCTCGGTCTGGTCTGTGCCGCCCCTACAGGAAATCCCGAATTTGAGAATATCAACTGCTTCTCTCTCACATATCCCGTCAATGGCACTGTATGGAACAGCTCCGGAACTTACGAAGCTCTCTGGGATCTTACTGGAACATGCTCTGGTACATACTATGCTTTCATAATCCCTGCAACTGAAGAGTCCAACGGCGACTATACCTTTGGAACTCCTTATCAGGCATCTGATTCAATTGATCTTAATGCTGGAATGGCTTCTATTACTCTCGATTCGAGCGAGCCAGCTGGAAAATATGTATTTGGTATCATCAAAGATACAGGAGATGATATGGACTACACCGATGTGGCACTTGTTGATATTGTTTGATAGATTTAGATTTAGATTTATATTCTTAGATCTTTATTTTCTAGTCTAAAGCAAGCTTGATAAATCAAATAAAAATGAATTTATAAAAAGAACTATTGTGTTGCTCCACCCTATACCTAAGATCAAGTTTAAAGAACCTTGACAATACATATATACTATCCTTTTGAAGTATAAGGAGATGCTTTATTATAGTGCCGTATGCCATGTTCTTATAAGCTACAATTAAAATATTATAGATATATGTATATATATTACTTATATTAGTCTCACAATATACATTATCAAAACCAAGATCACGAGATAGTAGTTAATATTTAATTGTCATATAAAAGCAAACAAACAAAGACATGGCAATTTAATAGCACGGGAAACAGAAACAGTTGTTTTAGTAGTTTGCACATATATGTATATCAAATCAAAACTACATCTGACATCTTTAAAAAAAAATATCTAAATACAAATAGTCTTAGAATAAAATCTTGAATACAAATTAATGGCATGAATATTGTGGTATACACAGCACAATTGAGTGGAGAGCAGCCTCCACGACCAAACACTGGTTTCTTCTTGCTAATGAACCTGGCAAGTTAACAATTTCCGGAACTGTTACATATCAGGTACATGTACACTACACACTTATACAGTGTAAACCAACCATTACACAACAGGGATTTGAATTATAGGGATTTTAATAATAACGGATATAAACAATATTATTTTGTCTTTTTAATAAATAGCACTCTCACAGTATCCACTTTTTCATATATTGAGATACTAACCCCAAAATCAATCCCGAACACTTCAAATATTATTTCCGGCTCTACTTTATATAAAATGAAAATATATGATATGAAGCTTGGTCAATATTTATGTAAATTATGAAGCTAGTATATGCTATTTTTAACGACATCCATGATATATTTTGGATATTTAATTAGCTTAAAGTAAAAGCCAAGATTGTGGGAGTAGTCTCGAAAAAAAAAATAACTCATAAAAAGTGCTAGCATGATTAGACAGCTAGTCCAAAATGTCGAGACCAGAAAACAGTAAATTTTACATAGCTGTATATTCTAAAATTAATATAATAAAACAATATACTTATTTATTCTCTTTAAAAATCACCTTGGTACATTCAACTATTGGTATAACCTCATTTCAATATAACTCAACCTTGAACTCAAAATTCCGCCACCTACCGCACTGTGATAATTCAGATAATGTACATTTATACTTTTTGCTTTTTTATTTATTACTTCGTATCGCTTTGAAATAATTTTGGGTCTCTTTTGTGTCTACTTGTACAAGCAAAAGAAAAAACAAATCCCTTTGTACGCTCGAATAAAAAGCGCACAGACCAGCTTAGAGTAACCTACGAATCGCCGTTATAGAAACTTGTACTCCACTTTAAGAGTTATTGCTACACCGATCAAAACTAAACCATTCGTCTCTTTTTACTTCTTTACTTCTTTGCTTCACTTTACTTTGCAAAGATATTTTGCACAAATGTTTTAGTTAAATTTTATAAGCTTCTACTACTGTCATAGAATAGTTACACAATCCTACTAAAAAAGAGTATACAGCTATGTCACTGCTCTGACGTGGGAGGCAAAAAACACCCCTGGCAAAAAAAAGCGCAGTCCCAAACTTTAGTCGCAGACTGCGGGTATATCAAAATAAAGCCCATTCAACCGACACGGTTTTCTTCTCTTTAGCTTTTTTTATACTCTGGAGACGGGTACCCCCTGATTGCCTGTAGTTGAGTTTGACGCGCTACCTATGGGTCGATTGGGAGACATTCTTTTTCCATTCTGTGCAGGAAAAAGCGGAAGTGCGTCGTCTCTAGCTTCTTGGTTAATTCTTAGAGGCGCAGATCAACATTGTTCTGAATTGTGAATTTAATTGTATAATTTCTGAAACAATGGCGACGAGCAATGTTTAAAAAAAGCTGCCGCCGAGTTAGCATCATGAAAGTTTATTGAGTGGAGGACGGGGAGGAAGTGGAGTTTACTGCCGACTCTTCATGAAATCCTTGTTCGAAGCTCTTTGGAACTGACGGTGTTGCTTGGTAGTCGAACACGCTGGACCCTGCTACTTTGTGGTAGGTTTCTCTGGTACGTTCGCAGGCCCTTCTCAGTGATGAGATAGGGCAGTTGGGATGAACCCGGTTGTTGTCTTACGCCACGGATTAACACCATTCCCACACCTCCTTCGCTACCAAGTCAGGTTTACGTCCTGAGGGAGATTGAGCCGCGTAATGCGGGGACAAAGAACTTGGTGTCATGCTTTTTATTTTTTTACTCATGTAAAAAAACATTAAGTGAAATCATATAAAATAAAATAGCTTCTTTATGTATATCTTTAATAAATAAATAAAATATTTTTTAAACTGTTGTTGACTAATAAAAAAATACGCGTTCAAACTTTTTTTTTACTTGATTGAAGAGGTTAATGTTGTAATTAGGAAGTCTCATTAATAAGAAAAATTAATCTAGTTAAATAAATCTGAAGATAAATATAATACAATACAATATAATATGGGTATTCTTATCATTGTGTTGATTACCGTGTTTGATTTTATGGGTCGTTTTTATCTATAAAGTTCATTAAGAAAACTCAAAATAATTTTTGAGAATAGCAATGGCGTGAAACTTATAACTGAATTTGGCTAATCTGCATGGAGATTGTAAAGGAGATGCATTGGAATGAGAGAGATGGAAAGGTATAAAAAATGCGTGTCTGAAAGAAAGACAGAAAAGTCGTGGCGAGGTGTATACACAAGTAAACGTGCTCATTGTATTTACACAGACTGTGCACAAAAAAATCGATTTGGGTGTATTTAAGAAGTAAGCATCATTACCTACAAGTCTTTTTATATTACAGGCTTTAAAGATAATTTGACAGACATAAAGTATAAAGTACCAATATGTAGATGTCATAAAATAGCCACGTTTTCATATTGGATTGCATAGAGCAGAGTAGAGTGTTGGTATATACCGGTTATTACAGCTGATTCATTGATATTGTTGATTTGTATGCTGGTTTTTTTGTTTTGTTTAGGTCCTGGTGCTCAAAAGATACTCTGCTTTTGCTATTTTAATATTTTTAATTTTCTTTAAACGTCCACCAGAATTTATCTACTTTCTTACCTAATTTTAAAGAGATTGAGAAAGATATTTTCTATCAAGAAAGGAAAACTACTAATCTTGATTGATAGATAAAACTCCTTGTGAATCTTGTTATATTCGAACTATCTGACAAAAGTCATTTCTGATAGTGTTTCAACCTGTTTAAAAATCCTCTAATTTCGGTAATTATTCCTGAAAATCGCATTATATTGCACTAAGAGTGCCCTCACAACCCTCTTAGTATCAACAAGCTCTTCTATCAAGTTAACAACCATTACATCCCTCTGCAACCTTTTTTCTTTTGTTCTTTTCTCCTGCCATTCATGCTCAATGATCTCCTGTGTTCTCCTTTCTCCCCTAGCATGTCACATAGATTCTTACCATCTTTCCTGACGTGTTATGCCCCATTTATTATGAAGAAAAGGAAACGAGTTCCCATTTTCTGTTCATTTTTCCTCCCAGGCTCTCTGTGTGAGCTAATTTTTGCTTATTTCATTTTGGAAACATGTCCTCCATACAAGACATTCATTCCATTCTTTCCCTCCTGTTTCCCACCAGTTGTCCCTCCGAACACTCCTGTTGTTTCTCTCATCAGCTGTACACTCTTAACAGCCTGACACCATCCCTAAACCTTTGTATTTTAAGATATTCCATTTCCGAGTACCTCTGTTTTTGTCTCTGCAGCTTTTCTTGTCGCCTATTTTTACTAAGAGCTTTATTTGCCTCTTCTTGCCAAGTACACTCACTCATATAATATATAAGTTAAAATATCCTAACAGCAATAGAGAATAAATCTCAAAAGCAGGATTGGGCACTCCTTTTCATCTTAGAACTTATATATCAATAAAAACCCTTTGGGTTTCAGCATCCTTACAAAAAAAAACATATATTGTACTAAAAAGATAAATCTTGCAGCCCGCACATAAACTAATTCAAAACGCAAATACCTTTTGAAAATTTCAGTATTAGTGACCTGACATTTTGTGCAACTTATTAATGACTATTTTTTTGTAGCTATTAAGATTTTATATGTCAGGATAGATTTTTCTTATGTGCTGGATTGATTTGAGTCTAGAATAATCGGTTCGAGTTAATTGAGTTATTTGGTGCCACAAAGTGGCTTTAATGATCAATCCTTATGCATACCCATAAAAAGGCTGAGGCCTTCTAAGGACTCCACATTTTCTCTATTTTCCTTATTTGTAGTGATCTTCTCCTATAACCCTTTTGAGCCAAAAGCCACTTTGTTGTAAACCAAGGAAGAGGATATGCATATATAAATATAAAGTAAATGGGGCTTTCAAATAAAATATCATTTTACTGCTCTTTGCGAATAAACCTAAATCTATACTTTTCTAAATTAACTTCATTCTGTTGTCTCTATTAAAGCAAAACAAAAGCAATAACGTCAAGAAAATAGGCTGAAACTCCAATTAATAGCGACCTCTAAGAACTACTAGAATAAAATAAGATGGGGATAAGCCAAATAGGAAATTAAAAAAAGAAAGATCTTTTAAGAGCTAAACAAATATTTAATATAAATACTAGGCATTGTTTCCCATCAATTTATTCCAATCATCATTCTATTCAATCTTCATCTGTTATCAATCAATTTCTCATTATGAAGTCTTCTTTTGCCTTTGTTCTGCTTGCCATGGTTCTCGGTCTGGTCTGTGCCGCTCCTATGCCTACTAACGACGGTGAAAATCATAACTGCTTCTCTCTCACATACCCCGTCAATGGCACTGTATGGAACAGCTATGGAACTTATGAGGTTCTCTGGGACGTCACTGGAACATGTCATGATACATACTACGCTTACATGATCTCTGCAGTTGAAAATGAAGATGGCGAATATGCTTTGAGCAATCCTCAAAAGGCCCCTGAACCTGTTGATCTCACCCTTGGCAAGAATTACATTACTCTTAATTTGAACGAGCCAGCTGGAACTTATGTATTTACTATCAGCAAAGAGTCAGGAGAAGATATCGATTACACTGATCTTGCAGTTATCACGGTTGTTTAGTGGACTTGGATCTCCTTTTTCTTTTCCTTTTTCTTTTAATTCAAAGTGAACTTGATACTATAATAAATAAAATTAAATTTTTCAAAATAAATATTGGGATTTATAATTTCATGATTTGAACTTAACCTAAATATTTGACATATATATATATATATATTATTATATCTGTAAAGTATAGTAAGATCATTTATTACAGAGAGACTTACTGCACTATTAAGGGATACAATTGATAAATTATGTATATAAAAGTGTATTGGGCTGAACAATGGCACAAATTTTAATTCAGTTAAAGAAGATATAGACTTATAAATCACAGTTGTAAATTTTAAAAAGAAACATTAGAAAGTATGTACTTTTTCAGTAAAATATACTTAGTTATCTATCTATCTATTAGCACATTAGAAATTTGCATTCCATAATATTCTTTCTCTCAACTGGTGTGTGTTAACTTGAACTTTTAAGCTTTGAAATAATATAATCAATAAATAGATTATTGTATGAAACAAAATGAGGGGTAGGAGAGGTAGTCAAATTGCAAGCTTTTTGAATAAATCTAGTAATACTAATTTGACAGTTTGTGAAACTTATTTGCACTTGCTTTAACTAAAGAAATTTACACTACCCATGATGTAATATCCCTTGATTTAATTATTTATTTATTTATGTTTGGCTTTATTCTTTTCTTTCTTTCTGATGTACTAAATAGCTCATTGAGCTTAGAGAGATATATTTGAATTGAATAAAATCATTTGGTGCCACGGAGTAACTTTATAAATTGATTCTTTGTGCGCATTAAAAGAGGCTGTGTAATAGGTGAGGGCCTGAACATTTATCTAATGTCCTTGTTTGGACTTTAAATCACTTGAAATCATGATGAGTTAAAAGTCACCTTACTTCAGCTCAAATAAGAGTAAATGTGCACTCATACATTTACATATATAAGAGAAGTGGGGCTTTCGACTGTGATTATATTACACTACCTGTGTAAATAAACCGGAACTTCCGCCTCCTTCCATCTTTCTCTCTTTCTGTCTTATTCTTCTTTTTAAAATAGATATTTTTTGTATGTTTTCTGGTATACAAGGTTACGAAATTAGGCTGAGACATTGAAAGAAGAAAATAAAGGAACGAAAAATATAAAGCTTAATAAAAAGAAAGGTAGAGATAAAAATACGGTCATATGGCTTGTCAAGTTAAAGAAGGAATCAAAGATGTTTTTTTTCTAAAAAAGACTAGGACATAATCTACTATAAATACCATGTATTTCTTCTGTCAGTTTACTTTCAATTATTCTTCTACTCGATATATATTCTCTCTTCTTACCATGAAGCTCTCTTTTGTACTTGTCATGATTTCTATGGTTCTCGGACTGGTCTGTGCTGCTCCACTATCTTCTGATGATAAAGAAAACTGTGTTGTCCTTACTCATCCTACCAACGGTACCGTCTGGTACGCTAGTGGAAGCTACTTGGTTTCATGGAATCTCAGAAAACACTGCTATGGAACTTATTACACATACATGATCCCAGCAACTGAACAAGAAAATGGCGAGTATGCTTTTGGAGTACCTTACAAGTCTCCCGAGCCAGTTGATATCAATTCGGGAATGGGTACCATAGATCTTGCTGACCACGTAACTCCCGGTAGTTATGCCTTTGCCGTCGCCAAATATGATGGAGAAGGCATGGACTATAATGATTTTGCGCTTGTCAATCTTGCCTACATTTAATATATTTATCTCCCTTTCCTTCTCTTTTTCTCTTTGTTTTTTTTTTGTTTCTTTCATTTTTTTCTCAACTAAAATCAAATCGATTTTTTAAAAAAATGAATAAATGCATTAAAATAAATACTGTATTTTTTTCTTACTTTATACTTTATATTAAATGTCAATGCTTGTGAACAATATATATATATATAAGCACACTATTAATAGATCAAAGAAAAGCAGTTGTTACTAAGCAACATATTACCTCCATGCATATATATATAGTATTTATATACTCGTAGAAATTACAACCAAATACTACTAATCGTCTGTGAGATTTTCAGAGTTAATAAACAAGAGCCTGGTGTCTGTTTCAATATATCGGTCTGTTAAAAGAATAATTGACAAGAATAAAATCTGAATAATACTTTCTGTTAATATTATGGAAGCTGAATACTATATGTCTTTACTTCTTTCTAAAATAAACTTCTATTAGACCAAATAATAGTGTGAATAGTATTTCCTAATGGCTTAGATTCTTAATTCTCATCTACTGTAATTCCTTACGCTAAAATTATCTTGGTAACCTCTCAAAGCATAATATATTTAAGGGGAGTTATTTGGGTGAACACCAATATAACAATAATAATACTAAAGTAAAAGCATGTCTATAATACACTTTTATTTTATTATATTGCTATAGGTAGTGTATTTGTGTGACAAAAACTCTGATTAATATGGAATAGAAATGATGAGCAGAACGTATATTATTCTTGACAGCTTCTCTAATTCTTATAAAATATAATTTTAATTTTGTATTGGGATTTTCAAAAAAAATTAAATAAAAAATCTCCAGCCACAATATATGTGCACCTGTAGAATTGGGTTGTTTCATTTTCAATTTTTTTTTATTTCTTCTTTTGTACCAATATAACTTTTGTCATTTAATTATATTTTATTAGCAGATACTCTTTTATCAATGTACTTTAAGCCATGTTTAAACATAATCTTTTCATTGTTTTGAGCACCAATTTTAATTGTCTCAATGTCTTTTGAGAAATTTGGGTAATGTTGTTATTTTCTGGTAAATCAAAGACACTCCTTAACTATAGATAGCCTAAAACGTCTTGAATAGGGCTTAATTAAAGAAAGAGAGAGAAACTGCAATAATTACTACAAATATATGTTGTCTCTATCGTTCCATAAGCTCAAACTACTTTTATAATGTTTGCTTTTAAAGAGATCAAAAGAAGGAATTGATAAGCACCTCTAACTGCACCTTACTTGGTTTTAGAGTAAAGAGTAAGAGAAAAAAAAAAAGAAAAGTAGAAATAAAAGAAAAATCCATGTACGGTAGCACAAGGTGGCTTCAGAAACTAATGTCTTCATACTCACTAAAAAGAAGAAGAAAAAAAAGCGGGCTGTGAGATGGACAAGAGGTCCAATTTTTCTTTGGCTGGTGCTTGTATGGAAGCCACTTTTTTATTACTATTGCTACTGCTATTATTGTCATAGTGGTCATTACTTTCTTTCTTTTTTTTTTTTTAAAAAAAAAAAGAAAACTCGAAAAATAATCCCCACAATATGAACATGACCTTTGATTATAAGCATTTCACAATTCTCTACATCTATAGATTTGATTTCTTTGTTTTTTAATATATATATATATACATATACATATACATATTCTATTGCTTATTTCAAAGGATATTGATACTAAGCCTAATTACTATAAAAAGAAATAGAAAGAAAGAAAAATATGGTGTATTGCAAAAATCAGTAAAGTGTGATGGAACTGGTTTGCAAAATCAAAAGCAAGGGAGATACAAAGATGAGTCCTTGATATCTATAATACATCTCATTATAAATACCATTTATTTATTATCAATTTTATTTACTTACTTATATTTGAGTCAGTTTTCTCTATCTCTCTATCTCTTCTCTCTTTTTTTATTATTATTTTGTTCTCGTCATTCCGATTATCTTGTCTTCGTCTTTGTCTTGGTTCTCATTCTATCACTTATCTATCTCGTTTACTATGAAATTCTCTTTTGCCTTTGTTCTGATTTCTCTGGTTTTCGGTCTCGGTTTCGATCTCGATCTTGTCTCAGCAGCTCCCCCGTCTTCCACTGTTCCTACATATAATCCTGCCGTCTCGGGTGAAAATTGTTTTTCTCTCACAAACCCTGTTAATGGCACGGTCTGGGATAGCTACGGAACATATGCTGTCAGTTGGGATGTCAAGGGAGAATGCCAGGGTGACTACTACGTCTACATGCTCTCAGTGAGCACAGATACGGATGGACAGATTTCCTTGGGACATGCCCAGCACTCTACTTTGACTGTTGATCTGGCATCCGGTGGAGCCGTTGTAAATCTTTCTCAGGATGAACACGCTGGTGATTATGTGTTTGCCATCAGCACAGATACTGCAGAAGGCTTGGACTATAATGATTATGCGTTTGTTAAGGTTATATAAAGCCAAACAAAGATCATATTGTATGTATCCATACATATATACACACATATGTATGTATATGTACATGTATTCTTTTTTCTTAAAAAAAGTGTGTTTTATAAGTCTACATACAAAACAGACTATCCTTTTACTTATATATACAATAAATAAATATTTAATTACTTACTTAACGATTCAGTGCAGTATGTGTAATAAAATGGGTAGTAGATCAGATAACATCTTTACTACCGATACTCTGGAAATTTCCAAAATACACACAAGTAGCTTTCAAGAAACCCGATAATCTTACTATCGTTTACTATTTATTTAATCTATTCGGTAGATTTAATATAAGCCCTCCCCACCTTCGCCCACCTAATCCCACCAGATGGCTCTGATCATCCGACAAAGGTAAAACCAGGTATGACAAATTTTAGTGTACACAAATTCTGTGGCTGTTTTGGTGTCTAGTAGTAACAGAACACAAACTATGGCTGTGATTCTGATTCTGATAATGATTATGATGTCAGTAATAAATAGCGAAAGAGAAATACATAAAGACAAAGGCAGAAGAGGTTTACGCTAATGTAGTATTTGTTAAACGCCTATCGGATATATATATGTATTTACATGATTCGAGCAATACCTTTTTTTTTCCGGTTTTATGTTTCAAATGACACAAGTACTTTACGGGCTACATTTACGTTATTCATAAAAAAGTTATCAAGCTATGTCTTCAAAGCCAAAAATAAAAAATCAAAATCAAAATCAAAAGCAAGACAAAGGAATGGCACCGCGGATAAGTAGAATGGGTGACCTGGTGGCCTGGTGAGTCGTGTAGCCATTGTAGCCGATATTTAATTCAATTTTATAATATTATCATTATTTTAGATTTTTGTGCTTCTTTCTATATCCATTTCTCTATCTCTCTATCTCTGTCTATTTCTTTCTGCATATTCTTTTTCTTTTTTCTTGTCTTTCTTCACTTGTATATAAATACAGCTTATAATTTGTTGTCTACCTTTAACATTAATAGGTTTTATTTTATTTTATTTAAATAAATAAATATATATATATACTGGTACAAATCAAAATCAATATAATAGAAGAGGAACATTTGATATCATTTACTTTTTTATTTTTCTGTTTTCTGAGTATTTAATTACTCACGATTAAAAAAAAGCAAAACCTTATATATAAGCATGCTAATACTTACTGCCTATAATTAGTTGTTAGGCTACCGAGGAGATTTAATTTTTTTGTAGGTGGGATACGTGAAGCCTAGCAACTACAGTTTCTTTTAAAGAAAGAAAGATAACCTGTATAATCATTCTGTTTACTAGAGAAAGAGAGAGAAAGAGAAAATTAATTAATAGGAGAGTTATATATAACAATTGATTGTTGATTATATAAAGAATTAGGTAACGGAAGAACAAAAAAAAAAGGGGAGGAATCAGGATACTAAAAAGTGGGTTTGAATCATAAACCTGGTTTTCTTTTTATCTAATAATTTCTCCGTCAAGAATATATATATATATATATATATATATTAGGTGTTCTTTGTGATTGTGCGTGTGTGTGTAAAGAGGCTCAGTTTGAACACAAGATGGCTGAAGAGAAACACAACAAAGAGAGTTATGTATTGTTAATATTCCTTCATTTGAAATATGTATGCTCTCTTTTAAAGTGTTTCTTGAATAAAGAAGAAGAAATATAGAGAATTTGGTGATGGAGACAGCTATCAAAAGAATATTAGTATAATTATTATTATTATTTTGCACATTGAATAAAATATAAATATTTTATATACATGAGCATGTAAAGAGTCTTGCTAATTTTAAATACGATTTCTTTTTTTTTCTTAGATAACTATAATTATAATGTATATACATACGATATATGAATGGTCGAATTTATCGCAGTGGATTCAAGTTACATTGCATTACAAAGGCACTTTTTATTAGTACCAGTCCAAAATAAAAGAAGAGCCAGAAATCCCACGGACACACGGATAAGCAAGAAATTATATTGTTGGAATAAAGATTTGTGCCTAGAATTTACCTTGTTTTCTTTTCCATTGATATTTATAATGTAAATAAATGAATTTACTCTACTATCTTACCCTGGTTGCAAGTCTAGAATAATTACAATTTGTATTCTGGTATAAATATAATTGAAACAAAAAAATGTCCTATTTTGGGTCAATAAAGATGGCAAAAGTGCTCTCTATTTAATGAGGCGCAAGATATAAAAAAAAATATGTCTATACTTTGCAAAAAATAAAACAGCGTTATTTTCTCAGAAATACATCCTTTTCTTTGTCCACCACCTTATCTTCTTGTCTTTTTTTTTTCGAAAGTTAAAGCAGTGATTAAAGCTCGAGATGGTTACATCATACAGTAGGTTTTACTTATTAATTTTTTCCTGAAGAATCTGACATAAAAAAATTTGAGCCGTTTATTTGGAATTTGAAATCAAGAAAGAAAAAGAAAAAAGAAGCCTGGCTGGCTGGCTGTGATTTTTCTGTGGTGGTAAGTGTACATCACTTTACAAACGACCAGCAGCGTTCAATTTCCTCAAAAGCCCAGTTAATCAATCTATTGACAACCTGCACCAATACCTATAAGCCCATGGGTGCGAAAACGATATCCTAGAATATGATAAGCAATTCATTTGACTTGATCCGGCTGGTGCTGACCGACGTTTAGTCAATAGCAGTGAAGCCTAAATACCCCCTCGACCACGAATGAACGTACACCTTTTGTTGGATCAATTATTCCACTTTTTTAAGTATCTCGCAACAACCATGCATTATGTGGACTGTTTGGGAAGTATATTATATCCACTGTCGTTTGGCTCTAACAAGGATCGCCTATGAGATGTGAGAGTTGGACTGTCAAACTGGATACCCTCAATATGCAAAAGTTATAAATATTGTTGTATAATATCAATCGCATCTTGATTGAATCCTCCGGGTAAAATACTTATGACTGCTTATAATACATGGCGAATCTAATGCTTATTCATAAAGTCAGGTTGATGGCTACAAAATAACTCTGCTGTCGACATTTGTCAGTCATGACGGTCTCTGGGCCTGTCTGTGAGAGTACTCTGCTCTTATCTCCAATCGTTATAATCAGTACAAATATTAGATTCAAGACTTTTGAACTACTCGCACGATTGATGGTAAACATCTAATGACATATATATGCCTAATAGAGTCATATTTCGCACAAATATTAAATAAGATATGTTTTCAAGAACAAGGCTTGGTGACAGAACAGCTTCATTGATGAACACGATAGCTGGGTCCATGTTCCCAAAGAGAAAATACCCTTTATGCTCACATAATTGCAAATCTATGCTTCTTCTTTTTTTTGAATAATATATATATAGTCGGTCCTTAACTCTGCATGGGATAGTTTTTGATAGTGTTTTCCTATAGTGCGATGTTACAAGAGAACCGATTACCCTGGATTGGGAATCATCTGAGATCAAAACTGCCTTTAAACATGTTACATGTCCGAAACCTAAGTAAAAACACTGTATTACAATCTATTCACAGTTTATTTTTATTTTTGCTCAGCATATATATATATATTTCTTGCGCCTCATTAAGTATAGAGCACTTCAAGGTAAAAAAAGTAAAAAAAAAAAAAAAAGAAAAAAGAAAAAGAAAAAATGTGCATATATTTTGTATCTCCTTTCTTTTGTCCAGTCAATTTATTATTATTAAAAAAAAAATATGCTTGTAAAAACATTGTCTCTCTTTGCACTTGGTTCAGTGACCTTGAACCTTGCTTATGCTGCACCACTACTCCAACAACAACAAAGCCTTGATGGTTCTAAACGATTGAAGGCTCAAAATACCCAGAAATGCTTTGAACTCACGTATCCTTTGAATGGCACGGTCTGGAATATAGACGGTGACGACGGCCATTCACACGATATCACCTGGAAGGTTGTTGGAGACTGTAGACCAGAAAATTATATCAATATCATTCCTGTGATTCAAGACACCGAAGATGGTTTGGTCAGTCTGGGGCTTGGAGACCCACAATATACCAGCCAATTACTCGATATCCAGTCAGGCAGGGCACGCATCAGTCTAGATGATCTGGAAGGAGAAGGAAGATATGTATTTGTAATTGGTCCATTATCAGAAGACTGGTCAGACTATGCAGATCTGGCGTACGTTGATGTTTATGAATGAATGTTTGGGATTTAAAGGCTTTGAATCTTTATTTTCTTATTGTTTTCTTGTTTATTCATTCCCTTTATGTTATGGTGGGCGGGTAAGTGAGGGTTTGGTTTATTTGTAATAAGCAAACAAAAAAAAACAAAAAAAATTATTGCATTACTAAAAAAGTTAAACCCTCTATTATTATTATATAATTAGATATACCCTGAATATCATGTACCTGTAAATTCTATATTTATCTATGTATCTTATGTATACTCTTTCCAATAAACTACCTTATGATCAAGAAACACATACACACAAATATATATATATATACAGTAATGATCAGATCATTAATTGATATGTTACCATAACTACCCACATCACACAAATGCTACCTATTTTCTTTTTAAAGTAAAAAGAAAGTAATAATAATTTATCACCATGGTAATAATGGTAATTATATCTGTGTGTATTGTATGCATATACGTTGTTGTTGTTTTTTTTTTACTGTTCGTCTGCACCAGGCTTCTCAGCACATAAGGTTAATCTAATGATATAAATATGTAATGTAATGTAAATAAATAAATAAATGAATGAATGAATACCTTGTGTATATTATATGCTGCTTAAAATCTTAAATATATATATATATATATATATATGTCTTTATCATCCTGTATTATTATTATTATTATTATTATTTTAAAAAAAAAAAGGCCTTTTATTTTTTTTTCTTTGTTCTTGTACGTTGTGTGCAAATGTACTTGCCCAGTCACGGTGTCAAAAGAAGTTGATATTCCAATACACTAAAATACAATACAATAAAACGCGCACATACGCATACGCATACGCATATGCATACACACAATAAGAAATAAATAAATAAATAAAAGCCATAGCAACAACAGGAATATTAATATTACTGTCAATATTATTTTTACATTTACAACAGACATACAAATCACATAAACACAGCCTTATATATTATTTTCTTTTCTTTTCTTTTCTTTTCTTTTCATTCTTTTTATATTGTGAATATGGAACAAAATGGTATCTACAAAGTCTACATTGAAGATGTCAGTACTTTTAGGATGATTATGTGGAGATGCAGACAATCGGGCTGTGATGAGATCTTGAGTCCGATTGTGGCTAGGGATCCCACTGGTAGTAGTGGGTCTAGTAAAGACGATCCGAGGTACTGCCGAAAGTGTCAACAAACTGTGACAAATCCGGTGGCAAGCTATTATGTTACGATGCTTGTTTGTGATATGGCCAAAGATAAACTGACAGAATATAAGCTCTATTCTGGTGCTGTCGAAACCCTGATTGGCTGTGAAGTAGACGAATTACTTGAAGCAAGTGTTTTTTTTTTATATATTAAAAAAAAAGACTCGATTAATTGAATTGAATTGAATTTATTATAAGATGATTGATGATGTTCCTGATTTATTGGAATTGTTAAGGATCGCTCTCAGGGGATCATTATGTGATATATTTCTACGGTCTGAAAAGGTAAAATTAAAAAAACCTATTGAAATCATTATTTATATAAACCTGTAATCTATTTTATTTTTGTAGAAGGATGAAGATGTTGTTAGCAGCATATACCTTCATGGAAGAAATGGTCTTCAAATGTTGTTCTTGAAGAATTGAAATATAAATATAAAAATTATTATTATTATTAGATTAGATATACTTTCCTTTTACTCAAAATATTAAACAACACCACCAATCCATTACCATTCATTCATTTATACTTCTCTTGTTAAATTTAAATAAATTGTATATAGATACAGTACATGTTTTGCTTATAATTATAAATCCCTATCTTCTTGGGTTTCCCTCCTTTCTTCTTTAATGACAATTGATATAAAATAATAATAATAATATTTTTTTTATTTAAATTTTAATTTTAATTTTAATTTTTTTTTAAATTTTTTAATTTTTTTTTTTTAGTTTCTTTTTTTTCTTTTTGCTTTACTCGTCATCCTCCTCCTCGGAAGCAACAAGAGTCATGGCAATACGATCCAAATCTCTCTGACCATCCTGGGTGATGCGACGACCGCCCTTCTTGTCCTGCTCCAAGACACCGATCTTCTCGAGGGACTGGAGAACCTTGCGGTTGACGGAGCCAGAGGCCTCGACGTGGTGGGAGGGACGGAAACCGCGGTTGATGCGACCACCGTGGACCTTGTTCAAGGCACCGACACCGACGCTCTTGCGGATGTAGATGTGGCGGGCAACGGAGGCAGCACGGACGTAGTACCAGTCAGGGTCATAAGGGGCCAACTCCTTGTAGGAACCAGTCTTGACAATGTCAACGAACTTGGGGACCTCGAGCTTACCGGTACGCTTAAGGTAAGCAGAGTAGGCCTTGATGAATTCTTTTTTTTTTTTTGGTTTTTTTTTACATATAAATAAATTTATTATAGTTAATAATCATCATTACGGTTACAGTTATGGTTATAATGATTTTTGTTTTGTATATAAAATAAAATAAAATATAATTTTTAAAAGAAAGGGGGTAAAGAATAAAGTGTATAGATATACAAGCCACCGAATAGTCCAAACAAGAATACTCTATATATATATATATATATGTATGTATGTATATACATGTATATACATGTATCTTGATTTTTGTTTAAATCAAGCAGATAGATATTGTATGTCTATGTGGGTGTATAATGATAGTCCAAGCCACACACGCGCACACACAGAAGAAGTTAAAGAAGAAGAAGAAGAAGAAGTAACTTTCTTTCTCTTCTTCTTTAACTTCTTTTTTATTTTTTATCTTTTTAACAATCTTTTTTTTTTGTTCTCATTTGTGTGCTTTTGTATATTTCAATACATTCAATTCCATTTGGCTCGATTCCTTTTTAGCTCATTTCAATGTCCCTCAAAATATTCCAAAAAAAAAAAAACCAAATAAAGAAATAGAAAAAGAGGTAGATAGGGATAGGAATAGGAATAGGAATATGTATGATTTTAAATCAAAAGATATATATATATAGAGAAACGCCTACCGTGGGCGTTGACGTCCTTGACAGTGATACCGGTCATCGTGATTTCGAGTAGTTAAAAAAGAGAGGATGTCTATGATTTACGCTTTGCTAGAAAAAAACATTAAAAAAAAAAAAAAAGATGGTCCGCTAAATCCAATGAAAGAATGAAGAAAAAAAAAATTTATTAGACGTCACTCCTAATTATTGATTGGCTCACTTTTTTTTTTTTTTTCTTTTTCTTATTATTATTATCTATATGAGTGATAAAGGAATATTTGCAGCATTTATATATTTGAATTACTTGTTCTATCTATATAACATTTATATATATATATATATATATATATATATAGCTATTGATATGGTTGTATGTGTAATTTTATGTTTTAACATGTGCACATGCTATTATGTACATATATATAAAATGAAATAAAATAAAATAAAAATTAAGAGAAGGGAGGAGAGGGATTTGTCGGTCCAAAGACGGAAGAGTTCCGGTAATAAATAATAATAATAATAATAATAATAATAATAAAATCAAAAGGAAAGATGGAAATCATGAGCATTTTTTTTTTCTTTTTCTACTTTCAAAGAATAAATATATCTTGTATGGGATGGTAGAGTGGCTAAAGATTGAAACAATTTTGTATTGAATGATAAAGAAGAGAAATATTAAATATAATTTTTTTGTTTGTTTCTAAAGCAAGATATGAATTATTATTATTCTTCATCTTCATAAACCCTTTCTTTTTTTTTTTTTAGTTTGGTTTGGTTTCGATTTTTGATGTTCTATTCAAATATATATATATAATATAAAATGGGGAGTAGATATTACAAGAGGCCTCTTGTTTATAATAAAGATATGTATATGAATATGTATATAAAATAACAGAATAATAATAATAATAAAGAACAAAAAGGCAAAAAGGCAAAAAGCAAATAACGAGATATAGAAAATAAAGAAAGAAAGAAGAGGAAGAAGTAGATGGATATATGGTTGTTTTGTTTTTTTTTCGGTTTTTTGGTTTGGTTTGGTTTGGTTTGGTTTGGTTTGGTGGTGATTTTAGTGGTAATGGTATTTGTGAAATAATAATAATAGAGAGAGAGAAAAACAAAAAAAAAATGGGCAAATTGTGCAAGTGTATAAAGTGAAATAAAAAATAAAAGTGCGTGAGAAAGTGTGAGTGAGTGAGTGAGTTGAGTGAGTTGAGTGAATAGATGTGAAAATAAAAAAAAAATTGTGGTTGTTTTGTTTTGCTTTTTTTTTGGGGGATTTTTCTTTTCGATTTGGTTGGTTGGTTGGTTGGTTGGTAGGTAGGTTGGTTGGTCGGTGGGTCGGTAGGTAGGTGGGTCGGTCGGTCGGTTGACTTGAGTTGACTGGCTTCTTCTTGAGGTTGAAGGTGATGAAGATATCGATAGTGGAGGGAGTGCTTTTTTTTTGTGTGGTGATGGGGAATGGGAGAAAGGAATTTTTTTTTAAAAAAAAATATTTCTTTCTTTATCTAATTCTTATACTTCTTTTACTTGTACTTCTTTATGAAAAAAGAAGTATAGGAATTAGATAAAGAAAGAAAGAAAGAAAAAAAAAGGGGGGGGGGAGAGAATAATAAATAATAATAATAATAATAATAATGGTGTGGGTAAGTTAGTTGATTGGTTGGTAAGGTAAAAAAAAAAAAAAGAAGAAGAAGAAGAAGAGGGGGGGTATCAAATCGAACGATTATTGTCTTGAGGGTGTTTCATTGGGAAATACACGGCGTACATATGCACCGAGATCCGATTGTTTTGCGCACTGAAGTTTACCGGATGCAATATGTTGTTTGATTTTCTATATAGATAAAAATTAGTTATTTGAAATGATAGATATAGATTGTTGATATTTACAGTGAGGACAACATTGGCGCTCGGTCGACGGTTCATGTCAGTGTCCAACATCCAGGTAATCAGCTCAAGCATGGTCGGGCTAGGAACAGTAAAGTTGAAGCTGGGTGGATCATTGTGCAGGATTTCGCCATAGATATCCTCGGTCTCCTCGAGATAGTAAAGAGGAGGCACTCTGTCCATCATTTCGATTGTAGTAATCGCCATGGACCATACATCTACATTCTCCTTGTAAGACAGTTCACCAACCACTTCTGGGGCCATCCACTACAATAAATTCCAACATTAATTTTCTTGATCGGTCGATTGATTTGATTTGATTGATTACATACCTTTGCTGTTCCAAGTCTTGCGGTATTGACCTTACCAATGGGAGTGGCAAGACCAAAATCGGCTGATTTGGCCAGTCAGATTTATACACACACACACACACACATATATATATATATATATATATATATTTTAGTCGGGTTTGGTTTCGATTGGTGTGATTCTTATTATTTTGGGCGAGGTTTACCTAATTTGACTTGACCATTGCGACCGAGTAAGATGTTTTCGCACTTGATATCACGGTGCATATAGTTTTTGTGGAGATATACCAAACCCTCAAGGCACTAAAATAATAGTTATAGTAATAAGTATATGTTAAGAAGATGGTTTAGAGACCTACTTCTTTTGCAATCCGGACAGCCATAAGTTCGGGCAGACCGTGAGTGGTGTCGACCAGGAGACCAAAGACAGAGCAGGTCATGAGTTCCATGGCCATCCAGACATAGTCTCCCCAGAGAGTGGCTTCCTTGAGCTGGATGAGGTTCGGGTGGTTGAGACAGCCCATGATTTTGAGTTCACGCAATACATAAGCGTGATGAGGGATATCGCGGTCTTCGATAAAGCATCGTTTGATGGCAACCTGTCCACCCTTGTTGCCTTGTTTTGATGCCCGGACAACGGCGCCATTAGCACTAGATTTTATTTTTGATTTTTTTGGTGATAAAATTTAATATACATAATAATAATATAAATAAATAAATAAAAATACTTTACCCGCTGCCTACTTTACTAAGGCCTGTGTAAGTGTTGGCTGGGTTTGAGTCGACGATCTTTTGTTTCGGCAGAGTCTTCCGCAGTTTAGCGTCAAATACAGCATGAGGTTTCTTCTGGACACGTAAGATTGGTGGAGGAAGAGGGACTATTGAAGGTGATCTGCCTACTGGTATCCAAGGGCGCTATTAAAAAAAAAAAAAGTAATTGATATTTAATAAAATGTATTTAAGCTTTTATATATATAGATATAGTGTGTACCTTTATAAATAATGGCTTGGTGTCTGATGATTTGGGCGGGTCTTTGTTAAAGGTTGGCATCGGCCGCCTCTCCCAGGATTCTTTGATGATATCAGGAATCTGCCAGTTCCCGGGTGCACGCCATGGAGCCTTCTAGACATTAGAAATCCTTGATTAATTAAAATAGATAATTATATGTAATATATATATATATATATATATATTTACCTTTTTAGATGGTAAACGCGATTTATGATTATGATTATTGGTATTGGTATTGGTATTGATGAATTGATTTTGTTGTTGTTGTTGTGATAATGGTGGTTGCTGAGCAGGGCTTTTAGGTTTGGTTGCCATTGATGGTGTGCCAGAAGTGGGTGTGTTCTTTCGGGGTGAGCGCGGGGTGGGTGCAGTTGATGTTGATGAAGCGGAGAGACCAGAAGAGGAGGAACTCTCGTGGGACTCGTTGAGGGTCGGAGAGCGGGCGACTTGACTCGTAAAGCTCATCTCTTAGATGAGCGAAATGAACGCTTCTACTTTTTCTTTTTTTTTTTCTTTTTAAATTATTTTATTTTATTTTATTTTATTTTATTTATTTACTTATTTTTATTTTATATATAAAATAAATAAATAAAAATAAAAATAAAAATAAAAAATAAAAAGAAAAAATTGGTAGATTTTATTCCTTTGCTTTGCTTTTCTTTAAAAAGGTCAACTAGAATATAAAAGAGGATATTGTATCGTTTGTACTGCTGCTTGATGTCGCTTGAATGATATTGATATTGATGGTGGACTATAGGATGTATATATACATACAAATTATATATAAATTATAAAGAAATAATAAATAATTAAATAATTAAATAAATAAATAAATAAATAATAGAATATTTATATATAGAGAGAAAGAAAGAAAGAAAGAAAGAAAGAAGAAGAAGAAAAAAAGAAAAAAAAAAGAAAAAGAAAATAAAGAGAGAGAGAGAGAGAGAGAGAGAGAAAGGATGTAAGTGTGTGTGTGTTTAATATTTTATATAGAATTATTATATAAATATAAATATAGATATCTTGATTATTTTTATATTGTGTATTCTATTCTATGTACAAAAAGGTTAATAAATATATATATATATATATTGTGGTAATGAAAAAAATAAAAATAAAGAAGACAAACTCTTCTTCTTCTTCTTCTTTCTTTCTTTCTCTCTCTCTCTCTATTTTCTTATTGTTTCTTTATTTCTTTATTTCTTAATTGTGTATAATCACAGATAATACAATTGTATATTATTGGTCAACGTCACAAAGGCACAATGACAGAAAAAGAGAGATAATTTGCAAGGTACTTTTTTTTTTGGGGGGGTATAAAATATATATATATATATAAAAGAAGTGTATTAGAAAAATCATAATCTACATACAAATCCAAGTCACCAAAGAAGAAATGTATAATGAAGAGAATCAAAGCAATACAAAGCAAACAAGTAGTTAATATTCTAGAGCACCAGAAAGACAGACACAGACACAGAGACCAAGTGAAGCAGACCAAGTCATACATACACAAAATAAATAAATCAATAAATCAATAAAAAAGGGGGTGAATTTTTATTTATTTATTTTAAACTTTCTTCTTTTGTACCTGTATAACTTGCTCTGCTTCACTCCCCCCCCAAAAAAAAGTAATCTTTTTATTTATTTTGGTTGTTGGAAGAAAACTGATTTGGGAAGGGGTTACAGGAAAGATGCAATTGATGTAAAACCTTTTTTTTTTTTCTCTTATAACTTGTGTTACTATAAATATAGCTGTTGATGTATGTTTTAATGTATACAAATATGAAATACCATAAAAATAATAGAAGATCATAATTGTTGTTATTGTTAAAGAACAATTTAACTTTTTGGTTACCATGACAGTAAATCCTTTTTTTATTTTTATTATTATTATTGTTATTATTTATTTGTTTCTAATATTCTTTTAGTTTTGCTATGGAAACCAACTATAAATAATCATGTACATATGTACATTGCCACCCTTCAAAAATAAATATAAAAATTATAATTATAATTATGATTATGATTATGATGATTGGAAAGAAAGAAAAAAGTGTCACACCACTGAATTTTCTTTTAAATATCTTTCTCTGTTCTTGTTACCTTTTTATATATATATATATATTTCATTCCCCTCTATTTTAGGGTTTAGTTTACTATATCAGAATATCGAGCCAATCAAAAAAATGCTACACCCCCTCCTTTTTTTTTCTTTTTTTTTAACGGGACAGTTCCGCTTCGAGACATATGGGGAAAATTTGTGTAAGATAAATAAATATAGAAATACAGAGAGAGAGAGATAAATAGATAAAATGTCAAGTTATATATATTTTTTTTTTAAAAAAAAAAAAAAAAAAGTCATGATAATGATGGGAACCATGGCAACGATAGTAACGATGGTACTGATGATTGTTATGATGATTGTTATTGTTATTTTGTGCTTGTGTGTTTGTATGTTTTTGGGGGGGTTCAATTTTATCTTTTTTTTTTCTCTCTCTCTCTTACACTCTTCTTACACTTTCTAAAAAAAAACCTCACTTGTTGAATCCCTCTACTTTATTTTATTTTTTTATATTTTTTTATTAGTGTCTTCTACTCCAGTCTTATTCTCCACACAAATGAGAGCTCCGTGGCCTTAATACATCATCTTGCTGGTGACGTCTTGCATTATTTCCCAGTGTCATCTATCAATAAATAAATAAATGAAATCATCCAATTATATACATATATATGCTTTAAAGTTCTTCTTCTTCTTTGTGTATTAATATTAAATATTAATAATGATGTATGAATAGAAACTCATTAATAACAACAACAGCAAAAACAGAAAACAAAAAAACAATACGTAAAAGATGATGATAAAAAAAAAAGAAACGGGTGTGGGTCCGAACCTGCTCGTGTGTCATGTCAGTATATATCATATATGTGATATAAGCGTGCATCGCATTCCGTTTGATACTCGGGTTCTCTTTCTACAAATGGTCCCAAAGAAATAATAATAATTTTTTAAATACATTCTCTTCTCTCTCTCTCTTTTTTTTTTTTTTTTTGTACTCATTCATTTCAATAATTTTTCTCAAGAAATCATAACATTACATACTTTGAAGTTTATAGGTGAAGATTTTACTGGAATTGGCTCAGTATCAACTACTGCTGCTGCTGCTGCCAATAATAATATAGGATCTGCCCAGTCATTATTGTTTGTTGTATTACTATTTGCATTAATTTTGTTGCTGTTACTGGTATCAGCATTTGTGTAAATGTTGCTATAGGTGTCATAGGTGTTATTATTGGTATGAATGATTTCCTGAGCATTTGTTGTCGAAGGAGTGTCGTCTAGTAGGTGGCGAATTGCCATTGTCTCCCTGACCTAAAACAAAAAATACATTTATAAAATTATTATAATTATTATTATAATTATAATTAATTAATTAATTAATTTTTTTTTAAAAAAAAAAAAGAAACCATAAAAGTCATTCCTTTAGTCATTTAGTCAATTAGTCATTTACTTTTATTTTTTATTTTTTATTTCTACTTTTTTAAATATGTATATTAAAGAATCATTATTGTCATTATATTCATTCATTTCACTTGCTTGTGATTCTCGTCGGGATTGCTGATTCGAAAGCTCAATGAGAATAGACCCTGCTTCTTTCTCTGCTTCTTGACGTTCTCTTAACTCGATATTAAAACCAAAAGACATGACGATAATACTTCTTTTTCTTATAATAGAAATAATATATGGATAAATAGATGTGTTGAATACAAAAACAATAAAAGAAAGAGTAAGAAAAAAAAATTAGAAAAAAAAAAAATAGGTATTGTAATTATTAGAATTTCTGAATATAGAAATAAAAATAATAACATGTACAATTCATTATCCTTTCTCTATTTCCCATTATATATATATATATATATATATATATTATATGTTTATTAAATCATGATAATTTGTTTGTGTAGTGTGTTTATTGTAGTGTATACCGTTCGTGTCTGTCTATGTGTAACTTATCAAGTATATATATATATATATATATATAAGTTTTAATAGGCAAGTGAATAAATTACTAAATTACTAAATGACTGAATGACTAGACGATTGACCATGTAATTAAAGTGAATGAAATAAAATAACTAATGTGACTGTGGCATTGTGTATAATGTAAGTGTAGTCAAGTGTAGTTTATATATTTTCTTTATTCTTACAATTTTTATTACTAAAAGAACAGAATAAATTAGAGTAAATGTTGCTCATCAGACTAGGCCGACCAATCCAACCTCTTACTCGATTCTTTTCAACATCCTCGATTCGCTTGGCAAAAAAACCAAAAAAATCAAACAAACAAGATGCAGACGTACCTGTTTTACTTGGAAGACCTTCCAACAATCTCAAAATGGGTGTAGTTGGATTACCAAACATTGGAAAATCCTCACTATTCAATGCCCTTACCAACAGCAGCGTACCAGCAGAAAACTATCCCTTTTGCACTATTGGTAATAACTGACTCTATTTTTATATACAAACTGTGTATAGATAGATAGATAGACAGACATATAGTCATAGAAAAAAAAATCATGACTTTGACGAAATAAAATAAAATAAAATATAATATAATAAAAAAAAGAAATTGTCATGAAATATTAAGATCCTTCCGAGGCACGCGTCCTGGTTCCTGATGACAGACTCGACTGGTTGTGTGAAATCTACAAACCCATTCGAACTACCCCTGCTCATGTAAGGATCAATTGATATATATATATATATATGTGTGTGTGTGTGTGTGTGTGTGTGCATATTGTGCGTGGATATCTTGATGTGTACATGGACACTGACACTGACACAAAATCAATAATAAAGATATATATATAAGAAGGGAGGGAAAAGAAAAAAGGGGAGGGCTGAGGGGTCAAGGAGTCAAGGAGCCAAGGAGTCAAGGGAGGGTAGATTAATTGTTAAGGATCTAATGATAATAAAAAATGATCACAAAATGTTATTTAAAGTTGACTGTCCTGGATATCGCTGGTCTTGTTCGAGGGGCATCTCAAGGGGCTGGGCTGGGTAATGCTTTCTTGGCCAATGTGGGATCAGTCGACGCCATTTACCATCTCGTGCGTGCATTTGAGAATGAAAATGTCACCCACGTAGAGAACACAATAGACCCCTTGCGTGATCTGGATATCATCCAAGAAGAACTACGTCTAAAAGATGAGGAGATGTTGGAGCGTCAATTGGCCGAATTGGTCAAGCTTGCAAAGTTCCCCGATAACAAGAGACCTTTGGGAACAATGTCTAGAAAAGAAGAAGTGGTAAGAAATACAAGTTTTTGTTTTTGTTTTTTATTTATTTATTTATTTATTTCTTCTTCTTCAAATTCAAGGGTGTGGTTGAAAAAGTGGCGGATTTTATGGCCAAGGGTAATGATGTACGTAAAGGAGATTGGAATGCACCTGAAGTCCAGGTAATCAATACTCTTCATCTCCTGACTGCGAAACCAATGGTATATCTTTGCAACATGAGCGAGCAAGATTACTGCAAGGGCACAAACAAATGGTAAGAAATATGATACAGACATTAAATACATTAAATATTAAATATTAAATATTAAATATCAAACAATCATAATAGGCTACCAGACATTCAGGAGTGGGCAAAGGCTAACAATGCACTGGACACTGTGATTCCATTATCTGTCAGCTTTGAATCAAAGGTAAATAAATAAATAAATAAATAAATAAATAAAAATATATTAATTGTTATTTATTTATTTATTTATTCATCTATGATTACTATTGTTACTATTTTTTTTTAAAAAAAAAAGTTAGCAAGTATGGAACAGGATGAAGCCAAGGCACATTTGAATTCCCTTGGTGTCACCTCACAGTTGCCTCGTGTGATATTGGCTGGCTACAGAGCACTTCATCTCATTCACTACTTTACTTGTGGGCAGCAAGAAGTCAGAGCATGGACAGTCAGGGTAAACTCTTTAATAAATTCTATAAATTCGAATCAATTGACTCAATTGACCTCAAATCTATTGTAATTCTTTATCTATTGTCTACTAGGATACTGCAAAGGCACCTCAGGCAGCGGGTGTTATTCAGTAAGTATTTCTTATTTATACATATATAGAAAATAATAATCAGGGACTCTGTGTTTTCTCTCTCTCTCTCTCTCTCTCTCTCTATTTCTTGTACTGATTTAATTTATATGGGCGTTTCTTTTTTTTTTCTTTCTTTCTTAATTATTTTCGTTTCTATAGTACTGATTTCGAACGCGGTTTCATCTCTGCGGACATTATGAAACTCGAGGATCTTCGCCAGCTTAAATCAGAAGCAGCCGTACGTTCGGCAGGCAAATATCTTCAAAAGGGAAAGGACTACAAAATGGAAGACGGCGACATTGCCCACTTCAAGGTAAATGAATAATACATATACCTAGCTATTGCTTACTCATCTGTCTATCTTTGTATATGTGTGTTTGATTATAAAGTTTAATGGTGAGTTGATGTCATTTCTTTATTCAAAAAAAAAAGATAACCTTTTCTTCTTTACTAATCAATCTCTATTCAAATTATAGTCACCAACAAGAAAAAGTAAAGCAGATAATAATAATAATAATAGTAGTAGTAGCAGTAGTAGTAGTCTTGATATGGATTATTCAATATATAGATAGATAGAACTAATGATAATTAAACAATGATAGGCTAGCTTATTATTACTCTTGTTGTTAATGTTACTGCTGTAATATATATATATATATATGTGTGTGTGTGTGTGTGTGTGTGTGTGTGTGCATATAATAATGACAATGTCTTTATTATTATAACAATTATTTTTTAAACCTTCAATGCACCCATGTCAGCTACCAACTGACTAGGATCAAACTCCCAAATCACAACTCTGCCATCAACACCACATGTGGAGAAGTGTGTCACATTTTCGCGTGTACCTGTATGAAAGCGAACCTCACTTTTGAATTTGCAAAAAAAAAAGTTAAATATCACCACAATTATCTTTAGTTTTATTTTTTTGGCTTACTTGATAGTGTTTTGGTGGGTGGTCAACAAGCCAGAGTCACTAGAATCAGCCTGTCCACGAGAATCCATAGACTTGAATCTGCTGAGAACAGAGGCAGCCTGAGACACCTTTTTACGTCCAGTGTCCAAAGATCCAGCAATATTCCAGCCATTGTTCTTGTTTTCGATCAAAATCGGGGCACAGTCGTATCCAGCAGCAATGATCTGGCTCTCGTTCGCCCAGAGAAGCGAACGGAAAGGGAGGGTGTGGTTGGGAATAGTCAAGAGGGTGTGGTTGCCATCCTGGCTAGCATAGGCAATGTTGATCGATGCATCATGACCAGCAAATGCCAATGCATCACCCGAAGGAGAAAAGGCCACTGAATGAATCCAACCACCCTTACCATTACTAAACTCTCCACAAACTGTGTTGAAAGGTAACTTGTCACCCCAAACTGTAGGTGCAGGCCTAAATGAAAAAAAAAATTAATATAGATAAGACACAATACAATACAATACTTTACTTCTTGTCAAGTCCCTTGATAAACGAAGAAAAGACGCGTGCCTTCATGTCTGCCGAACCAGCAGCCAGGAGTACATTGTTGGGATGCCAATCAAGCGAAAGAACAGTACTGCGGATAGGCTTCTTGATGTGCTTACTAGCCCACCAGTCATTATCCTCATCAAAGTAACAGACTGCAATGCAACGCGCTCCGTTGGCAACCGCAAACTTCTCTTCGTTAGGAGACCAGCGGACATAAGTTGCAGCACGGTTGATACGCAGTAACACAAGTCCAGGCTTCCAGGTACCCTGTTCGTTGGTCCAGACGTAGGCGTTTCTGTCTTGCGAGCAAGTAACAATACGGTTGGTGTTGGGAGCAAAGTCAATGCTGGTGATTACCTTGTCATGCTATTTTAATATATATTTATTTATTGTAATTAGTACAAGTAATCATTTATATTTTTTTTATAATGTCACTTACACCAGTCAAAACAGCTTCTTGTTTCCATGCGGCTTGCTCATGTTCGTAGATGATGGCTTCGGTTGAGTTTTGGCACACCACAAGCTCTGCAATTAATAACAATTATAATAATATTAATAATTATCTTGTGGTAATAGAAATTTCAAAGACGCTCTTCAACATCATCATCTTTTCTTTCTTTTTTTTTGACATTAATACTTACTGTCCTTGTTAAAGGAATGAGCAGTGATGGGAGTGTTTGAGATTTCGTAACAGCTTGGACTGGCCATACTGCAACTTGGTAAAGCTTGTTGAAGGAGTTTGTATGTATCTGTTTGTGTATGCGTGAATAGAGGACTCTTGTCAGTCGACTCTATACTAGAGTATTATATATAAATATAGATATATTATGTATGTACGTAATAAAAGTAGTAGAAATAAAACTTAGTTCGCTTTTTCTTTCTTTCATTTTTTTTTTTTCATTTCCTTCCCGCGTCATTTTTTTTTTTTTTTTTTTTTTTTTTTGCTTTATCTGTCTGTGTGTCTATGCTGTATGTCTATATATGTGTATGTATTATAAACAATTCACGTAATTTCAGTTTTTCCCCTCCTCCCCTTTATAGATAAAATATATATTTTATTTTTGCTTCAGGGTGGTTCTTTTCAGCGTATTATGTAAAAAAAAAAAGTCACACTTGGCATGGACACACTCGAAAGATTAGTAAAGTTAAAATTTCTAACAAAGCAAATTACAGCTTAGATTTTCATCATCTTTAATATTTTTAGTTTAACAAACAGCAACAGCACAATGCTTTGCTTTGCTGGAAATAGTTGTCTGATAGATAGTTTCCAAAACAAAACAAAACAAAACAAGCATAGCAAAAAAAGAAGAGTCGCTGCTAACTTGGTTCTCCTATGCATATCTCAAATGTATGTGTAACCACAACGCAATGGTAATATTAACTAAGCAATGAATAGAGAAAAGAGAAGCAATGATATGTATTACTGCAATTCTATTCTATCATTTTTGTTTCTTAACTTGGAAATCAAGGGTTGGGAGGGAGTCACAGGGGCTTTACTGCAAAATATTAGTTTATCTCTTTGATTGGTGTATGCATTATAGTATATTGTATTGTGGTCTTGGCAAAGCTTGACATTTTACCACATGTATGCTCATTTGAAATCAATCCTTTGGTTGAAGCCACCAATACGTCTTTAATTATTCTTGCTCTTTCTCTTGCTATTCTTCTTCTTTGGGTTTTTTTTTTCAAGAAAGAGAAAAAAAGATGGGCTGCGCTGTGAGTCAATACACTCCAAATTAATATCATTTACTTGGAGACTACATTGACCAATACCAAAAAAATGGCTGTTTTACTGTGTCTACACAAAATTCATTACCAAAGAAACAATCTGTATACACGGACCATTGATGACATAATAGTAATACAACATCTCAAAAAAAAATCGATCAATCGATCAATCTTTGCCTGTGACTCTTTTGGTCTCGGCTCTTTCTCTCTCTCTCTCTCTCTTTATCATTCTTTCCTTTTCTATACCTTTCTGTTATTGGTTTCTCTAATGTCAGACATTAAACATCCTGCAACTGTTGCCATTGTCGGTGCTGGTCTTGTCGGCTGTCTCAATGCAATTTATTTTGCCCAACGTGGTTGGAATGTAGTTCTTTATGAGCATAGAAAAGGTACAAACACACAAAAAGATATAATAATCAACTACAACGTTAGCCGTGGGAATTTATTTTTATACATACATACATACATATATATTGCAGCAATAGAAGGCAATAGATACATTTTGAATAAAATACTTTTTTTAAAAAAAACCAGCTTTTAAAATCATTTATTTATTTATCATATTATATTATATTATATTATATTACATTATTTGGAATTATCTCAAGATATGAGATTACCCGAAGAAAAAATAAATCAAAGAGGCCGTTCGATCAATCTTGCTGTGTCTGAACGTGGTTTGAGCGCCCTGAGAAAAGTTGATATGGGATTGGAAGAAATTGTCCTTGGTGCAGCTGTGCCGATGCGTGCCCGAATGGTGCATTTAGGTAAAGACACTCAAACGTCTCAAGCATATTCTGTACATGGAGAGGTAAGATTTTGTTATAAATACCTTTATACTGTAATTATTTACCAAAAACCAAAAAAAAAAACGTTTGATCAATAAGCATATTAATGCAGTAGACCGTGGCCGTCTGAACGAGCTCTTGTTAAATGTTGTGGGTGATCTCCCAAACGTCAGATTGGGATTTGAACATCATCTCTTGCACGCTAACCTTGAGAATGGTACCATGGAATTTAGTGTGGGGTAATACATAAAGAATAACAACAAGACAAAAGGTTCGATTTGTGCTAATTCCATACTATATTGTATGATCTACCTTTATATATATATATATATATATATATTATATCTGTGGCAGCCCTGAAAAGATAAAAGTGTTCAAAACAGCAGATTTAGTAATTGGTACTGATGGTGCCTACTCAAAGACAAGATCCCAGATGATGCGATCTATGCGGTATGCAATTCTCATCTTATCTTACACATCACAAACATCACCGCCACCATACAGTAATAATGATCATACAACTAATTGACCAACTGATCTACTCGGCAATTAACACAATAAATTAGTATGCAGTATTCTCAAGAGTATATTGACACTGCTTACTGCGAACTATCCATGCCTCCAGCAAAAGATGAACAGGGTAATGACACCTATGCTTTGGATCCCAATCATCTTCACATCTGGCCAAGACACACATTTATGTTAATTGCTCTACCAAACCTGGCAAGTACCTTTTTTTTCCTTTTCTTTTTCTTTTTAGTGAAATGAAGTACACTTATTATTATACGTGTAATTATGTGTTTGTGTGTTTATGTATTTGTAACTAAAGCTAATTATTATTATATTGGTACCTTAGGATCATTCCTTTACTTGTACTTTATTCATGCCCTTTGAAATGTTTGAATCTATCAATACATCCGAAAAATTGCTAGAATTTTTCCAAGAAAATTTCCCGGACTCAATCCCACTCATTGGCACCAAGCGTCTAGTCGAAGACTACTTTGCCAACCAAAAAGGTTCTTTGATCAACATAAAAGTAAATAATACCAGCAATAATAATACACGTTCATATGTGTGTATGTGTATGTTCGTATATTTATATTAATATATATATGTTGCTTAGACTTCTCCTCACAATTTTAAAGACAAGGCTTTGATTCTCGGTGACGCTGCTCACGCCATGGTTCCATTCTACGGCCAGGGTATGAACTGTGGGTTCCAGGATGTGGAGGTCTTGCACGAGATACTCGACAAACACAATGTCTTGCCTTCAAAGCACGAAAACGGCAAGATCGATGACCTCGAGGCTGCACTTGACGAGTACTCTCGGGTTCATGTCAAGGATACCCACGCAATCTGCGACCTTGCACTCTATAACCACTACGAGATGCAGTCAGCCGTGACATCGGTGAGATATCTGGCCCGCAAGAAACTTGAGGGCATCTTACACATTGTCATGCCCCGAGTTGTGATTCCACTCTACACCATGGTCAGCTTTACAACCATGCCTTATTCACAGGCAATCCAGCGCTGGAACCGACAGTCGTTTTGGTTGAATACGATTGTGGGGACCATGGCAATCGGAACAGTTACAGCCATGAGTTACTTTACAGTCAAGAATAAGGTGTCTGTGTCTGTGCCAGATATCATTCAGTCTGTGGCTCAATTAAGCGGTTTCATATAACAAAACAAAAGTAAACAAAAAAGAGCAAAAAGAACAAATAATAATACATACATACATACATATATATATATATATATATATATGTACAAACATGCTCGTGTTCGTTGCTAAGGTATATATGTAATGTGTACTGTGTACTGTGTAGGTGTGTAGGTGTGTAGTGTCACTGTGTATGTGTATTGTATGTAGTGTAATATATATGTGTATATGTATATTATTTCTTAATTTACAAGTATTTATATACAGAATATATACAAGATTATATATTTATTTGTGTATATATATATGTATATATGTATATTGTGCATGTGCTTTGTTTTATTTTTGGATTGACAGTTTCCGTCAAAGTAGTGTTTGATAGTGATGCAGGGTCAGGGCACCGTCGTCCAACCGTTTCCAGGTTACAATTCCTTCTCCGAATCGGTTGATTTCCCAGACTCTGGCTCTGCGTGGCCAACCAAGATGAGCGGCACCGTACCCACCGATTCCCAATCCACCACTGTAGCATAATTGAATACCCTTTTGTTCGATACAATAGTCGTTTACATGGTCGTGTCCACTATTATATTTATATAAATACATAGAGCCGAATAGACCGAGAAAAATAGAATATAATAGAATAGAATAAAGTAAAAAAAAAAGGGTTTAATTACTATGCATGTAATGCCTATATATTATTGGTAATTGTCGTTTTTTAATATTCAAAATACTTGCCACCCAGTCGCCTTTATGTCACCAGCTAAATAATACCAATTAATAAGCCATGTCAGCAATAGTAATAATAATTCTACATTAATTATCACTATGTTTTTTATATAAAAAAATACATACAAAAATCTACTCCAAAAAGCATATTATTGTACTTATTCTATTGCTTACCTTTCACAAATGCGTCAAGAACTGATAGATTTTTCTTTTTTCTTGGACTTGAAATTGTCTCACGCTGGTCTCCCAACTTAGGCACAGACTTGTCCTCCGCCCCATGATATTCCCTGTTACACAGTATGCTTGAGACCCTACTTTCTCCTCTTCTTTTTCTCGTCTCTCATTTCTCTCTCCACCACAACCACAACCACCTTCCCAACCCCCCCAATATTCTTTCACACCCCCCAAAAAAATAGTGGCCATATATATATATATATATACATTTGTCTCCCCCCAAAAAAAACATATCGTACAAAAGAAAAGTGTAACAAAGTCTTACCAAATTGGTGTGTGGAAGAAAGCAAGAGCATTTGGTTTTTGTGTTCCCTTTCCAGATTGCGCATAGTTCGCCGAGGTTTCCTGTAACCAATTGAGTTGTTCTTGATCTATCGAGTCATACGTATCCTTGGTTGCAAGGCCGTGCGAATCTAGAAAATAAATTGTCAAGGCGTGTGCTCTGTAAAAAAAAAATGAATTAAAAGAATATACATGTGTGTGTTGGAATGTATTAATTTCTTATTTTATTTTATTTTATTTTTATTAGCCAAAACTATATCTACACATATATATTTTGGGGGTGAAGACTTTTCTTTGGTGTTTTTGTTTTTATTTCTTTTTTGGTTTCTCTTTCATTCTTAAATTGTTGATATTCATGATAATTTAACTTACTCGAGGGTAGCATTTGAAAATACCTGAAGAGCAAAATTTCCAGTGCCGGGTAATTCAAGGGGTCCTCGCTCATTCAAACTGAAAGGCATGCGTCGGATAACTTCAAAAAGTTCCTCGCGTGTCAAATCATTTTCATCGTCATGGTTACCAAACACGGCCACCTATCAGATATAAAAAAGAGATTGATGTTCATATATATGTATATAAGTATGTATGTATAGAAAATATTAATAGTCATTTTAACATTTTCTTTATCTAACTGTCTATGTAGATATATATATTTTACCCATGGAATTTTGCGTTTAATGACTGGTTCTGCAAATTTGAAGGTTGCTGCTCTTGCATCTGTAACAGCACCTGAGATATAGGTTTTGGGTATGAGTACAAGGTTTTGGATATAAATACACACGCACACAAAAGAAAGAACAAAACAAAAAAGAACAAAAACAAAATAACAACCATTGCCGTCTATATTGTCGCCGCCAAAGACGACTAAATCCGGCTTCTCATGATCCAAGAGTCTTTCGATTGTAGCAATCGTAGAATCATCTCCTTTGCAATCAAACTAACCAATACCCACACACACACACATAGATACACATAGACACACAAAGGACTTTAAGCCAACCGGAAATAATAATAGTCACATCTTGTACATCTTGTTTATTTATTCATTTAATCATTTATCGATATTTATACCTATCTAGCAATCTATCTAGCAATCTATATATATATATATATATATATTATATTTACTTTTAAAAAGAAAGAAAACTTACTTCAACTGGCGTGTCTTTACATTTTCCCACCTCGTTTGTAAAGTGCAGATCTGCTAGTTGTACAATCTTGAAAGTTCCGTCCTTTCTAAACACCAATGGTTGACGAGGAGGAAGTTCTGCCAACAAACATGTACACAGCATGCTTTTTGTGTTCAATTATATATATATATATATATTATTCGGTCTCTTACTCCTTCTAGCAACTCACCGTGATACCCTCTTTGGATAAACAGAAACGTAGGTTCTCCAAACCCACCCTTTCCATCGTGGTTACTGTTCAAGTCCACACTCAATCTCTCCCAGCCAAGAGGAGCAACTGCGTTTTGACCATATTCTATTGCCACTTGTTGGATTGCGGTTGACTTTTCTTCTTCACTGGGGTTAGACAATGTCTTGTACCACAAATAAATCGAGGCACCTCGGAAAGTAACAAAGTTCAGATCAACCTCTACTTTGTTGTAACCCTCAGGTGCTGTCTGATCATCCAATACGAGCACAATACTATTATAATTATATAAATATATGGTTATTTTGGGGGGAGAAAAAGAAAAGAGTTAGGGGGATGAGGATAAGAAGAAGCAGAGAGAGAGAGAGAGATTAGAATATCACATATAGTGTACAATTTGTTCACAAATTTGAGTTTCTTATTTTATCTTATTCTTCACACAAAATATTTATAAAATAAATAAAGTAAACCTACTCTGTAACAGGTGGGCTGTTTCTTTTACGTTGGTAAAAGAGGTAGATTCTCATACCAACAATCACACCCTCATTGGCATCCTTTTCTACCCTTTCCCATCCCTAATATAGTTATATATTTTTGTACAATTTAAATCATATCGATCAAAAAAAAATTAGTCTTGATTTTTAGTATAACATACGATCCTAACCAACCAATTTACTTAAACTTACATCCATATAGCACACGTCTGTAAAACAAGCTTTGGCTGTTAGGGCAGTGATTGGATCTACATTAACAATTTACACATATGTTATGTACAGGGTCATTAAATGTAAATAAGAATTCTTGAAAATTATTACTATTATGTGCCATTAAATTTACTTTTATCGAATAAATATTCTCTTTATTATTATTATTATTATTATTATTATTATTATTCATCATCAACATTTTCTACTATTGCTACTGTTACCTATTATCAGTCATCTTTACCTTTGGGTCCTAATTGGCTGTAAAACATATAAAGCGGCATGCCTCCAACACCTTCATTCAAATCCACTGGCAATCGTCTGTACTCTGCCCCAACTACCGGACTGTCCCCTTCCTTAATGATAATAGATGTCACCGGGTTTACGGACAAGCGCTTGTCCTTTGTAAAATACAGCCAGATCGCTGTCTGGTTATCAAAGACAGTGTTATGATTTAAATCAGTCTCAAGACGTGTCCAGCCTGTAGCCTTTGGTGGATCTGGTGTCTTGAGAATCAAGAGATCAGTAATCGGATCTGATGAAGGATCGTCTTTAATGTGCATGTATATCTGGCTGCGTTTGGTTCCTGCATTCAAGTTGGTTTCTAGTTTCTTGTAACCAGGAAAATTTGGACATGCACGATGTCCATCACATGTCACTAGTTTGATGTCTGTAATGTAGGCCTGTACAGCTGTACAAAAGTACCCAATTACAGTACAAACCAATATGAGATTCCAAAAACAAATGTACATCAATCTCTACTGAAATGTTTTTTTTTCTCTTTATTTTCGTAAATACAAATAAGAATATAATGAGATAGACAGAGAAAAGAGAGAAAGTTTGCATAAATTAATTAATCGTGTGTCTTGTCCGTGTTAATTTTTGTTTTTTTTTTTGTTTTCTTGTTTCAATAATTATGCTTGTTCAATTGCTACCTAAATATTGAATATATAAATGTATTTTTGAGTAATTGAGCCAGGGTCTATTCAAACACAAAATTCAACGGCTTGAATGCCCATTATTGAATGTGTACCTTTCCTTGGGTTTGCTTTTGCGATAATTAATATAAATGCGCGTCGATAAAGAAACAAAACAAAAAAAAAATATTTGTAGGGATTCATTTGTGTAAAAATTCATATAGAAATTACAGGCTGTCTCATTATATTAATAATATTAATAATAATTATAACCACAATAACAGTATATGGTATTTAAGCAAATTTTCAAGGAATACTTTAAATACACAGCAAATGCATAGTAGTGAATACATAGCTCTTTATTATTTATTTCTTTTGGGATCTCTTTTATTAAGCTCACGGTTGCTTATAGTAGGGTTGAATCTATCTCTTTATCAGATATGTGTAAATATAATAGCAATAATAATAATAATAATAATAATTTGTTTTTTGTTTACTTCTTTACTTCCTTCCTCCCTCTTTTGTTTTGGTACATTCTCTGATTTTGTTAATCTCAAAATCATCATCATTAGATCTGGCTAACTACGCTGCCAGAACCAATAGCTGCTGCAATTCCAATGCGCTTTTTGCCCATATCAAATACAAGGTAGGTCGTTCTGAGGATAGTGTCGCCAATCAAATACATCGAGCTCATGTTTTCGTTGGCTAAAAAGGTATTCTCTCCAATTCCAAATATACATTTTGTCGCATCTTCTACCGTAGCTCCATTGACAGGAATAACCAGCTTGGAAGCGAGGATGGTCAGGGTAGTTGGAGATGTCATCTTGCTTCCAGTACTTGACATTTGAAGCTGCACAGTTGCATTAGGTGGCATACCGTGGCAATTGATAAAGTATGACGATGTCGATGGATCATACGAATATCCACTCGGTCCCACAAGCCCAGTCAGCATTGGTTCAACGATCGATTGAGGAAAATAAGATAGGGTTGACCCGGTGTCAAAGATGTATCCTTTGTCAGGTGAAACATCAAATTTTGTCGTTGAGTTTCCATTGGTAGCCGAGATTCCTTGGCTGTAGACTTGCCAATAAAAATAATCATCAACAGTCTTTCCAGATGATGGGTCCAACGATATTTCTCGGCTCGTCGTGTCATAAGGGGTCACAGGAAGATAGACAAGATCGCCACTGTGCTTGGTAGAGTCAATTCCGCCAAATACAATTTCCCCAGCCCACCCCATGTCTGTGGCTGCGCCCAGGTAGATCGAAAATATAGGATCTTTGATGATATTTTGCCTGACCATGTTGAACACGAGCGGGTAGTGGGGCTTTTGGCTGCCTAGACCAGGAACAGTGAGTTGAGGAAATCCCGTGCCGAGTATACCATTCTCAACCTTGTCAGATATCGCAAGTGATCCTTGGCTAGGTTCTGCTGGCGGTGAGTCTTCGTCGAATGAGACGACATCGGTCAGAAGATTGTGAGTTGATGTTGCTAATCCAAATTGTTGATTTTGTATTGTGGCACCTGCAATAGAAACTGTGTCGGTTCCATACACACCAGTAGCATTACCGATTCCATACTGAAGATCAAAGGATTTGCCAGTGTCATTGAAGCTCGAAGACTTTTTTTGGTCAAACCGAGTGTGTGGGCAGAGCTCTGGGTTACATTTGACAGAAGGAACCCACAAATTAGCACTAAGAGGACAATAAAAATAAATAAATGGAATCAAAGTTTAGTTTCTGTTTGTTAGAAATGTTTTTTTTTATTGGAAAATTACTTTATTTTACTATTCTTTGTTCTGTAAGCAATCGCTACCTTCCAGTGTCTAGGGTTACTGTAAATTTTTGTGGAGGAGTTCCGACTGACAAATGAACAAGATACTGTGAACCGTAATCATTGTAAAGCCCAGACTTAAACAAGCCTGGCTCTTTAAGAATATCTCGTTTACGTCTTTTGGTAATTATACTTGTTGATTGTGATCTTTTGAAGATTGGCATGCGGACTATTCCAGGTACAGATTTAGCAGTTGAAGCTGTATTTATTAGAGCCGAAATGCCCAATAATAACAACATGAAATAATTAAGATGCATCAAAGACAAAAGAAAGAATGAAAATAAAGAAGGGAAGAGATAAAGAAATAAAGAAAGAAAAGGTCAAGAACAACGATGGTAAACAAAGAAAGATAACCTTGAGTAATAAAAGAAACCTTTTCTGTGTATTTATATGCACCAGCATATACTACACAACATGTCGTGCCACAATGAACCTGCAGATTTGACCCAAATTTCTTTTCGTTCTTCTTCTTCTTTTAGATACATATATAAGAAAATCGCCTTTCTCAGTAAATGCAGTTCAAAATAGGAATCTTTTTTTTTTGCTTATACTGTACATATTATTATTATTTTTTGTTGACATATTTGATGGAAAATTTGTTCCAAACGTATAAATTCCTACATTTTACTTGTGTTTTTCTTTTACTTGATCTCTCAAATAGATAAAGTATTCTCTACCTTTGCTTACAGAAGAAGAAAAAGTATATGAAAAAAGGGTATATCTAAACTCTCAATTACTTGTTCTAAAATAATAAGGCAAACAAATATCAATATCTTTTAATGTGCCGTAATAATGTTTTTTTTTTAAAAGCTATTATTTATTTTGATACAAGGCCTAGGCTTTTAAATTTGAATTAATGCCTTTGACTTGTAAATGTATATATTTAGGTAGTTTCAATGTTCATATTAGATTCATAGTTTATTATTGGAATTGTGGGGTTGGCACAAACCCAGTTATTTTCTGGGTAAGATAAAAAAGGGCCAAGTATGTCTCAAAAGTAAATAAATAAGTTTTACAGAACAGAATGTCAAATTCACATATTTATATTGAATGTCAAAGACAATTGATTCATTTTACGGATATAATAAACTCATAAAATTTTCTACAGCCAAAAAAAAACCAAGATATTCAATATTCAATATTAAATACTATAGACCAAAATGCTGTAAGATTAAGTGCAGAATTACTCAGGTCAACCATAAAAGTATATAGTACCTAATTTTGGATAGCATGTAAAGTCTAGGCTTTTCTTTTGCTTATGTATGTGCATCATAAAACATCAAGTTGAATTAAAGAAAATATATAATCTATTAAAAACATAATACCTACGATGACCAAATCTGTATAATCGAATATTCTGCTTACAACCCTCTTTATAAACTTTGATTATATATATGTATCTCTTCAAGTTAACATATTTAGCTCTTAAAGTCCTTTACCAAGCCATATGAGTCCTCACTTGATATCTGCTTCAGACACTCCTGCAGATGCGCCCACATTACACCATCTCAAACACACACACACACAATCCACGAAATGTTTTTTACATTAAAGAAGAAGAAGAAAAAAGGGAGGGGTAAGAGGGGATACACATTTTGTGCTAGGGAGTAATACTCTATAGCGTCTAAGTATTTTCCCTCCTTGTTTTTGTTTGTTTGCTTGGAACGACGATCATATATACATATACACATGTACATGTACAAGTATCACAAAGAGTTTTTGAGCTTTGTTATATTCACACTACACAAATATGCTTATTTATAAAAATATTATAAACTGATTTTTTTGTACATGTTTATTTATCCTGTGTGTTGGATGCTGAGTTACTGGTTCCTTACATGATGAAGTACTATGGAGTATATGCACACGCACTCACATACCCGCTTTCTCTATCGCTCTATATCTTTATCCACTTAAGCATACGACTCATATTCTAACATTCAATCAACTAGATGATATCTTGTTTCTGAGCTAGCAAGCTTTACATGCATATTGTGTGTTGCGTTGGCTGTTCATTTTATATGATTTGATATAATACTCTATTATGGACTAAAGCCAAATATTATTTGATAGAGCCTCTAATTATATATATGTGTGTATGTATTTCGTATCAATTTTTTCTTTAGCTTGAGCGGTTAGGATAAACCAATATGTATTTTTGTGTGTATACTATCTCCTTGCATAACCAATCTTGCTCACTAATTAGTTATAATATCGGCTTAGCGCACAATACTTGTGCTTGTGCTTGTGTGTGTGTGCAGAAAAAAATTGTAAACTGTTTCTTTTGGTTCATCGTGTTTTCTACAAAGCCTTATATATATATATATATTGAAACAACCTATAAACTAAATCATTTTTTTTTTAATTTAATTGCTTTCTTTTGTTGTATTGGTTTTTGATTTTGCATTTATTAGAAACAATTTTCTATTGTTATATTTTAAGAGATAATTTGCTTAGTTAAAGTAGGCAAATTAGGATAAGAGAGCCAAAGAAGTTGTATTCTTGATTTGGCGGAACCTATAAAATTATGATGGTTATTGGTATACCTTCGTATAACCTTTTCTCTCTTTCTCCCTCACCTTCTTTTGACAGCGGAGTGACTGGGTCCTGCAATCATGCGGTGGCTTGGCTCTCAATTATAGCGTTCTCTTTTTTTTTTCTGTGATAAAGGTGCTCCCCCATTTTTGTAAAGACAGCCACACTACCTTTCTCGACATCATGGTTGCCAAGAGTAAGTTGATCTAATTAAGATCCTTAATTTATTTACACATTTTCTGTATATATATCTTTATACTTGTCTTCTAAACATATACTAATACTACTGTTATTTATTTATTTATTTTAAAATAATAGAACCCCAAAGCAAGCGTATCAAAGCCGCACATCGTTATAAGATCATCAAGCGAGTAAAGGAACATCACAGAAAAGAAAAGAAGTTGGCAAAGAAGAATCCCAAGAGTAACAGTAAGTCGATCCCAGAATGTCGATCATCCTCATCCATCTTATTGATCGTAACCTTATTTTTTTTAAAAAAAATTGTAATATTCAGGAACAAAGAAGGATCCTGGAATCCCCAACTCATGGCCTTTTAAGGAAGAATTGCTGAATGAAATCGAACAGGCCAAGCAAGAGGTAAATTTTTTTTTTTGTGGATTTCTGGATTTTTGTACGAATATATACACATTTTCTTTATATGAATATAGTGAACTAACGTTTTGCTTTGAATTGGATTTATTTTCCCTCTTAGGCTGAAGCCGAAAAGCAAAAGATTAAGCTTGCCCGTCAGGAAGAAAAGGCTAAATTGAAGTTGAAGCAGCAAAAGGAAAAAGAGAAGGTTAAGCAGCATCATCTGCGTCAGGCAAAGAAGAAGGCAGCGGAATAAACTCCCTTCTTTATACTCTCCCTCCACCTCTATCTCGCTCGTTCACTCGTTCGTTCGTTCGCTCGCTCGCTTTCTCCATCTATCTATCTACAATTACTTTCTTTTTAGTATTTTTTTTATATTATTCTCTTGCTTTCTATCAATGATCCGTGTACAGACCCCTTACCCATCTACCAAAATGACCGCATCTTTCCAAATATCAACAAAAAATGTATCACACAAAACATCCATAAACATTATATACTTGTTCTTTTGGCGCTTGTGCCCTTGACAAGGCTAGAAGAAGAAAGAAAGAAAGAAAAATATTTGATTTCCAGAATGTCATTAGCATTATATTATTATTATTATTATTTTTAAAAAAAAAGAGAGAGAAAAAGATCATTTTATTCAATTTTATGAATCAAATTTGAGGTTATTCATTTATTACATGGTTCAATTTGAATTAATTAATAAATGTTTGTTTGTTTCAAAATTGCATCAATAAGAGATGCTTTTGGAATTTACAATAGAGAAAGTCGTGGCGCTCTGGACAAACATGGCAATCCCTTTGAATTAATAAAGAAAAAATCATTACCGTATAGGTGAGCTCTTCCATATTATATTTTCGCTAATGATTTATAAGCTGCAATGTTTTTTTTATACACCAATAAATATATTTTCACAGTATTAATACAGTCACACAAATCTATTACTCTTTTGAGAAATGTGTACCTTTTTTTTAAGGAATTAACAACCTCACTTTATAAACTCATCTGCAGGTATGATGATAGAGACGATTCTATAGAATATATATATATATATATATATATATATATTGGGACCTATGAATGGTTTTGTATGTATGTGTATGTAGATTGGCGTGCATTAATTAGTTTTATAAAACAAGTAAAAATAAAAGGTAAAATAGAAATATAAAATATCTATTGTGGTAATATGGATGTTGGAAGATCAAGCATGTGTCTCATCTTTGTAACCTTGACAGCAAGGTATCTATCAAGCTCTTTCTTAGGAGTGGACTGGGGTGTGTGTGAGAGTGGCGGAGAGGAGGACCATGACTGAGGTACCATTGATTTTCTATCGACCACTTTGATGTCTCCAAATGCCTCAAGCTGTTCAATTTTATCTGGATTATTGGTCAGCAATCGCACTTCTGACAAACCAAGATCTTTGAGAATATCATTGGCAATATCGTACGTGCGACCATCTGCTGGATGGTCCAACAGTAAGTTTGCAGCAACCGTGTCATGGCCCAGATCCTGAAGGTTATACGCTCTGACAAAAATGTTACGTAAGTAAATAAATAAATAAACGAATAACTAGATGACTCATTGTTTCGAAACAATCAAGACACACACACACACACATGTATATATGTATATAGAAATAAAGTTCTGTACTCACTTTAATTTCTCTAATAATCCAATACCCCGTCCTTCTTGTCGTAAATATACAATTACACCTCTTCCTGCCTGTTGCATCAACCTCATAGCTTCATCCAGCTGCTCTCCACAATCACATCTAGCAGAGTGAACAGTTTCTCCCGTGAAACACTCGGAGTGTATGCGTACAAGCGGAGCCTCTGAAACCGGGCGCCAGGCTTCCTTGGCAATAGCCTGTTGTTGTGCCAAACGAGCCCACTGTTTAGCATTTAGTTGGGTATACTGTGTTTCGTCTGTGATGATCTCTTCAAGACGGCCATAATATGCACCGCGCACAACTCTGTTCATAATCGTCTCGTTCTCCCAGGTCTTGTCAAGCGAACTGGACCGGATATCATCTCCGTACACAATAGCCATGTGCTCTTTTGTGTCCTTGTTGTTCTTGTAGAGAAAGAGGTGCATCTCACCACCTTCCATGGTCGGAATACGTGCACGGACCTGGCATTGGACATCCAGCTTGTCTTGTTGTAGAGCGGGTGTGATTGCTTTGGGTGAATACAGCTGGTTACTCATGAACTTGACATATTCTTTGTATGATGTTGGCCGAGGCAGAGATGATGGAAGTTTGACTGTGTCATGGACAACATTCATACCGAACAAGGTAAACACGGCAGGCATCTTTATTTAAGAGGGTAAAAAGAAGAAGAGAAAAAAATAAAGAGAAAGAAAAAAAAAGAAACAAGGGCAATTGAATCTTAATCCCCTGTCTTTATTTTATATGTTATTTTCAAATCAACGCTCAACTTGGATTTGGTGTGTCAAGCTTGACTAAGCATGAGTTGTGACCCATAGTGTCACAACATCTCCCCTTTAACCCAACCCAGATTTAAACGCTGATTAACCGTCGGACATTACATATTGTCTAACATTGATTCTAATGATTAATAAGAAATTTTAGGCTGTTGGAATCAGCAATCTTACGGGGACGACATCTTCCTGATGGCGCACTACCCCCCTTTTTTTTGCCAAACCAATTGATTGGGCTTACTTGTCCCGGGCCCAGGGTCTTTTCCTAATCCTTCAGGGTGAAATGGCGTGTCCTGAAAAATACAATGTATTCAATTAATAGTCCTTTGCGCCCTACGTTTAGACGGTTATAAAAAAAACACTATATCAATAGCCTGTTAAGCAGAAGATTATAAGAAATTGTTGCCATTACATTGTGACGCAATCTTGTTCGATGTTTTTACTATTTATTGTCCTTCTTACGTGTACCATCTCTTTCTCTTTCTCTCACATATATATTACCAGAAAGTGGCCCAAAGCTTTTCATTGAAAAAAGCTATAAGCAAAGCTGTTTATCCTCTTCTCAAAAGGTATCGAGTCATTCCATTCCATCCCAGGCAAATATCCTACCAAAATAGACACAACTTGTGGTCCGGTATAATAAAAATGTCGCCCTGTAGGGTTACTGTGTTTTTATTTTTTTTTATTTTTGCACATTTAGCAAATATCAAAATATGACTCTTCAAAAAAAAAGTAATTATGAGGGAGATTACGGCTAATTATTCAATTGGGTTTCGTCAACATGCCCTGTCAGCCTATCCGTAAGTCTCCCCTTAATATATAATTAACATTCAAACTTCCTTGAAATTGCAGGCACCAGGTAGAGATCGATTTACCGTTATCGTAATGACAACTCAGAGAGGTTCCATAACATAAAGAAATATATCTTTGATTTCGTGAGATCCAACAACTTGGCCTTAGAATCTGATGCCCTTCTTATTCTCTCGTTATCTTCAATTCTCTTATTAAAAGAATAACAATCGACTATACAAAGACATGATCCCGTCTTTTTTTTCAGTAATATACTATACAAAAAAGTGCGCAGAATCAGCCTTGACTCTTTGAAACTGTATAAAGCGTATGCAATAAATCTAGTGATTGAATCAACGCAGCATCTTCCTTACTTGGCTTAGAGAGAACCATAGATAAGAAACTCATCGTATCTGCATCTCAGCTTCTCCAACTTCTGCCAACGGATCCAACAAATTCAAACATGCAAGACAACACTCATTACAAGATATATTTTACATGAAATACAACCTTTATTTGACGATCATAAACGAGACATACGCCTGGAGTTTGGTTTTATTGGTTACTCAGATTGTATCATTACCGTTTTTCCACACCATACAGATAATGGTATGAATGCGGGCTATGATGAGGTAAAAAGACAATCAAGGGCGGGAAGCCACTGTTTGGTCAATTTGGATCTTGTGCGGCTTGCGACGCTTGGGAAAAGAAGAAAGAAGTAGAAACGATTGTGTATTGAATAAACGTTATTTCCCAGCCCCATATATTACGCTTTATTTAATCCGGCTACATGTTGGTGAATTTAATTGTGTGGCTGAATTGGGTTATGTGCTATTTCAGATGTTTGTTTCGGAAGTCCCTGCTTACCTGACAAACTCCAACAATTTGGAAAATGCTATGTATGTTTTCAATCTTTTTGCGAACCTGAAGATAGCAATGCTGACATCTTTACTTGGTGCTATAATTCTCTGCTTGCAACTGATGTTATGCTCATGCTGGATGTAAAGAAAAATAGGAAGAGAAAAAAACAGCTGGGTACTGTTCTTCTAAATAAATAAAATCATCTTTACTCTGTTTCCACCACAGTATTACAGTTGTCTGTTTATTCCAATCAATTTCCAAGAGCTCTTTTAAATATATATTATCACTTTAATGATAATAGTAATAATCAAAAATAATAAAAGCGTTAGACTTGCAATCCAGCTTAATACTGGTCATATTCAAATTTGGTTTTCTGTGAAATGCAATACTCTAATATTATATTTTCAACTTTAAAGTTTTCCCATAATCTAATAAAAATATCATATCAAGCTAAAAGAAATTAAATGTCCAAAATTTAAGATAATAATAATAATATAATACAGATATATAACTATTCCTCCTTGACTTCGTTTTCATCTGTAGAAGTTCCCCACAGTGCCCACTTTGTTGGTAATAATGAGGTTAACTTTGTATACTCTGGCTCGGGATCTAATTGGGAATTCCGTTTCGCCAAGCCAATCTCACGATATATGCATTCTACAGCTGTCTTTACACCATTTTCCTAAATAACCAGGCAATAATATACATAGATGGATCAAATAAGATTTCTTAAATTACATATCTATTCCTACAATTCAATCTTACCGCTCGAATGGTTTCTCCAATAGACTTTGCTCTAGCTATCATACTAGAAGAGCTAGTGATGCTCACCAAAGCATCGGATAATTTGTTGATCGTTAACTTTGATATACAGACACCAATTCCGAGTTCTTCTACACGCTGTCCCCAAAAACGTTGATCTCCAAAGAATGGCTTAATAACTGTCGGGAGACCAGCTCTTAATCCAGCCGCAGTTGTACCTGCTCCTCCGTGGTGAACAACACCCTGGATTTGAGGGAACAGCCAATCGTGAGGAACTGATGATACATTAAATATTGTGCCGGGGTACTCGTTCAATATATCATTGGATTTATCAACCTCACCAGAAGCCTCATTTAATGTCTCACCCTTGGAACGAGCAGACCAGCCCTTACTAATGATGGCTCTGACATCGGCTTCAATAACAGCTTCAATAAGAGTTTTACTAAGGGCTTCAGGGTCTGGAACAATGATGGATCCAAAGCCAATATAGACTATAGGGCGTTGATCTTCTTTTTTGAGAAAGGCTACAAGAGCCTCATCAGGCTTCCAGGATTGGTACGGATTGTCGAGAAACCAATAACCTGTGACATGAACATAATCTGGCCAATCTCTAGGAGGAGATACGATTGTTGAACTGAAGGAGTATATATGTGGAACACGCCAGAGAGCAAGCCGATCAAGGGTTGTAGATTGTAGCTTTAGTTTGGTACGTCTAAAGCGGTTGATGTATCTTTGAGTGCCAGCCCACAATGCCATTTCAATGACAGAGTAAGTCATGTCATTGTAAATTCGACCGACTGCAGTAGTTTGGACAGCAAATGGGTGTGGGAAGCGAGTTGTCTGAGACCACGGAAAAGGCATTGACCTAAAATAGGGTATTCCTAAATATATATGCATTGTTATTTTTATCGTGTTAGAATGCATATATACAACGAGAACATATGAAATACACAGATGAAATTCATACCTAGTTTTTCGGCAAAATGAATGCCAACCATTACGCTCGGACTTTCGATCAAAAGGTCTGTTCCCTGGCAAGCCTCCCAAGCAGTTTCTAATAGAATCTCAAACCAGCCATAGAACTGTGAAGTAAGGTATGCGATTATTATCTTCCAAGCGTAATACCTCAAATATAAATACGACTTACAAAAGAAAGTCCTTCCCGTATAAAAGCAACCGACAAGAAGTTGTTATCAATACATAATTTCTAAAATAAATAAGTAAATAAATAAATAAGATGAAACACACTGTGTGTTTATTTCAATTTTTCAACTCTTTTGGCTCTTACCATCAGTTCACCTGGATCGCCTCCAATTGATCGGAATTCAATACCATGTCCCTCTACCCAACCCTTGTATTCTTCGTGAGATGCGATACAACACTTGTGACCGTCTAGCATCAATTGTTTGCACAATGCAATATAGGGCTGAACATCACCCCGGGATCCAATAGTCAAACATGTAATATGCATAGGTTTGGGTGACTTGTAATGTGTTTCCACTTTCTCAGTCTTGAGGGATGATAATAAGGGTGGTCCATCTAATTTTTGATAGAAAAACAGTTGCCAAATAAGTACCGAGTCTATTTAAGTAACAGAGAAGTGTACACCTACTATACTTTTCTGGAAGAAGGACATGTTCCTGAGACTTTGAAAGAATATCTGCTAAAGTAAGTGGATATGTGTGAATAGATATGGGTTTTTGAAGATTTTGTTTATCCGAAGATTTTAACATCCACTGTAGATATAGGACAGCATAGCATCTATCACGCAAGACTTGCGAGGAAAACTCAAAATACACCTGTTACAGAGATACAAACAAATAAGTTACTTTTTTCTTCTTCTTCTTCCTATTGGATAATCAAAAGGAAAACCTGTCTACCTCTTCTTGAATGTTCTTGAAAGTGATGCCAAGTCCAAAGAAAATATAATAACCCCGGCTTTTTAGGCGTCGAATATTTACAATGTCTTGACTGGGAACAATAAGCTACAAATATATCAATACATATGAAAACAAAATAAATAAAATGTACAGATAAGAAAGATGCAATTGGTATTTCGCTAATTACCTTTTGGCGTCCTGCAAGTATTCTTGAATGAAAACAAACATAGTTTTCTGTCAAGTAGATCTTGCCATAATACGGTAATATCTTCCATAATGCCGTATTAAAGACTATGTTTTAATAATAATACAGTTATTTATAAGTCTATAGTTTGATTAAACAAGTATAAAATATAGCTTACCCCCAACTACAGATTCAGCTGTTCCCAACATAGCAAAATGTGTCACCAACTGTTTATTCATTTTTGCTTGTTCATCCTGGTCCTCTTTTTTGATTTGAATTATGAGATCCGATCCATTAATGCCAAAGTTATTACACGGGCTATTCCTTTTTTGAAAATTCGACAGAAAAGCAAGACTAGTCCATGCTGACGACCCAGATTTGTTCTTATACAGGTGAGCTACAACCTGTTCAGTCATATCTTCTGGGGCACTGTTGGGATCAGGGATCAGTATCCCTGGGGAGGGATCTGAAACTCGGTGGCGATGATGAGCAAGTTTCTTTTCTTCTTCGGGATCTTTTTCGTCGCTGAATCCAAAAGGCCTCAGAGCAAAGTTACGGATAGAGTTTATTGAACTACTTCTAAATCTTCCGGATTTTTTGGTAGATTGACGAGGGGACAAAGTGGAAGCTTTGGGTATAGTGTCCGGAAGGGATTCAGCCAAGGGAGCCTCAGGCTGAGAGAAGTTTGGAGGGCTGGCTATAGATTGCGGGTCATGTTTCCGTCCCGAATGTATAGCTTCTGAAACCGCACGTGGTAGCTTTGAAAGTGTATTGTGAACCTCATGTGTAATGGAGCGTGTTTGTGCCGTGTCTGAGGCAAAAGGAGTAGCACTCTCGACGGCAAGACTTTTGGGGGGTGAACCTGAGAAGAGAGAAAAATCTGCGGCTGAAAAATCAGAATATTGGCTCCGCAACAAGGTCATTGGACTTGTAAAGGCGCTCACTAATAGAGCGAGTACAGAAGAAGGTGTTGACCCATTTCCAGGATTAACGCTCTCAAGATCGCCCAAATCTTCCTCTTTGGGAGCATTGATTTCAAATCGTTGGATCCCCTTTTCGGCCTGCCACAAATTGCGTAGGGTGCTCACAACAATGCTAATGTTGGGAAAAAACGCAAAAAAGTACTAGACTCAGGAAATAGGTAAGCTTTTCTTAAACATAATTTTAGGCAAGGATTGCTTGGTTCTAACCTCATCACTTTGATCGCCCATTTCGTCTAGGTCAGCAAACTTGATATTCAGATAATCCACAAATTCAAAGGCTTGGACTTGCTCAATTTGAGTAATCTTTGCCAAAGGTATAACAATTCGAACTGTGCTTCCGGTATTCTTGGCCATAAACACAGCCCTTTGCAATTCTTCCAGCCTAATAGAAATCAATCATCATTACCTCATATCAAATATATACCAAAAATAAAAAAATAAAAAAACCTGTTTCTTTAGCACAACACTTGCCATTCTTTCTGTGATACATCAGAGTCAGCATGTAATTCAAATCTTCGGCTGTCTGTTGCTAATATGATACCAAGTGGTTTCGTTGAAGATTCTTCAACTTGGATGATTTGCTCAAGGTGAATGGTACCCAGAGGTCTGTATTTACTTTCGGCTGATTCATACCATGAAAGCACATGATTGCGTAACTCAAAATAAAAGCGCGTCAATCGAGGTGATGTCCGATGCTTCTTCTTGGACAAATAACCTGTTTTTTGAGCCTAAATAAAAGTATAAAGCATTTATAAACAAAACAAAGTCCCTAATTTGAATAATCTCTAAGCTTTTTTTTAGCTTGCTTTACAAGCCTTACATCTTTTCCAGGTAATGCAGCGTAAAAACAGACATGTTTCTCGGTCAAGAAAAGAAATCCAGGTAATGTTACCAAGCGGACAAGATAGCACGGAAATTCTAATAAAGAAATGGGTTAAATAAATATACACATTGTGCGTAAATAAGCAATTCTTTATTTACAGCCCTTTTTTTCCCTTTATCTATTTGCTCTTTGGTTCCTGTTCTTTGTCGCTTAGCTTTATGTATTTCAAATATTCAACTGGTCTTACCACCAATCCATCGTTCAAGCGGCGATAGTTCAAACACAGACATCATCTCTGCCACTGCAGAAGTATCTCCAAGAGGTCTTCCGATAGACATCTCGGAGAGAGTACGTTGTGGGGCTGGCCTAGGAACATTAAGAGGGCTCGGGACTGTTTCAGTGTTGTCACTGCAGAAACATAAATTTTAGTGATAGTCTATTGGAATGAGATTCCTCATTCGACATGCAATAAAAAAAAAGGAAAGTAAATGCACCTTTGTGTTGTGTTCATTATTGTTCGAAATGAGTTTTTTTTTGAGAGACAAGCAGTATAAGAAACGTATAAATCAGCTCAGAGCTCACTTACTCTAAATGCTTGCCAGTCCCGCTCATAAAATAGAATACAATAGAAAAAAAAGGTATAATAAAAAAATAAAATTAAAATAAAATAAAACTTGGACCTGGTTACATTCATCCCATTACAAAGTGTCAATGGGTCAGTAGTGCAACCCTCGGGTCGACTAATCAGCCGAAATATTTTAGCACGCATGAAAGACAAACCTAATTATTTACGCCGGTCAGCCATTTATTTCATTTCATTTCAATTTATTGCTATATGTTATTATTATGATTGAATAGTTAAATGCAAGTGTATATGCAAAAAAGGAAGGGCGTATACATAGTGTGTAGTTCCATGAAGAAGATATTTAAGAGGGAGTGTGTGAGAGAAAGGGGTGAGATAAGAAGGGAGGGAGAAATAATGGGTAAATAAGGCAAAACGTTTTTGTTGTTGTTGTTGTTGTTGTTGTTATTGTTGTTATTGTTGTTGCCTAAGTGTAGCGTGTAAAATCCAGCAGGGCTTCCAGACTAATTCCTTCCTTTGGTTTTGTTGCATTAGCCAGAGGTGTTGTTGGCGCAGATGTGTTACCAGTTGCCCTGTCTCTTACACGCCTAATGTGTCTCAGTCGTTCTCGCCAATGAGCAACATACTCCCGCTTTCCGTTGGCTCCAGATTGCACCTGAGCAAAAATATTAGCGTGTAAGGCCACTTGTCGAACAAATCCGGGAAGTGAATGAGCCGAAATCAATTTTGGTTCGGTAATCGGTCCAATATCCGGCATGTCCGGCCTTCGCTGTAGTTCCACCCTGAAGAATGAATTCTCGGCACCCCACAGGGCTTGTGTTGCCATGGTCTCGGTCGATATAGAGTGTGGCGAGACAACAATGTTCACAAAGTTAAACTGTCCGGGAAGCGTATTAAATGCATAGTCAGCCCCAGAATCATTGTAAACAATTGACACATAATCGTTTCCGATATGTCGCTTCTTTGCACTACATTGAGGATCTCGTTCAAGATTGGTAGGCATCATTGTTGCCACGTGGAAGATCATCTCAGTTACATCATCCTTCCAAAAGTATGCGTGTCTACCATCGATATCCATCTCACGGTCCAATCCACCCGTATTGCCTGTATTACCACGGAGACGTTCAATTGTACCCAATCCGTGGAGAAATTTGATGTAGTCTGGAGACCCGATAGTATTTGCCAAAATCTCGACCTCGTGATTCTGTCCAGGTCCTACATACAGTACTCCAATCTTGTGAAAATCAACCACAGGTATACGATCAAGCGTAGCCAGTGTACGCAAGGTAGCATCGTCATCAGGTAATGGAGGGGGTGCCTCGACAAGGCGAGTGATATCTGGATAATTATATAGTTGAAGGTAAAGCAAACCAGGGTCAAGCAATTGGTCTGCTTTTCTAATATTATTCCCTGGATGGGCCGAATTTTGAGGATCAGACATGATTTCCTTAATCATCAATCCTCTTCTTTCTTCCACTTCGGATCGAATTGCGAAAGGGTCTTGTTCTCCTTGTATTGCCCTAGGACCTGTAGTCATGCTATCCGTAGGGAGCTTTTGAGAGAGAGAACCTCGTCTGTAAGAAAGATCTGGGCTGGTAACTGTAACTTCAGGACCTTGTACAGGAGTCATTGATGCACTTCCAGATCGAGATAGAGGCAAAGAATAACTTGCGTTAGCTTGTTCAGATTGGCGCCGTGAATGTGGCTGAGTCACGGTCGTTTTCTGGTCATCATCTCGTGTATCTTCAAAAGTAATTCCTAAAGCATCTTCGTCAGACTTTGGTTTCCATCCATCATCAAGAGGTCTTGCTTCAATATCTGGCTGACATTGCATCATCAAGAGAGCAGGTAAAGTTTTGTAGTCAACCTGGTCCGTTTTTATCTTGTTTTCAATATTACACATCATAGAAAATGTTCCCGATGGTCGGCGGATGGTTACTTCTACCCAACCTATGACCTTGGCTGTCTTGAGAGTTAGAAGCGTATGACCATAGACCCATGTTCGGCTATTCTTCGTCCCAGAGGTTTCTCCTATCAGAACTTTTGAGACAAGTGATTTTGTAGGTGAAAGGCTGATATCAGAGAAGCTGAAACGAGAAAGCATGTCAATGCAAGTAAAAGTTTGTTCGTCAATCGGGCGTCCGAGTGGATTTCCACCTAACAAGCGTTGGATAATAAAGGGCACATGTTTACGCCGTTCTCTGAGAGGCATTGCTGTGAACCAGATTGTGATAACCAGATAAGCCATGATAAGTACATATTGAGCCATGGCACTCTGATGTTGTTGAGGTTCTTTGGATTGAAGAGGAGTAGACGGTGAACTGCCTGGAAGTGGCGATCCAATCATAGGTGAACTGGTTGGTGTGGAGGTCGCTGATTGGGACTGGGTAACTGTGTGGGAATATTGAAGATAATTGAGGGCAATAGCAAACACGGGTTTATACATATCGCTCGTAAAGTTGGAATATAAATTTGGAAGTCTTGCCAATGCAGACAGGAATTCGAGAATATGCACAGATACACTGCTGACAGAAATTATCTGGGACATTTTCTGGAGTATTTCATTGATCATCTTGGCTATCGATAGAGGGAGTTCATGGCAGCACAGGTTGAGAGCGTTGATACATGGTTTTGTTGATGCTGTGACATGAGTTATTCCTATGTAGAAGGCATAAACAATTTCATCCTGATCCTGTTTACTGAATACACGACGATAGGATATCAACATTGTCAATATGTCATAAGCATAGCGGTTGAGGTCATTGCGTTTGACGGTCGGTGGTAAGGTGCTCACATTCTCAAGGAATTTTCGAGTGTTTATCCATTTGACAACAGCTCTCCTTAGCTTGTGTATCTGAAGAGTGGCACCGCAGAAAAGATGCTTGTTTGACAGCTGGATAGGAAGTCGTTTAAGAACAAAGAGAACAGTATCCCAATCAGAACTTTGTGAGATAATCTTGATGTAGGCCTTGAGTGCTTCATCAAGTGGGAGGGAAGTACCGCTACTGGGATCAGTATGTTCGTCAAAATAAGACAAAACGGTTGGGCTAGGTTGTTTTTTCACTGGAGTCAGGGTCACAGCAGGGCCTAAAAGTCCTGCGGATTTATCTTCTGGCTTACGCCTCTCTCGCTCTCTACGCATTGTAGCAGTGGTAGGATCGTTGAGATCATCTAAAAATATTGAATCAATCCTATTGTAGGTATGTATTGCTTTCTTTGTTGCTCTCCTATCCATTTTCTTCTACAGCTAGCTTACCTTCTTGTATCACATATATTCTATGATTTGGAGGGCATCGAAGACGGAGGAGTAAATCTAATGCAATAATCTTGACGCCACCTGAAGGACACATCACATCATCGTTGCTATTCGCTGATTCTGTAATCACCTTAAAAACCTTTGCGCATGCCGTACTCTCACCGTACAAAAGGCGTTCAAATATTGTAATGAGACCATTCATGGCCGAAAGTCCCATACACGCAGAATGTTCTTGTTTGCTAGAAGGAATCATTGGACTAACTGCAGGAGAAACCGACGTGCTTCTGGGAAGAGTCATCAATGGAGAGTGTAGTCGATGAGAGGTAGGCTGTGATTGGCTATGAGAGCGTCGCAAGCCGGCCATTGTTGCCTCTTCCTTGAGAGATTGGATTTGTGTTTTGGGTTCTCGAAAGCACTTGCACCGAGCACATTCGTCCAAGAGCTCTAACATTGTATCAAAACAAGTTTTATCACGACAATCGTGAATAGCATCTACCAAAATATCAACAACCCCTTGACGAATCTCTGTATCTGGCTCGTGGGCCATCTTGGTCATCATTGGGATTATCACCTTGGTGTACATTTCTTCGGGATAAAAATCCCTTGCGGATTCATAAACATGTCTAACAATCACGAGTGTGCGTTCACGTATGATGTGTGAAACTGTGACAGGTACGAGAAAGGTTTTGATAACATCAAGAAGGAGGGAGAGCCAATTCTCGGCAGATGGTAGCAAAACATGTTCGGTTTCATAGTATGTCAATAGAATGCTAGCTAGATTCTCTGAAATAACGTGTCGGATAGTATATAATGTTTTCATAAAGCGTGCAACTGGACCGAGGTATTTTTTGGTGGTGAATTGGCTGTGAATTCGAGTGATGAAGCGTACAAATTGATAAATAGGATCCAGTCTATCTGCCTTTTCATCCACGACAGGATATTCAAACATATCTTTGAGTGGACTGTCGAGCTTAAGGACATATTCCGTGCAATTATCGATGCAATCCCAAATAACATCCCAGTCGAGCAAGCCCAGTTTGTTTTCGGGGTTCTCTACCAGGGATACAAGACAGTTCAATACAGAAGCACACATTACTCCATTTTGCTGGAGAGTAGCTCTTCTTAGATACATGAGTAAAACCGTATCTGAGACCATATATGTTTCTGCCCCTGTCTTAGATTTCTGTCCCCAAGCAGCTTCACTGAGAAGTTGCATAGCACCTTGGGCAATTACTGGATTAGCTGGACTATCAAGGAACTTGCAGAGCGTCAGGATTGAGCTGTGAGCGCAGTGAGATCGTAAAAGGTTCATGAAAATGGACCAGACAGAGAGTGAACCGGTTGGGAGTACTTCTTCTGGCAAAACTATAGACTCGCATAGGATTTCCAAAAATGTCTTGAGGGCCTCAAATGGCACAAACCGGTAACGTACCACAACGTCTGCAAATGTTAAACAGGCTTGTATATCTTTTGGGTGATGGGACAGTTGGAAGGCTGCTCGTACGGCTTTTATCATATCGGCCACCTCAGTTTCTTCAAACATCGCAAAGTTGAATTTTCCTGTGAGGGTCAGAAGGTGGAGAATGTCACTAAGATAGTCAATAGGAACGGCTTTTGGTGATTGGTCTGGTGCTCTTGAGAGGGCCATGTCGATCCAGGTCATGAGGAGTTTGGCGATATTTTTCTCAAACCCAGAGATGTCTCGACCTCCTTTGCATAAAGCATACAGGACATTGTACATGTCGACAAAATCCTCCCAATGGTCGCGACTCTTGAGAGCACTATAAAATGTAACACGCGCCATGCCTAGGTCATCATATTGACCATGAATGCAGGCCAACATGAACTCAAACACTGTGTGGCGTGCATCCCTGGGTATAGGGACTTCAAGAATATCTTGAACTGCGAAAAATATATTTTCAAGGTGAGAGAACTTATAATTTTTACAGAGCTCTGATAGAGCCTTTAGGTGTCTGCAACGCACTTGAAGTGGTTGAGAATTCGACAAGAGAGGTAGGGCCGGGCGTGCATCGAGAGGTGTAGAAGGGTCGACATCGGTCAGATTAAAACAGGATTCCACAGAGAAAGAAGATGCCCGTGGTCGAATAAGATTGCTAAGCCAGCGATTCGATACAGAAGCAGGCTGCTTGTTCGACAGAGACATGTGGGTGGAAAGAATGTCTTTCTTTTCGTTTTTTCTTTCTTTCTTATGGTTTGTAAGACACAAGTAAAACCAACTGTTCTTGGGCACTTAGCACAGAGATAGAGGGTTAGTGTGCTGTGACCGTAAATTTGAAAAAGGAAAAGGAAAGAGCTTGGAGTTTCGGGGCAGTTGAAAGCAAGTAAAAAGTAATAATAATAATAATAAGAAACTTTTTTAGTTTATAGTTCAGGATTTCAGCCTATTTTATTATTATTGCCGAGCGTCTATAAAGATAATGACGCTTTATATATATAGAGATACTATTAGGGCCAAGCCGTTCCCACATGCCTTGATGCCCTGATTTCTGATTTCATCAGCCCACTTATTATAAATGTCGTTTTTATTGACGATGAAGTTGGTCTGGTTAAATAAAAATTCATCAATATAGACTTGAGAAAATTCTTATTAAAATCAGCTACATACAAGTGATATGTATTATGACACCAGTAACACTGTATAGCATATATATATGCACACGTTATGAAATATAATTATCTGACATGTTGCCTGGAATTATCAGGAGGTATAGCCTATTTGTGTAAAATCCCAATTGTCTCATTGCCCCATGATCAAAAATATGTGTGTCTAGAACATAGTCTATTCTGACATAATTTTACTTTATTACTATTGTACTTGACATTGCCATTATTATTACTGTTATCATTATCATCATTTAAAGAAAGTAAAGCTCTCCAAATCTCACCAGATATTGTGAGTATCTGAATCTTAAGTTTTAATATCGACTGATCTAATAAAAATCATCTTTGTCATTATACTGCTTTCTATTGAATAAACATTCTTGGTTTTTGCTAACCACAATTCTTTTAGTTTGTGAACATTTACTATATTTTCACTTATTATTCGCACATCGGTAAGTAAATTTTTGCACGCTTGGATTTTATTTTCATATAAAATTATTTTAAGATTATTGAAAAAAGTGGTTCTTTAACACTAGAGTGAGGAAAAAGAAGCCATAGAATGACATATTAACCTTAATTATTGAACTTCTTGACTTTTTTTTCGTAGATTCTTTGATAAATTCGGTGAGATTATCCTTATAATTTTGTGTAAAATAAAAATTCAAATGTGTGAATTTAATTGGAAGAAATGTGTGAAAAAATTTATTCAAAGTTGGCGAATAATTAGTGAAAAACAGTACTTTCGAAAATATTGATTTGCTTTCCAATAAACAATACACAAAAAAAAGTACTTTCGAAAATGAGATCAATTTCCGGAACAGTGATCCGAAAATGGAGAATACTTTGCTTGAGACATACGATGGTGTGATGTGGATGAAATTCCTTTTGTTGATATTGAACGATCTCTCATTCTCACTTTGAACATCGATTGGATTCAATCATTCAACAATGCAACATACTCCTGCGGCGCATTTTACCTTGCAATCAACAATCTTTCTCGCAGTGAAAGATTCAAGAAAGGCATTGATATACTCCTTGGGCTAACACCTGGTCTAAAAGGAGTAAGTACATCAGATATCAATCATTACCTCAAGCATCTGGTACACGAGTTTAAGGAGTTGTACATGGACAATACAATCAAGACCCACCAATGTCCAAATGGTACCACTACTTGACCTGCCCTCTTCACGGCTCCCTGTGACATCCCTGCTGCAAGGAAATTATATGGATTCACGTCTCATATGAGTACAAACGCATGTCATAAATTTAATCGTCAAGTATTCCGATTAGCTGGAACGAGCTCTGTTGGTTATTTCGGATTTGATTTCTCAAAATGGCTTCTTCGTTCTCGGATTTCTTGAAGCTTCACGAAGTCTTTCAATGACAATTCGTGGAAACGAGCCCCTGCCACCATCCGCCTTGCCATTAAAAACAAGACCTTTGTCATTTATGCCAAAACATGAATACGACTGTCTTGTAGGATACTACCAAGCTGCATACAAGAATTCTCGGATCTCAAGCTGCAAAGATATAATTGATGACTCACCTTTCGTCAATGACTGGATCGAAACGGTGAAGTCTGTTGATCTTCTTGGTCAGACCTACAAAGGGTGCATTGGCACAAATGGCCGAGGATCATATGTACAAGCATACTTCACTGAACGAACTGGGTCGGAACATGCGTATGTTGGAGAGATTCAGTACCTTTTTGTTCACAACTTTAAGCCAACTGTTTCTTCTCTAACATACAGACATCCCCAAAGTAGCCAGCATGTATTTGCATTTGTTAAATGGTTTAAAACCACCTCTGACAAAACAAGAGAATTGGAAGGAGTCGAGTTGTTGCAAGATGAATTCTACAAGGCAGATTTCCAAAGCATCCTGCCTGTACATCGGATTCTCATGACAGTTGCAATAGTAGACTACAAAACTATAAGAAACGTCAGCAAAAAACTCGCAGCTCCTTTACCTAAAAGAAATTATTATTAATTCCCACATTTATACGTATATCTATTTTTTGAAATAAAAAATATTTTTCAAAAAAAAAAAAACGCCCTAAAAAACGATTCGAGATCTAGTACAAGAAGTATCGCCTTAGTCTTGCGTATATAGATATCACGGTTTATCTGCACAATCGTGTCGATTAAAAGCAGTTTATTTGTAGAATCCAACTCAACTCAATTTTATTTGTTTTATTGAATTGTCCAATAGAGCATATTTTGTCTCAATAGAATGTTTCGTATTTAGAAGTTCTGTTATTATATCTTATTCATTAGGCTCTCACTTTTAAAACAAACGTGGCATAAAACGGTGTTTTAAAAACGAACCTATATTTTGGTTGAGGTTGACGCGTTGGATTTTTTATAAGAATTATACTTCAACGTATTGATCATTATACTTTCGGAATTAAGGAGGACTGCTCTGATTTAACATAAATATACGGTTTATAGAACCAACTTATGAAAAACTATATAATACAATTATCATGTCACTCAAAAACTTACATTTTGTAACATATTTTCAGAAAGACAACCTTCGCAGTGATGTATGTTATAATGTAGGCTATAAGGTTGTAGTTTTCTTGAAGCGCAGCTTTCTCCACCGCGAACCATATCGGATAAGAATGATAACAATGGTGTTCGAGACCACAAGAATAAGTCCAAGAATAGTAAACATCCATCCGGTACCAATTCCTTGGATCCCTGGATCAATTGCAACGGTGGCAATCGCACTAATAAAAAAAAACCAAATATTAATATATAATTTTGTGATGCAGTTTATTTTAATTATAAGAGAAAGTTACCCAAGTATGCATCGCACAAGATTGTTTGAGGCAGTAATGGAAGCACCTTTACCAGGAAACAGATCAACCAAGAGAGTTTGGAACGTGGTCATAATACTGGTAACTGAGATTCCAACTATTGATTGTAATGTTTATATCAAGGTCAGTTTCTAGACCTGTAAAGTCATGGTTAGTTACCAATGAACTGAAGAAATAGAATTGCGCCCAACGGAGCGTTGATATGAATACACCAGCCGTAGATAATAGTTACAGTCTGAGTGAGACCTGCATATATCCACAGCATACGAAGTCGAACGTAATAAATTGGAAAGGCAGTTGAAATGCTGCCTGTAACTGGATCTTTCTCGGCCAATAGTCCAAGTTTCTGACAAAGATATCGGAAATCACGATCGAGAAGTTTTCCATTTGATAATGACCCAATAAGAGAGCCAATACCTTGACAAAGGAAACAAAGACCAACTTGTATTTCACTGAGACCATAATATTCTTTAAAAATAGATGGTGTCGACGTAAGAAAGCAATACAATACTGAGTAGTGCAAGGCATTGTAGAGTAAGGCTAGGAAAACATCGACTTCAAGGAGGTAATGAAATGGTAAGGTGAAATTAGGGATTGTTCGGAACTGGCTTGTGCTTTTGATATTTGAAATGGACTGGTCCTCGTATTTGCCTTGTGCAGCTTTTTTATGGCGGTGGTGGTTTAACCATTGGATTGGGGTGGGATTTGCATAGCCAGATCCATCCCCTACTAATGCACGAAGAGTCTCGGGGATTAAGAAGAGGATAAGGGAAAAAACGATAGCTCCGATGATAAACAAAATCCAAAAATTAAACCTAATTAAGAATATGTAGAATAAACTTAGAATTTGAAGTGATTCAATGCATATTATACCCTTCATTATAATTACCTCCATGATATTGTTTCTGATACAATTCCGCCTATTACTGGTCCTATTACCGGTGCCATGAACTGTCCAGTAGAGTAGATGCCAAAATAGGTCCCACGTCTATAGCTCATGGTTAATCATGTATATCTGTCAATATCAGAAACTGAAGAAAAGGAAATGTCTATAGATACCTAGCAGAGTCAGAGATATCTGATATTACACCAGCACCTGAGTTCAATGATTTTTAGAATGATGTAGGTAATAATTGTCACTTTTAATAATGCCTACTTCTGTATGTAAAGCAATAGATAAGTGCCAAGAAGTGGAATATAACTCACCAATTGCAACAACAGAACTTGATCCAAATGCCTGTAACATTCGTAGTACCAATAGTAACCAATAGGTTTTGGATTCTGCAAGTCCAGCACACGCACCGAGATATATAACAAGAGTCATTATATATACAGGGCGTCTTCCCCAGACATCAGCTAGAGATCCCCAAAAGGCTGGGGATATACCCTGACAGACCATGTAGAGTGTAACTGTCAAATTGACAAGCTCTGATTTTATTCCAAAGTCCTTTAAAAAAATTAATATTTTTGTGCTTTTCTTATATATTATCAGTACATTAATATTTAAAGCTTCATTTACCGTTTTAATATCGTTCAATGCAGGAAAGTAGATGTTTGCCGATAATGGAGAAAGCATACCGGCAGCGGAGGAGATAAACACAATAAGTAATATTCGTCCAGGTGAAAAGGCTGAATATGGCTTCTGTATTTCATCAAGCCCTTCTTTCGTCTGGATAGAACCAGCATCTGAGCACATTATACTATTATCTAGTTGAATAATAGTATCAGAAAACGTAGCAATAGACACTACCGGAGCATAGAAATATAATTTTGATGTATTAGTAGAACTTTCATCATAGCCTACAGTCTTATTTTATCTGATCCCTTTCTTGAATAACATGCTCTGCTCTTTACCTTTACTAGATTCGCTCATTCTTTAAGATATAAGAATTCTTTACTAGGTTGTATACTAGCAATAATTGCATAGATGTACAGTATAGACAAACAATATTAACTCTTGTGGAGAGTTGATTTATACTATGGGCTGTATACAAGATCAATACTCCTATAAAAATCAATATTAATTAAACAAATGGTGCCTTATATATACACATTTACAGCTGCAACTTTTAAGCTTGGTAATCTAGTATATTTTATACTAGAGTGCGCAGCGTTTTTGAACTAAATATCAATAGGGTGTTGATCTGTTGTGTCCTTATTAAGCATATTTCCTAAAAGTTTGTCTCAGCAGAAAGAAAGACACAGGGAAATAGATAACCCATACTTATTCCTAAAAATATACTCGAGCATTAAGGCTAAATCTTAACCCAGCACTTACACTTCGTTTAAGTTAACAGTAACATTTTGCAAGTGCAACAGTAAAAAAAACGTCACGGGATTTTGATAAGTATGAATAAATACCTATACATGTTGTCATTATCTCTTATATATATATATTAAATAATAGCTAGAAAGCCGACTATGACTCAACGAGGAGACTTACAAACGCATGAAGGTTTATAGTCTGAGAACATTTAATTAAGCAGGGTGAAATGCAGGTCATAAAGGCTTGATATAATGACAATTGCGATGTAATAATATTTTCTGGAGCTTCTCAGTCCATCTCCTGTTGACTCTCACTTTTCTTTTTGATATAGTGATAGTGATAGTGATAAAGCTACCTAATGTCATTATATAAAACACTAAGTGTATATTTTGAAACATCGTACTGAAGATTACATATATATATATATAAAGCCTGGTGCATTTACTGGAGTATATATTATTGTTAAAAAATATGCAGTGGTAATACTAGGGGTATTCGTAATTTGTTTTATGGGCTATTATTTTAATAATTGGAAACTTAGATGCTGTAATGTTATTTTGTTAGAGGGTAAAAATAATGAATTACATCTATTACTATTCAAATCCTTTGTAGTTCAAATCATGGTTATATAATGACTGGTTTACACTGTATAGGAGTTTATTGTACGTGTGCATGGTGTGTAACAGTTCCAAACAGTGTTAGCTTGCAGGTTCATTAGCAAGAAGGAATTAGAGTTCGGTTGTTGAGTTTGTATTTCACTCGACTGTGGTCTGTATACCACAGAACCTATAGCTCTTACCTTGGGATAAGCACTACCAGCAAGATCGCGAGGTTCTGCTCATAATAAATCGAATATGTTTGAATGTCTGTTTGGCACAAACTGAACTACCATTGAAGTATATATATCATTCTATGAAAAAGTGGGAGTAGTTGAAACTACTTGTTAGTTCTGCCAAAAACTAACCGATTTCTTAGATATTGTCAAATACTTAAAAAGCTTAGGATTCTTCAATTCTATTTTAATGTTATGGACCAATTTTGAAAAGAAAGCTCTTGCCTGTAATTCAAGAAACCATCTCGGGTACCAAATAGATAATAAACTGATTGCTTGATTTTTTTTTAAAAAAAAAGGGTTGAAGGGTCAAGCAAACCGTATAATCTTCATATATCTTCAATCTGAATTTATATCTTCTTTTGATACAACACACAGTCATATCTGCCAATAGAATTTTAGTGCAATTGTGTTTCTTTATTCTGTAGAGTAGAGAGAACATGGGTTTATAGCAATCTCCTACCGTACACTTTTTCCGGAAATTATTGGTTCAAAAATAAAAAACTATTTGGTGCAAAAATGGAATTCACCAAACGCACCAAAAAAGATGGTTTAAGCAGAGAAATGGTAGAAAATGGCACCAAATTTTATCTTTAGTTTTGCACCAATAATTTCCGGAAAAAATGTATTTTAATTGTAAAAAGGCAATATGTGCATATGTTCAAAAGAAAAATTAAGGAAGATGCTTTACTATTGTGTCTAGTAGCCAAAACTTTCGTACTTTGACATTTGGTGGTGGAAAGGGCTCGCTGTAAAGCTGGGTCGTCTTTTCTCCAGTAACATCCCAAACTGTAACATATTCGAAGTCTCTGCCTGCGATATTTACTTTGATGTCAATTTTATCCAAACCAAAGCGCATTCTCATGACCAATATTTCATAGTTAACCTCCTTTCTATCATCGATTGGAAACTTGGTATCGAAGATAGCCACTAAATCAATTTCTTTAGCAGTAGGATACTCTGGAATTGGCTCATCACCGTCGTATGCATACATAGCTATCAATTATCACACTTAGTTTATACGTACACACTATTGAACAAACTTACATATAATTGGGACAACATTCTTTTTCCAGATGATCTTTCTTGTAACCCATGTGTCTTCTTTGACTGGGTCTCCCTTACGAATACACATATAAAATCTATTTTTGCTCGATTTTGTATTGGTGTCATTTTCAGTCTCATCAATAGGTGAACAGATCTTGATTCCGTATGTACGGCGTAAAATACGTTGAGTAACTTTGCGTGGATGTTGACCGAATAAGGCTGCTCCTTTCATTACTGCCAAATATGATTCTTCAATAACCTTGAAAGTCTTGACTCGATCATCAAAAGTATTTTGGATTCGTTCTTGAAGATATGGCGATTGCCCGAATCCTCCAGTAATAAACATTACATCCACTTCTCTGTCTCCTAGTTGCGAAAATTGTTTTTCAATTACATGAAGTACTTCATCTACTACTGGCTCGAATGTTTTGCGGATATCGTCCAATGTAAACAACTCCTCGTCAATTTCTGGATGATTCGTAATAAGTTCACGATTAATTTCATCCAAAGCTTCGACTATATTTTCGTTGTCATCACCACCAAATAATTCCTAGAAAACATGACAAGAATAATGTTTTATAATTATACTCAATAACCCTCTCTTAGACTCAATATATTGTATTCATTCTAGTTTACCTTTAAACCTTCTTTAAAAGTATATGTAGTAATATATATATCCCAGTCATTGATTCCGGGATATTTAGAAACCTTTTCTCTCAGCATAGTTTCAAACTGAGCATCCACAAAGCTGGATCCACAAGAACTACCAGTTCCCATGGTAAGTTCTTTTAAGCCATTTACTCCCGATGAGTTGTCTCGTTCAAATACAGCAATATCTACAGTTCCGCCACCAGCATCACATATCATGTAACAATCACCATTTTCGAGTACTAATTCAGGGGACTCGTATTCAGCGTGCAAGGCAGCAGCAACAGCTTCATCAACAATCAATAATCTTCCGGGCTCATCATATTTTGTGATGATACCAGCCAATATTGCAGCCTCTCTCATGATACCCTTTGATTCTTCAGACCATATAGTTGGGACTGTCATACAATATCTGTACTCGGAAGAGTCTATACATGCTGGGTACTCTTTAGGTACATTTTTGCATATGTCTTTGTACATTTCTCTCAAGTAATCACCAATAACTAGATTACAATATTAATGTCCACTTTGCATTATATGTGCGGTCATTTTTGTCTTTAAGTTTTACCTTCTACTGGGGTTAGATTGTGCGGTAAGGGTAGATGGTCTTTGATAGTTCTGTCCAGCCATAGTTTGACTCTTGTCACGTAATATCCTGAGTCGGGATTAAGACGGACTTCATCATTGGCATCTTCTCCATATTGAAGAAGTTCCTTGTATTCTTTTTTATAAAACATTGTGGATGGGGCTTCTTTATAGATCCAAGGTTCGTCATCCTCTCTATGTATACAAAAGAATATTAAAATAAATGCATTGTATTTAAAATACACAATTCCAATACTGGTTTCGTTTGAAGTATATATTGGCCTATAATATTTTGGATATGTAATATTGATTCACTTGTGTATTCTACATTATCAAATAAGACCTGATATGCATATTTAAGCACAATATCTAATATCTTACATAGGGTATTCATACTCTTCCGCTTCATCATCCTTTAAACTCGCTATTTGGTAGCCTGAAAAAGTAGTTCCAAAGTCTAATAAGCGTATTTTAAGCTTATGCTGGTAAGTTCTACTCCTTTGATAAGGTTATTATTACTATTACCTATTCCAACGATAATACTATAGACTTTTAGTGTACTCTCCATTGTTAAAATTATATATTGAATATGACAAAAAAAAATGAAAATAAAGAAATAAAAAGAGGTTACGAGATAAAATTTAAACTTTTTTTATTTATTTGTAGTTCTTAGAATAATCTCTTGTGTGGTTGTACAAAAACTCGATATTATTTACTTGTGACACCTTACCGAATAGTGAATACTTTATTGATTTTATTCAAGTCAGGCAAGTTCTTTAAATCTATTATATAATCGAGGCATACAAGTCTTCCCTTTGATACATATAGCATGTCTTATGTGCTGCTCCTTCATTAGACAAAAGTACAAAACACTCATAAGGAAAAGATGAGAAATAGCAAAATATTCATTTTTAAAGCTCAAATATTACACGAGCCAAACAACATCTATTCTATATCAAACTATGGTTTACACACACACACAAATCAAGTCTTTAATGAATTGGCTAACAATCACAAGTAGTAATATTATTTGGCAAATTAAAAATAGATAAAGTGTAATAAAGGAGAACATACCAACTTGGTATAATGTATGATCATTTCATAGGAATCAAAGTCCTTTTTTGTTAGGATGTATTTCTTTGTTTTACAAAACCTTACTTACAATCCAATAGACTGGGTGGCAATACAAATGTGAATTCCGCTAAAGAAGAGAAATGGATATGAATGTTACCTTTATGTTTTTTTTTTATACTTTATAATTTTAAAAGGAAAATACCTTTCTATCAGTAGCTCATAATAGTGACTATTTCATATTTTGATATTATAATTTAAGTATAAAAATGAAATGACATAAATGTAATGCTCATATGTATTTCTCCTCTTTAGAGGAATACAAATTCGTATTGCCACCCAGCCTACTGAACTGTACATCTCATCTATACATAAAAAATATTATTATTATTATTATTAAGTTCGCCTGCTTGACACGAGTTATTATAGCTTGAATACGGAAGTATTCTTTTTTGGAAGATCGAATGACAATTATACTTTGGATGAGACTATGGGCAGAAATTAAATCTCTAGAAAAACTATATAAATGACCCAATAAAACATTATTATAATGACGGCCCCGAGTTAAGTTTATGCACTTTGTGTGAACAGATCGAAAAAAGATTGGTCAAAGATAAAACAAATTCCAAAGTCTAAGCCGTATTGTCGGATTACAGTTTTTATTTTATTTTATTTTTTTAAAAAAAAAGACGAGAAAAAGGCAACCAACTCTAATCTGCTAGTCTTCTTCCTTTGCTAATTGAATTGGTAGTAAGACCATGCTTGATAGAAGAGCCCGTATTATGTGAACTTAATTTTTTTAAGCTTTTGAACAAAATTTGAGCTTTTATAAAAATGGTGTGGACAGATAAAAATGTATTCCATTGGGTAAGTTCATTCTGGCCTTTGTTTCATCTTTAATTAATCTTTTCTATCTGTAGACACCAAACATTTACAAGTAAACACACATTAAATGAACTTTTCTACAAAAATTGTTAGTGATTCTTAAGTGTACTAAAGAATCTTATTATGTTTTATTCAATAAACCTGAAATTATAAAACGTAGAAAACATATGTGAATAAAACTTTACATCCTTGAGAGCGGAGATACATATTATTCCATAAAAGTAAAGGGTTAAAAAAGGGGTCAAAACGAAAAAGGGCCCCTAAAGTAACCCCTAAAGTGACCCCAATAGTGACCCTTTCTGTTGTCATAGTGATAAATCAGATTTTATCACAGTTCCGCGCAGACTAAATAATTTCAATCCATGTTTTTCTATCTTTTTATATGCATCTGTGCTTAAGACGACGTGTTCTGTTTTCAGTATCACTATCTTTAATGTTGGGTGGCTATCCAAAAATTTGTTAAATTGTATACGAGAAAGGCATGAGACAAGGTATAACTAGACAACAGGAGAACAAATCAAAGTAATATTTGGCGCAGTAAAAAAAGTAGTAGTTTCTTCATCCTGCAAGAATAACAGACGATTCAAGAGTCTTTCAAAATGGGGCTGTTTATTCAATAGCATTATGCATTGGTAGACATTGTATATTTACTGAGTCATTTAGGAAGAGATGATCGTGGTGGTTGTCGTTTTTTACGTAGCTTTCATTGAAAACAGAGTGTATCGATCATGATACCGGACGTCTCTCTTTTGCCCTTTTTGGCGTAGTGCACTTGAGTATATTAGAGATTGGTTAAGTTACGATCTTATGGATCAATGACGGGGATTAAGTTTAGTGAGAATTCTGTCTAACAGTTACGGGTAGTGCTTTTGATATTTTATCAGAAAGAGGATTGGGTTTATTGAAATGTGTTCCTTAGTGATTATATAGTGGGATCCAAATATGACAGTGACTTATGACTGCAACTTTGACTTCTGTCACAAAAGTCTATATTTTCAATTTCAAGTCATGTTTGGCAAGTAATTTACGTAATGAATACGGTGATGTTTCTTCCTTTGGAGTGGAGGATATGGTGACATTTCTCAAAGATGATAGCGCTCCAGGAAGTATAACAGGAGGTGTGGTCGGTTTTTCAGGTTCATCTACTAGTCGTTCTCCTTTACCGCCTGTATATCATCCTAGTGTATCGAGATTTGGATACTTCCGAGAGAAATAATGCATCCAAGAAGCGTCAGGACAGTCTGTGGCTATCGCAAATGATTTCATTTTTTCTGCTGGCTTAATTTTTTGGATTTCAACAATATCACGCTCTGAAAGAGGGTCGATGCTTATTGTAAGTGATAGATGTTCCAAATGTGGCAGGTAGCTATGTATTGTTTCAATGTCCTCTAGCGTATATGCCCTTTGAAAGACAGGCCCTGTGGTAAGGCAAGATAGCTTCCTTAGGCAAGGAAGAAAAGAAATTGCCATAATAAGGTCGCCCAGCTCAATATCGAGATCCTCTTTAGTCATTTTAATAATCAATTCATCAAGATTTTCTCACAGATGCCAGTCTATTTCCTCTTCTCTACTGGCAGCATAACGCAGAAACCTCAAATCGGCAGCATTGTTTTCGCCTTCAGGAACATCGTTATCAACAAAATCATCAAACGGCATTATTAAACGGTAACATAAAATGTTTTGTGGAGTATTCAGCCTTTTTATATTTGAGAAAAGTTGTTGGAGTTCATAAAGACACACTCCATTTACATCGATATCCATTCCGATGTTGAGTTCTTGCACGCGTTAGCCATTGTCCTCGAATATAGAGTTTTCATTTCCAGATAGATTGCAGACATATTCTAGTCTGTGTTGACAGCTAATGTCAACGGTATCCCAGAGGGAATCTTGAAATGGTATACGCCAGGATTTACAAACAAGTGAGGATTGCAATCTTGCTTCCGTAGAGGAAAACTTGGCAATATAAATAAGAATTTCTAAGGGTAAATTAGACCCTTGCATTATAAATATATGGATAATAAAAGACTTTTCCGTGAATGGGCTATCTTTTTGGCGTTATATATGAAGTTTACATGATTAAAAAGCCTAGTTTTTTTTTGTAGGAAATGTCCAATTATTTTTTACGTGTCACAAAGGGAAACGTTTTTTTTTTTTTAGAAAACCGAAGAAAAAGGCAAGATCTGTAACAACCTTCATATGCGAAATTTTGTTTTTACAGTTTTACTGGTAAAAGTTGGTGTGGACGGACTAAAAGTTCAACAAAAGGCCAAATTTAATTAAAACTCTAGTCCAATAATATGACTTCAAGTTTTGCTTTTTTTTTTGAACTTTTAGTCTGTCCACCCCAAGGGATAGCACTCACAGCAGATTATAGCAGAAAGAGTAAATCGGTGATCTCAGAATATAGAGCGCCTTTCTTGATACACATCTGTGTTTACACCGAGATGTTTTTTTTTATAAAAAAATTTATTATTGAATCATTCATAAACATATTATTGTGCTTGGCATATGACAAAGAGTCTTATTCATAAGGTTGCAAAAACAATTGATATATATATATATGCATATAGTATTATGTTAACGCATCATAGGATTTATCCCATAAAATGCTATCACTCAGCTTAAAGTTGTTGATAACATATTTACCTACATATTCACAGCGCAGAGTAGCATGCCCTTGGTACAAATCAAGTTTCCAAGCATCCTTATCAAATTTTCTATACCCATTTTTGGATTCCAAAACCTTGTTATTTTCTTGAAAGGACATGAAATATTCCCGGACAATCTTGATCTCGTCTTTGTTTAATACTCTTAGTTGGAACCCTTCTTCTGAACCTTCTTGGTAAAAATCCATATAGAACCAGAGTGAATCAGCCGTAGACATTAGGTGATCACTGTCGGATAACTGTATACTGGGTTCAAGAATAGTGCTCGATTGTAAGATGCTTTCTAGTTGAACAAGGGCCATAAAGTGAATTGATGTATCTGCGTTACAAACACTATCTTCAGACCCAAAAAATTGTACATTATTGAGCTGAAGGATATCGAAATGTGTAAATGGCATGTCGAGGCAAAGGTTTCCCGTGTCTCGAGAAAAAGGTCCAGATATCTTCATGTCATCAAGACGCATATAATTCAGATTTCTGCATCGAAAGGATATATAACTGAAAACGTCGGCATTTGTTTTGGTGCGAATGAATTCAATTAATCGTATACCGTGCATTGCTGGGTACTCTAATGCACGTCTACTTATTGACAAGTTATTTGCTGCCAGTCTTAGTCGCTTGAGGACTACACAATGATCCAATAAAATATCCAATGCAATGGGACTCGAGTAAACATAGATGTTTAGATCGACCAAACAAAGGCAAACATCAAACGCCATCGGAATCGTACAAGGATCAGAAAATCCAATGTTGCTTGAAATTGAAAACGTCTCGAGGGTTTTTGCACATGAAATCATACATTTGCTGATGATCTTTTCTGACAGCTCTTCCATATGGTTTCCAAGCAGCCCATAAGTTATGTGCTTTATGGGTACGTTGAGTTGAGATAAAAGTTCCCAAAAAGTAATGTGTGTCCATTCTGTTTCTGATGTACCGCTCATATTGATAGATCTGAGGTGTTGAAATGTACAAGGGAGTGATGCAAACATTGATACAGCCTCTTCTCGGAATATCTCAGTTCTAGTTGGTCTTGCATAATTATTCCATTCAAGGGTGTGTACATTAATGTACTTTCGAGCGAAATAGCATAGCCACCGAAGATCCATGTTGTCAATAAAGAATTTTATGACTTTAATATTGCTTGCCGGTACAACGTTTGCGATAAGCATCAAGTCTTGGTCAGAAAATACATCGAGATCCATGGTGATTGAGAGATGTTCAAGCTGTGGTAAATGAGTATGAAGAGTTTCGAAATCATCCAATCCGTAGAGCGTCTTTCTTCTTCGGAACTCCTTCATGTAAGACAAATGTCGTAGACTGGGTAAGCAAGATAACATTTGAAGAAATTCTTTGGCTTCGTCAGCAAATCCAAATCCTAGTGTAGACACCTCAAGATGGACTAGAGATTTCCAGCAACTCCAATCTGCCACTGACTTGTAATGGATAATATCAAGGCTTTTTTCTGGAAGGTGCAGATGTCTTATGTTCTGAAAGTTTTGTTGAATAATATTTAATTGTTCACTAGTGACTCTGAGGTATGGTTTTAGACTGAGTGTCCGGACCCTTTGGCCATGTTGCCGATAAATGTTTTGCCGGTAGATTGATATATCGCAAATGTCATTCAGTTTCTTTGCATTGCCAACATGTACTTTACACCATAATGATTCCTGCATTGGTGTTCGCCATGCCTTGCAAATAAATGTACAGCTGATCCTGTCTTTGGTAGAAAGAAAGCCGGAAATGTAGGTAATGATTTCGAAAGGTAATCCTGATGCCAACATGATGAGATGTCAAATAGAAGAGATTTAGTTTTTTTTAAAGCAGCCAACAAGACTTTCAAGTATATCTATTCAGTGAAAATCTAAGCAGCCAAAAGAAGGTAGTTTTGTGTACAATACACAAAAGGGGAATCCGGTAATGGTCCAGGCATATTGGAAGGGAACACAGTACCTAAATATATCGAACTGTGGAAGACAAGGTATACAAAAGGTACATCTAAAATAAGAAGCACATTGCTTTAAATCTAAACAGAAACATGAGTTACAAGGTTCCCACAGGACTTGATGATTATAAAAAAAAAAGAATAAAACTGTTATTTGACATTCTCTTAATCTATACCCTCAGTAAATCATTCAATCTAGATTTCTTTGAGTCCAATTGTATGCTTATATTTCAGATAAACAAATCAGGATAGTGTAACATATTGAAGCGGTCGATTTTGCTATATGTAAGCTTTTTTTTGTGGTAATACCGCTGCCTGAATCTGTGGGCCAGGTCCGGACACCGGGGCTTTAAGCTTTTATCTTATTACTCAAGTCCCGAGTTGTAGTATAGTCTTTTGACTAATTAAACGTCATTGTACTCTACTCCTCTTATGTGCTCAGCCAAAACGTGCACAGAATGGCCTGTCTTGTCTCACAAAAGTGATAACAGTAGCTCAAGAGGGACGTGTATTTTTGTACATTAACTCCCATTGTCTTTCTTTCGTTTAGCCATATTTTTCGGCTTTTCATACTTTTGGTTTAAATTACTTACTACCATTTCCGTACCAGTCTCCTAAAAGAAAAAATAACTTATTATATATATATATAGTCTGATAAAGAGACAAGTGTCAAACTTGGGTAAGATACCTATAATGAATAATTATCGCTTATATATATATATAAAAGGACTAGCCGGTGCCATTATTCCAGATGTCGTACATGAGAGGTCTAGGTAAATATAATAAAAAACTGCCGTAACTTTTCTCACAGGGGTGTCAGTTTAAGAACAGGAACACTGGCAGCAGGACATTAGACAAAATAGACAACCAAAGTCATGGATTGTTCAGTGCACAGGCGGGTATCCAAAGAGCTCGCAACTTCTATCTCAAAGTCCAAGAGCCTTTGTTCTGTATTTGGAATATCTAGAGTTTTACTCAAAAGTGTGGGACCTTGTAACTAATCCAGGTTTGAAAACAGTAAGATTCTTGATACTGATATCTTCATTGATTACTTTTAGGTAAAAGATATGTACTGAGTCTAAACCCTTGCAAAACAGAAAATGAATCCAAGTTATTCAAGCGGCTGTCAAATCTATCAACTTTTGATATGAGAATAAACCTATAAGCATGTTTTACACACAGGGATCTTACCTTTTTACTTTGACGTAACTTCCTTCCGTTATGTCGCGTGCCAGTCGCAATAAATCCTCGCGAATTGTAGAACATATTGATATTAATGAGGTACTGAATACTTTAGCGAAATACTTGTTTTATAATGAAACATTCTCACATGTTAACAAAAAAGTGCTCATAATGAAGGCTTGTGAAATTATACCCAAGGGTTTATAAAATAGCTTCAATAATAATAAAAGAAGAAGAAATGAAATGTGTGATTTAATGAATTTGAATGCCTGGTGTGATAAGATGAAATAAGTATAACATACTTAATTATGAAAGAAACAAACCAAAATAAAGTACAGTACAGTTAACAAAAAAAAATGCATATTGAAAATGCATCCCAGTGAATACAAGTAATAGAAAAAAAGCAAATAACTACATCGTCTTACAGCTGTTTTCTAATGTAAGTTTTTCGCAATTATCTAAATTACCCATATCATACTTCTTCACATAGCCACATCTCAGTGAAGCATAACCTCGGTTGATATCTTTTACTGATCCATTTGAATAGTCTTGGTTACATGCATAGCTAGTTACTTCCCTGTGGCCAACACGCAGCTTGTTAACATGGTGATACGATTCGAAACTAGTCTTGCTGTCCTGAGACTCTTCGGTTCCAAATATTCGTAGCTTCACCATATTGTAGTAAAATTTGCATATTTTATAGATGTGGAACCATCGTAATTCGAGCAACATCGTCAACAGGCCTCCTCTTGGTAATATCATACTCAAGTCATGTGTTTTTATGGGTTGGAGTGCAAGATTTGGGCGAACAAGCTGTAGTATGTTGATGGCATTTCCAGAGTCGCATATCCCGCTGCTCGATGCGTAAAACATAACATTGTTGAGTTGCAATAGGTTGAATCGAGTATAGGACATATCAATAAGAAGACTTTTGGTGTCATGAGAAAATTTACCGAATACTTTGATTGTATTCATTCGCATGCACTTGAGATAAATACAGCGAAATGAGATATAATGTAATACGATGGCACTAATTGTTGCCTTCTCGAATTCAATGCTCTGTAGTCCGTGTATGTTTGGATGACTGTGTATATCTGACGCTGTAGTAACAGAGCTAACTATAAGCTTTAGCTTCTTTAGTGAATCACACCTGTCCAATAAAAGGTCAATTGCAATAGGGCTTCCGTGGATATCGATATCTAGGTTGACTAGACTACGACAGAAATCAAATGCCATTGGAATCGAACACGGATCTGAAAAAAAAGATTCCGCCTCAACGTAGAGAGACTCGATAGATTTCAAGCAAGAGCGCATGCTTTCGCTAGAGCACAATTGTGCTTTATCTGTAGTATTGTGTTCTCTGTACAGCCCATGACGCATATAATTTAGCAATGCGCCTGATCGAGACAGGGGATCCCAGAAGACGGTTTTGACCCATTCCTTGGGGAGGGCATTCATATTCAACACGGTCTTAATGTGAGGAAACATACACGGGAGTCTTGATATCATCACAGCTGCTTCCTCTTTAAATATCGTAGTCGGGACCTTCCAATCACTATTTCTCCATTTTATGGTATTCAGGTTTGGGTATTTTCGAGCAAAATAATATAGCCACCGGAGGTCTACCTGGCAACTGTCAATAAATAGCTCAGCCAGATGCTTAACATGAAACGTGTTTTGTGTGATGTATGTAATATCGTTTGGCGTAAACTCGGCGAAATTTGCAGAGACTGAGAGACGCTTTAGTTGTGGCAGGTAATTGTGAAGTGCCTCAAAGTCTTGTAGAGTGTATATTGGATTAGGCGACCAGATAGGTTTGAAATAATCAAGATGCTTAAGACACGGTAGAAAGGATAGGATTTCAAGGAGTTTTTCTACCGGAATTTGGATTTTTAGATCATCTATTTGAATTATTAGACATGTCAGCGAACTCCAGTAGCTCCAATCTACTTCGGCTTCAAGGCTTGATTTTGTCAAGGATCTTCCGATAGTATTGAGCTGTTTCAGGCTACAAAAGCACTCTTGAACAATTCTCAACTGATCATCTCGGAGAAGAATCATAAGCTTGAGAACTCTGACAAGGTGGCCATTCTTTCGGTACACATTGTGCTGTATATCGGTCAAGTCGCAGATACTTTCTAGTCTAGCTCTGGATCCAACAACGATTGTGTCCCACAGCGATTCTTCAAAAGGTGTTCTCCATGCTTGACAGACTGTAATACATGATAACTTTTGCTTGACCGTGAGAAATCTTGCGATACATGCTATGATTTCAAATGGCAATTGAGATGCTTGCATAATGATGAGAGAAAAGAGAAAAAAAGCGAATGTCGTTTTGAGATTCCTAACAGAGCTCATGGAGACCTTTTTCTTGGTTGTCAAAGGTTAGTTTGTTGTTATGTGACGTAAGCCATAGCTGTAAGGACATATGCACATGATAGCCCAATATGAAAAGAAGCAATACACCTGCATTTGATAAGGGAAGTTTTGGGATCAAATTTTAAGGGGATGTTCATTTATGCGGATATATCATTAACCGTTATAAATAATACTGGTTTTTGTATATTTTTATTTATTTTAAAATAACTTGTTTGACATGTACTTCTTTAACTTTTTTCAAGTTCATATTATTCTATAGATAATACACTATGTCTAAATTATATCTTGCAAGGTAAATATGACAATATATATATACCTTCTTAAGTATAGACACAGATGCGACTTACATAGCGTAATATGTCGTTTTTGTCTTTGTTTTTGTTTATCTTTTATTCTTGTTGTTGTTTGTTAAAGGGGTACTTTTAGGGGATAATGTTATTTGTTAAATATATATATATATACACAAATAATCAACTTATAACTTCTTTTTAGATGCATAAGGAAGGTAATCGCCAAGTGGGCAAATATAAGGGTACATTTGGAGATCACTACGGCAAACAAAATATTTTGATATACTTCTTTAAATGCAAGTCTATATTTTTTCCTTTTACTAATAGAATCTATACCTACCATTCCGGAATAAATCGAAGCTTCTTTTAATAGAATATTCATAGTTGGTAGGGGTTTTATTTGTTTGTTTTGTTTTGCATCTATTGCATCAAAAAGAAAAACCTTTAATTATATATAGTGTACTAAATTATTGAAAAACAGAATACATGTATCCCTATTGCACAGTTACCGTTATACTTTGACATTTTTTTTGTCCACGCATTCTGATTCTAAATATGTATATACATGTTTACATAAACAAATGCTGAATTTTTACTATTTTATTTATCTTTGTCTCGATAGGTCAGCACATCATTACAGCCACAGTTACTCCAATATCTGCTTTTCTTTTTTTTATATCTTTAATAAACTACCAACAAGACCCAATCATTCGGGCAAAAGGTCTGTATACATGTGCTACTGTAACAAACTTATTGTTGTATTACAGCGTTATTCTTTACACAAGTCTCGAGGGACCCCTACCCCAAGGCTTGTCGAATGAAATCGTTTAATTTAATACCTATTCTGTAAAAAATCCTTAACAAGACATTCAAGAATATCACAAAACAATGAGGCGAACCCTCCTCCCCAGTTTCACGCTTGGCTTTACACTAAGTTTAATGTACCTAGATTAGCCTTTTTTGTACATATATATATATATATATCTGTGTATGTGTGTGCTTTGTAGGACAGTGTAAACCAACTGAATTCAAGCAGATCTATTGGTGTCCATAATTAAAATAATAATAATTATAGCCAAAAAGAAACAATTCTCGCAGACTTAAAATCTATGTCAGTAAAGGTATTCTATAGTACAATAACAAAGTATATGATAGGTTTACATTTTTTACTGCTTAAAATTGTTACAGCTTTCACCTTTTCGTTACGCTTTCTAACTTTATAAACTCCAGATAGAGCGCCAAATATTATTATTATTATTATTATTTTTATTTTATTAACGATACAAATATCAAAATACTATTACTTGTTTATTTTATTTTTATAAGGAAACAAGGCAAGAGGTTGTGATAATCAAATTCACAGAAAGATTAATATTACATCTATTAGTTATCTACATCAACTAACTGATGCTTTTCTTTTGCAAGAGCTACAAGACTCTCAAACTCTCCAGAGTTACGGCACATCTTGTAAAAGCTTGACTCGGGATTAGTAATCAACTGTAAAGGACTACACATATAGATATATAGATACATTGGTTAATATTATAGTTTTCATTGCTTTAAAAGAATAAAAGATTTACCTATCAAATTCGGCAATATTTCCCTGATCAAGCACAAGAATACGGTCATATTCAATAACTGTATGCAGGCGATGGGCAATACATAAAATAGTACAGTCGGCAAATTCAGTTGCAATAGTCTTTTGAATGGCTTTGTCGGTTCGGAAATCGACACTAGCAGTAGCTTCGTCCATCAACACAATCTTTGTCCGTTTTAACAAGGCTCGAGCCAAACACAACAATTGTCTCTGACCCTGTGAAAAGTTCTTTCCACCTTCACTGACAGGAGTATCAAGATCCTTAAACACATTGGCATTTACACCCACAACCTCAATATCGTCATCATTGTCTGAAGGTAAAAGGTGAACACGACGCAAGGCAGTAAAAATTGCTTCATCTGTAAATTGATCAAATGGATCCATATTGGATCTAATTGAACCAGAGAACAAGGTAGGGTCTGAACACATACACAAAGAGAGAGAAAATAAATTTAGATATACAGTTGGTACAAACACATGCACACTACTTTTAATTAACTTTAGTATGCTTACCTTGAGGAATAATAGTCAGGTTACCGCGAAGATCTTCTGTACCAACATGTAGAATGTTAACATTGTCAATCTTGATGCTTCCTTTGCTAGCTTCAACAAAACGGAAGAAGGATAGAGCAAGTGTAGACTTTCCACTACCGGTGCGTCCAACTACACCAATCTTTTCGGTGGGTTTAACGGAGAAGTTGAGTCCCTTGAGAACAGGATCGAGATCAGCAGCATAGCGAACTTCAAGGTCCTGAACTTCGATCTTTCCTTGTGTGGGCCACTAGAAAATATAAATGAGTCCCATAATTTCTTTTACGTTTGGCTCAGGCATAGCTTTTTTTTACTTACATTAACGGGAGGTTTTAAATCAGTAAAAGCGGGTGCTTCTTGCTCCATTTCCATAAATTCGACAATACGTTCAACGGCATTAAAGCTCATTTCCAGAGTTGTATAACGTCTGATAGCCCAGAACATCTGGTCGGTGTATGCCAAAATGAAAGTAAAACAGAAACCAGCCACAGCAGCATTCATACGTCCAATAGACATTATGATGATAAAACCAGCAAAGATATTAACAGAAGCTCCGAGGATGGCAAAACGGACACTGACCCAACGATTGATAGTCCAGACACTAAAGAAGGGACGAGTACTGGCATCGCACAGTCTGAGCATCTCTTGCAAGAACTGACGAGTGGCGCCAAATGCACGAACGGTTGTAACTCCCACAATGGTTTCAGTAAAGTGACTGAAGATGGGGGATCTTGCGACAGAGTCCATACGCTTCAGTTCACGTGAAGTTTGGACAAACATAGAACCATATACGTAGTTGACCATTGCAACTATAGTCATTGGGATCAAGAAAATGGGGAGGACAGAGGTGACTGTAATAATAACCGTGATGACTGTGAGGGTCTGAATGCAGAAGTACATCATATCATTGGGAACAGAAGAATCGACAGTTTCAAAGTCTTTTGCGAAGCGGTTGAGGATACGGCCAACTGGAGTGGTGTCAAAGAATCGAAGGGGAGCACGGAGTACACGATGCAAAAGTTGTTCATAAAGTTTTCTGCTAGCCTTAAGAGTACCATAAAATACTACAGCAAATCTACCGGTGCCAAAGATGATACTGGTCATTGTGATGAGAATGTAGATAGACAGGTAGTAATCTGTTTGTTTATCATCAGAAGACAAGACACTAAAGTCGGATGGGGTAGAGAAGTTGGTCTCTGCAACGCTCATAATAGTAGTTGATGCGGCTGAGAAAGTACTTCTGGCATCTGGTGTGCCTGAGAATAGTGTAGAAAGTCCCTGATGCAGAGCAAATGAGTCGTAGGATTGAGCCCACTGTTTGATCCACCAAGTTTCTGTAATTTCCAGAGCGCGAGAACCAAGAATAAAGATGACCATGACAGTCCAGAAGAAGAAACCACCTTCAGCAGACATGTAGAGCTTATAGAGTTTCCATTTGACCATGCCAGTTGCGCGGGCTAATTAATATACACACAATAGTACAAAAAAATGTTCAGAAATGAGTTATTTTTATTATTATTAAGGCGTTTAATGACTTACTTTCATCTTCTACCAAAGCCTTTGGTTTCTTTTGAACTGCAGTCTCTGATTCTTCGGCTTCGGCTTCGTCTTCGGCTACAATTTCTTCGATTTCTTCCTTCTCATATACTTCTTCTTCTTTTTCGTCTTCAAGAATAATGGCCAGCTCACCAGTTTGGCGCAAATCAGCAGGAGAGCCAATAATATCGATACGTCCATTATGAATATGGGCAACATATGCACTTCCGTTGAGACACAGCTTAACATGATGTGTAATCAAGACCCGAGTACGGGATTTCATCAAAGGACCCAAAAGACATTTTTCGTACAAGTGTTTGGCAGTGTGAGCTATAGATGTTAAGTGTGAGTATTCTGATGTCAGGATAAAATGTCTAAATTCACTAGAATTTTACCATCAACTGCGCTCAAGACATCATCCATAAGTACAATCTTAGCACGAGAGTAAACAGCTCTAGCTAAAGCAACACGAGCCTTTTGACCTCCAGAAAGCGTGATACCCTTTTCACCAATTTCTGTGAGATCACCGTCTTCGAGGATAGTAAAGTCCTTGTCAAGAGCACAAGCAGTAAGAGTGGCCTTGTAACGCTTTTCGATGTGAGGAAGACCAAACAAAATGTTGTCTCTAATAGAAGCATTTTGGAGCCAAGCTAAAATAGCACATATTTTTAGACATTTAGATTTTATAAATATATATATATATATTCTTTACCTGTTTGAGAAACGTAGGCGACAGATCTTTCCAGAATCCAGTCTTCTTCTGGAATGTCTTTATCGAACTTGAACTCGCTAGAAACGGTATCTGCTACAGTGGTACGAGGGCACATGACCTGACCTTGGAGTAAAGTAGACTCGCCAAGTAAACTGAGCATCAATAATGTTTTTCCGGAGCCAGTAGATCCACAAATGAGACTGAGTTCGTTGGGTGGGAATTCAATAGAAAGGTCTCTTAAGATAAAACTTTCGGATTCAACGTGAGTACCAGAATCTGAACCATCCTGGCTTGCCATTGCAGCAGTTGTGTTTTCTGAAGCAGCTTTCCAAGCAACAGTGGCATCCTGGAAGCCAATACGGACAGGAGCAGTGTGATCGACGGGAGGAGGAGGATTAATCTCGGGTTCGTCAAGATATTTTTGGATACGGCGAATACTGTTTAGATTGGAAAATCGAATTGATTAATAGTTCGTACATACACATACACACGTCTGTGTAATATATACTCCGATTTTTATTATTCTATACCTAATAAGTGCTTGGAGAAGCTCGGTGAAAGTCTCTGGCAAGATATTGAGAGCAAAACGGAGTTCGTTGAAAACAGTAATAGCAGTAAATGCAATAGGAGCAGTAAGTTCATGACCTTCGATCTTGGTAAAGGACCAGAATGAAATAATGGTAACCAAAATTGGAGATCTAATAGAAAGCTTAGATTATCTTCAAGAATTATATATAAACGCACACATGATAATTACCCTTGCCACAAAAGATTAAAGAAGACATCTGCCATAAACACATCGCGCAAATGACCAAGTTCGATATTTCTTGCTTCCATGATACGCTTCTCCCAGTTTGACTCCCAGGCAAAGAATTTGATCTGACGAATGCCTTGCAAGACTTCGTTCATAAGTCCAACTCGTTTATCACGAGACTCCATCAATTTATCTTGGACTTTGACAAATCGCTTAGAGTTATAATGGTTCAAGGGAAGAGTGAAAATCAAGACCATGAGGCCAAACAAGCAAGACTTTCCGAGTAGTTGGTAGAGAAAGAAAATACCAATAGAAAGTTCAGTTGGTGCAGCAAATATAGAGCACCACCAGATACTGAATTCAGAAACACGGTTGGAATCGGTACTCATAAGGTTGACAATTGTTCCAGTGTTTGAGCTCACGTCTTCTACATCTTTTTCATCGTCATCTTTCTTGTCCTTATCCTTGTTTGTCTCGGGATCTTGATCCTTCTTTTTGTCACCAGAGACTACAGCTTGATCAATGCGACGAAGGGTCTTGCGGTAGATCTCGATATTTAACATGGCTCTAATACGAATTTGGAGATAAGAAGAAGCTATAAAAAATATTAATATTATTCAACGCGATATATAATTACGGATAATGATAACCAATAGCCGACAATTAATAACTAATTATTAATAATGATTTCTTACACCAAAACCATTGTTGGCCAACGAGTAAAGCAAGCACGACCATAGTAATTCCTAGGGCAATGACAAGCAAAAAGCCTTTAGTCATGATATCCTTGTCACCATTTCCATCAGAATGATTTTGTATCAAGTTGAGGATTCGATTGGTGAGGTAGGCAGGTGCATAGTAAGTCAACGAGGCCAAAATTGCTGTACTGATTTGCAATGCAATTCCACTTCGGTTGGCTCTATAGATACGATAGACCAAAGATCTTCCTCGAGTGCTACCAAATATATAGTAAAGGTTTCTGCCACGGTACTCTGGGGTGAGTGAAGGGATATCGTCAACGGTAAGAGTCTTGTTCTTGTTAGCTGTCTTGACCAAAGGGGTAATCCAGCCATAGGTCAAAAATCCCCATATAGAAGCCACATTAAAGCGAGAGACTTGCTTATCGTTTTCATCCAAATAAGGAGGACCATTTTCAATCGTTGCAGTGGTGAAAATTAAGTCTAGGCCAAACAAGACACCAAGGAGACTTGGGAGAGCATCGACCCACGAAATGGTTGTTTGAGAAGAGACGATGTTCCAGAAAGAAAAAAGGGCCGATGGAAAGGAAAAAAGGTAAACGATAAAAAGGTGGATATTGAGAACCCAACCCCATTTGTTCGGGAGAGTGTATTGACGAGACACCAGTACCAGGACAGATGCATAAAGCCAAGATGCAAGTTGAAAGACGGCATTGAGGACATCAAGAGTTTGTTCTGGCTTGCCATTAGCTGTCTGGACAATGGTAATGAATTGGTAGGTTGCTAAGATTGTAAGGACAATGGTCTCCAGAGTGATTCGAGGAATGCGATCGCCATCAGAGAAAGGAACAGTGAGATCACGGCGATCGTCGTACTTGATAGGAGAAGGGTCTTGGCCAGCTTCTGTTGTGGAATTCTTGTGGTGATATGTTCGTTGAATTGATAAAATTAAAGCACTTGTACTGGCTACCGCTATTAGACCAGACGATAGCCAAAGGGCTACTGGTATATCGGCCATCCAACGAAGTGATAGATAATAAATGAAGGACGTAATATGTGTTGCTTTTTTGACCTTATAAAAAGATTTTTTAAAAAAAAATGTCGGGATTTTCTTTTTCGTAATATGTAACAGTTATATTTGTTTTACTGCGGCAAGAATCATTTAAACATCAGTATATGTGTGCTTGCGTGCTTGTGTGCTTGTGTGCATACACAGAATAGAAATAATAGGTTAACTATTGACTTGAGGACCAATAAATGTGACAATAATCTAATTCTAAATATAATTATACTTTTATTAACATATTCACTTGATTAATAATATAATCATGTAATAGTGTAGCTCTTGTCATTGGAGATCAATAGATTCGGAGCTAATCTTGGACGACTAACAGGGTTCAAAATAGATAATCAAATGGAGTTTATTTTGTGTGGTGATAGTTTTGAGTCCAATGTTCTGGCTGATACAAGTATCTCTCTTAAATTTTAGCTCTACAATTGTAATTTAGGGTGTTTTTTAGATGAAAATTATTCATACTATACAATCACTACTTCTCATTCGCTCATCTCATTCTTTATTGTTAAGACACTTATACTTTAATTGTACTTTAAAAAACCCAGGCATATAGACCGATGGTTATTTGAATACACACACATGAGTGTGTGTAACGTTCATCATTCCAACGATCAATTAATCAATCATGTATTATATAGCTCAAACAATAGCCTTTTTATTATTATTATTAAAAAAAGTCTTGGACTTGCAAGAATTATGCAATATACATTTAGGAAAATAAAAACAAGGACCTTAATACAATCTGGAGCAACTCTTTGATTATATGCGACTCTTATCATTTCAGAAATGATAATAATGGCTTTAGTAAATGCTACTCTAAATTTCTAAAATTCTAAACACTTAAAAAAGACAATAGATATTCTAAAGACGTTAAAATATTTGTATTTCTTTTTAGGTAATATTATTTGTTGATTGATTCCTTTTTATCTATTTTTTGCCTGTTATGAAACAAATATGAGTTTTAATATACAAGTATTTTTTTCCGTGGAACAAGAAAATGTATGTATATATATAAAATATTCTACAGGGAATTGGTTTATGTTTCCTGTAAGGTCACTTTCAAACCGGTGTCAGCACATTTAATAGATAAGAAGGAGAGAGCCGCAGTAATTTAATGCAAATATGTATTGATATACAAAGGCTAAAATGTCCAAAATAGAAAAGCTTTATATTCGTTTTTATTTTGTATTGTTCACTGATTATTTATATCCGTAACTCTACACACAAAGCATTTTTCAGTCTAAAGACCAATGCATCTACAAGATAATTATACACTCTTTTTGTACCTTAAATCAATAAAATAAAGTAAAATACACGCGAGTAATTGATATACATCATGTACATCAGAGGTCTATTGTGTATTCTGAGAATCTTACACACTCAAAGTACCATGATGTTTCACAGAGTATAATCATACTAAAATGTCGTATTCAAGAACAATAACGTTAAGTTTGCTGCGGTAACTTCAATCAAGCACCTGAAATGAATTAAAATGCATATTTTTAACCTCGTGTAATACAACAGTCGTACTTTATACACTCTGTCTGTTGATATATTTCTTTCGTAATATTTGATCGTTTTTCTCTCTTTCTTTTTATCTATACAGCACCACCTGCCTTGTGGTATATTTAGATAACGATTAAATAAAATTGCATAATTAATTTCTATAATGACAGTTTTCTGGCTATTAACTTGATGCAATGTACGAGAATAAATTATTTTATTAATTTAAATATAAACTTTTTATTTGTTTTTATCTATTCTTTATGAAAAGATAGCAAGCACAATTTGTACTCTAAAAAAGAAAGAAAGAAAGAAAGGAAACGCCTATACCTCCAGGTCTGGATTATCCCATTTTCTCTTTGTAGATCTAGTCCGGGATCTCGGAGATCGCATAACTTGAAAAGAAAGTAATATATTATAAATTAGTTTATCCCAACAGATAATCACTGGATCTTTGTAGCAACTATATTATAGAAAGAGCGTTACAAAGAAGGACATCCACTTTGATAAAAAAAAACTATGAAAATGTATATCACACCAAACCCTAAAAGTATAATCAAATTGGGTCAATAAGTAATTTGAAACAAATATCTTTAAAGTATCCTTTGACGCCATTTATAGGATCCCAGTATAGTTTTTTTTATACAGTATAATCCAAACAGGTTTATTCTTTAAGAAAAAAATACTTGCTCTAAGCAGATATTTAAGAGGTTTGGAACATAAAAGTACTCTCAAACCTGTATGCTTGCTACGAAATGGTCTATCTTTGCGTATTTGTACTCTAACCAATCGAGACCCTGAGGAAATACGGATCTTGATTACTAGGAGATAAGAAAGAAATGATAATAAAAGGTTAAAACGTATAGAATGACAGAGACCACACTTTATTTTTAGCAAGATTGTCAATTGGTTATCTGGGCTTGTCTACTATACTTGGCCATATAGTTTTTTTTTATCATCCTCTAATCAACCTTATTGTTCAATTCTGATACTGAAAGCCTTCACACTTCAAAATGTAATGTAGAATTTGTCCTGAAAAGGACGATTGACTGTTTCGTGACTAGCATAATTATTCCTTTTTTAGTGTATAATATATGTCGGGATATTAAAATCCAAGTAAAATGAGGACGTCAAGAAAAATAAAACTGTAAAATTAATTTGGTAGAATTTAGTCAATTCAAAAAGACATTCATTTTTGTGTGTTTAAATAAACACTGTCAAGGGTGAATAAGTGTATACAAGACCTCTCTGATCTCCATTTTTTCTTTCTTCTTTTTGATAGTACAGATTAAAAATATATTTCGAGATTAGTAGCTTTAAATTATAAAGAAGAAACATATTTCATTTATTCAATACCTAATAAAAAGGATTTTTTTTCTTTCTTTTTCAATATTGCTTTAATATTTTATTTTAATGTAGTGTAAATTATCACTAAATTATTGTAAAGTCACCAAAGAAATCGATATAATGGCGTCACACCAACATTTTTTTGTCGCCTGTGACCTCCCTTTGAGTCCCTTCTTTTGGGCGCGTCTTATACTTGTTCAACTCCTCCAGTGTACATCAATGGACCCTAAAGATTTCGAGGTACATTAGAGAAAAAAAAAGGAATCTTTAGAATTCCAACTTTATCGAGAGTTTTGTCATGAAAGCTTTCTAAGGAAATCAACAAAGCAAACAGGATTTGGAAATATTATAAAATTGACATTACACATTTTGGGCACACTTATTTTATGTATATACATACATACATTTTATTTATTTACTGCGGAAAATGACATTCAAGCGATTCAATGAAATAATTTATTCATTCATTTACGTCTTATGATTTAGGTTACCTCTCCTCCTACTGATGGAATTTCATGCCTTAGTTTCTCTTCACAAGCAGACTTTTTGTCTGTAGGCTCTTGGGATAATGAGGCAAGTGTGTACATGACTTTTTATCATTTAGGATAATACACACAAATGTACTCATTCAATATCCTATTGTATAATACTGTAATATAATAATAGGTTCGCATATATGAAGTCCAACCTTCCGGAAATACAGTTCCCAAAGCATCCTATAGTCACCAAGGTCCAGTGTTGGATTTAGCATGGAGCAAAGTAAGCATAAACATATATATATATATAAATATTTATATGTATGCTTGTTGTTGTTTTTAATTATAGGATGGCACCAAGGTTGTTTCTGCTGGTGCAGACAAAGCTGGAAGAATGTACGATATAACTACCGGACAACCTACCCAGATTGCACAGCACGATGAGCCTATTAAATGTGTTCGATTTCTCGATCAACCCCAACAACAGATAGTAGCCACAGGAAGCTGGGATAAAACGATCAAATATTGGGATTTACGCTCACCACAACCAATTGGGTCCGTTGCACTGCCTGAGAGATGTTATTCTATGGACGTGAAAGGAACATTGTTAGTAGCTGGATGTGCTGAGAAGCACGTTCCTGTTATTGATCTCAACAATCCAACTGTTATTTTTAAGGTAAAAAATAAAAACTTTCTTTACCCAAGACTATTCTTTTTTTCTGTTTTATCACTATATATATATATGTGTGTGTGTGTATGTGTGTATGTGTGTATGTGTGTGTTATTTGGTTTGATTTCTAAAAGGAACAAAATAAAACAAAAAAAAAAAAGAAATAGACTTATTGAGAATGTGTTGTAATAGCAAAATGTATCTCCTCTCAAATGGCAAACAAGATGTGTTTCCTGCTTTACTACTGGAAAGGGCTATGCTATTGGTTCTATTGAGGGTCGATTGGGTATCCAGTATATTGAAGACAGAGAACAAAGGTAAGCCTATACTGATAAATAAGTATCAAGTAAATAAGTAATCGATGAATTAATTAATCAATTAATTAACGAATTACTGCTTTTGTGTGGATATAGCAAAAACTTTTCATTCAAGTGTCATCGAGATGAGCAAAAGAATGTATTTGCTGTGAATTCCGTCAATTTCCACCCAATACACGGTACATTCTCCACTGCTGGTTCAGACGGCACAGTCAGTTTCTGGGACAAGGATTCCAAGCAACGTATAAAGTTGTTTAACAAGGTCAATGGTACCGTTTCTGCTACTGCATTTAATCACAACGGAACAATCTTCGCATATGCAGTCAGTTACGACTGGTCAAAGGTAAGTAGATGGATCATCTAATTTTTTTTTGAATATTATGAATAACCATAACATGTGTGTATGTGGTGATTTTTTGCAGGGTTACAAATTCGCTCTCCCTACAAACACCAACAAGGTGTTTTTACATGCTGTAAGAGAGGAAGATGTGAAGCCTCGTGCTACAAAGAAACGATAAGGAGGTCGCCGTCATACCATATTTCTCACATCACATAGTAAGAGATTGGATGGTTCTTTCTTTTGTTTGGGAGAGCTAGTAAAAAAAAACATTTTCATAAAGGTGGATTCATTTTTTTCTCTGTAGACAACTAAATTGCAAACCTCCAAGTCAATATCTACTTATATTCTTATTATTTTATGTTATCCACCTTATCCTATTATATATTATCATTTGCTCTCAATTTATCACACACAAAATAAAAGAAGAGAAAGAAACATACATACGTACATTCATACATTCATACATTCATATATACATATTTACATAAAGAGATTTTTTGTTTCAATTTTGAAGTAATAAGAAATTATATACTAGTGAATCACTTGTGTTTTATTTAGCGTAATAATGATAATAATAATATTATTATTAAAATCTTAAATTCTTAAATTCTTTGTGTTTCTAATAGCTGGTACAGCTCTAGTACAGGGAGATCTCTATGTGGGTGGGTGGGCTGGTAGGTGTGTCTTCATATTGTCCCTGATCGGAGAATATGTTTAATGAAACTATAGCAACAAATAAATATAATATAATATATATATAAATATAAATATTTGATATGTTTGTGAGTGGAGCACTCTAATACTTTACCTTGGGTTTTAACAAATCTATGACAATCACATATCACCTATTTTGCTTGAACTAAAGAATACACTGGTAAATTAATGAGCTCGATTGTTAAGCATGTGGAGGCCGCACTTTGGAGAAGTGGTGTAACCCATATGGTAACCAATTTGGTAACAAGTGTGGGCAAATAAAGTAAATTATAGTAAAAGATCCATCGGCACATCCCACAACTCCTTGTAGATTGGAGAAATGACTGTATAATTTACTATGCTTGAAATTCTAAAAAAAAAGTGTGTGTATTCATTTGGCAAAAAGCACGGATCATGGTTTTTTTTTAACGCAACGATCTTCACTGGCAAGGAGTCGACAGCTTTGACCACATTTTGCTTATATAAATATATATATATATTTATTTATTTATATATTTAACACTCGTATATAAGAAAGCAATTCATTAGATCCACACGTCTTTTTTATAAGCTTCTTTCTTATTTTTATTAGATCCATAAGTCAACATAATATAACTGAATTATATCAACATCAATATCAACATCAACACCAACAATGACTCGTCCGCATCCCCATTCTGTGCAAGGTCAAAGACTCAACAAAAAACAAGTCTGTTTATCAAATGATATCTCGGTCGAACCATTTGAGAAATCAAACCACACATCTCGCCCGGGAAATATGAGACAAGCAGTTAGAATGCGTTCTAGCAGCACTTTTTCTACTAGTGCTAGTATTCCAAGAAGCACCGACAATGTGGCAATTGATGCTCATCCACTAGCTTTTCCTTATCACAACGATACAATCTTCTTACCGACGGTAGAATCTGGTCGAACTAGATTTGATAGCATCAGCACTTCTTCTTCTATGCAAATCAGCCGAACTCCTAGTCCAGCATTATCTACATCTTCTTCTTCATCGGCTGCTTCATTTACTTCGACACCCGAATCAAGTCCTTGTTCAAAACATGTTTTGACCGAAAATAACAATATTACATTAAAATGTGAGGCTTGTCATCGAGATAATGCCGATGAACGCGTCAAGAGACGCGATACCCGAATAAGCAGCTTTTTTGGCAGGGTCGACCTGTTCTCTAATACCCGAACCCCGGATACTACCGTTACTGACAGTCCAGTCACCTGCCACCAATGTCACCCTTGTAATCAGTCCACAATACCAGTTGGATCATCACCAGGATATTTAGCGGAGACTGCCAAAAAAGAATCTCGATCAACTTTCAACACCTATGCGCCCTCCAGTTTCTCATATTCCAGAACGCCACCGCCTTCTAAAAGCTACATGTCCTTTGCTTCTTTTAGCATCCCGGAGTCAAGTCGTCAGCTGTGTATCCGGTTCTTGAAGAAACTTATGCCTTCAAAAACCTCATAAGTCCTGCAGCTATCCCTTTGGACACACACCCCTTTGGACAGCAAAACTCCTTTTTTTGTTTTGTGTGGCTTACCCCTAGCAAAACATGCATTTCTTTTTATACAGCAAAAAGTATTACTCTTTATATATATACACACATACATCTAAATACCCTACGGCCTATTTCTCTCTCTCTTATATATTTATCTTCTTTATTAAACGCCTTATGGGCTATTCTTATTCTTATTCTTATTATTCTTGTATCTCCAAAAATTCCTTATCCACCCCATATGCCTTATTATTTCTAGTTGATAGTCTATTCAAGAACAAATAAGAAAAAAAAGTAACCCGAATTTCACATGTTATTCTTTCTTTATCTATATATTTTTTGTTCTGCTACAGGTTTTATCCAACTGAAATATATATACAAAACACATCTTTAGACACATATTTTAATTTTAATTCATTTAATTTTAAGACAAAACAAATGTTTTCAATTTTATTGATTGTTGTCCGAGATATAGAATCTTTACACCAGTCTGGTTGTCTGGAATTAAAGAGGGGGAGGAGGGAGGCTGTTGCCATTCACAAAGACCAAATTATTGATAGTCATAGTCATAAAAATAAAGTGATAGTGGTTCACAGGTAGTATTTAATTGTATTTATTAAAAAAAATATAAGTATAAATAGATAGATGTTATTCTTGAACACAAGAAGAATCAAGACATTACAAGACCTGAGCTTTGGCTTCGTTTCATTTCATTTCTTTCGGTTGCTATTTTTTCCCTTTACGTTGAACCAAGATACAGCTTATATCCAATGCCAAAAACCCAACAGTACCCACCTTCTAAACCAAAAAAAACTAGCTCTGTCCCAGAATCTATTCAATTCCTAAAGGATTCTAGGTATTTCCTGTCAGTACACTCGGCACGGAGAATGTCAGTCTATCGTCGTAAAGGCAAAGGCTCACTGTAGTAACTACAACAAAAATTTCCAAAATAAAATAAAATGCGAATAGGTATATATTTATTCAAGAAAATTGCCATAAGCTCTTGTATTACAAATGATTGAAAGATTGATAGATTGGTAGCTAGATATATTATTTTAATATATTGTTTTAAAGTTAATAATAAAAAAGAATAATAACTTGAGATTTACTTGATATTCGTGGATCAAAATTCCGATTATTTGTTCATAGAATAAAATATAACATAAATACTTAGATTTAATGGGCGTTGGGCTAATGATCAAAATACAAAGAGAGAGAGAAAAAAATGTGCTCATATTATTTGAAGGTTTTTTTCTGTGTAAATCCCACATAAATTATGTCCATTTTTAGAAGCCATTGGAGACGTAACATTAGTTCCATTTTCGGTAGAAGTATTCTTATTATCATAGTATAAATAATAGGAATGAGAATAATAGCTGTCTAACTAACATGAATTCATTGAGACACACAAAGAATTCCTTTTAAGCTACAAGTAATTCTATTATGGATATTATTAATATAAGAGAGAAGAGGTAATGATTTTTATATATTACCCTTCTTAATTACCCCAACTTTCATTATTTTCTTTGTATAAAAAGAATTAGTAGTAGTGGTAGTAGTAGAAGAAGAAAAAGAAGCAAAGAATAGCAGGTGCGACAATAAGCCATTTTTGGGTTACCAAATATGCCAGGAGTAAAAAGTACCTTTGGTGCTACAACAGGTCAATAAGTAAAAAGCATACATTCCAAAAGCAAAATGAATGAATAAGTGAATAAATTGAATAATTGAATCGACTTGTGGTCATGTTTTCATCGATTGAATGAAATGTTGTTACACACTGCTCGTAAAATAAGCTTAATCTCAGTTGCTATTCAGCGATTGATTCCTTTAAATTCCATCTTTACTTTGCTCAACATTAGCCCCCTCCTAATCCCTAATAATTTCCCCTTGACAACCCCTACAGAAGAAAGATGCCTTTTCCCTTCTTCCTTTAATAAATCATTTCCGAAGCACTTTTTTCTTTTATTTTATTTCATCTTATCTTATTTTTGCTTTCAATATAGTTTCTGGGTTGGACCTCCTTTAACTCTGAAATGCACACTACTGCAATTCAACTCAATGCAAATATACATATCTGTATTGGTATGTATACAATAGGAAGCATGTCAAATTGAAAGAGTCCAATGATAAATATTATATTCATACTAGCTATACCTTTCCATAAAATATATATCTTCAAGGGCTAGGAACACAATAACTCGTGTCACACTGATCGGCTCTAGTGGTGATCTAACACAAGGAAACACTATATTTGTTTACAATAAATAACTCTCACACACACACACACATATATATATATATATATAAAAGGGGGTGGACCTCCTTGAAATTAAATATATAAACTATATTGATTTTGGTTTATTTTTACTTAAGCAGTAGCTGTATAGATACTGTTTAATAACCAGGTCATGAAGTACAAGATTATAAAAAAATACTCTGATTGTCTATTTAACTTTGAAACCAGTCTATACCAGCAAAATGTCGGATAATTATTATTGGTATTGTTTTCCCTGCAATTGTTTAATGAATAAAAATGAATTACTGTCATCTGGACTTTATTAATAAATGAGATCTAGCAATTCAATACATATATTACAACACGTCGAATTTATTAAAAGCTTCTTTATATTTATCATAATAAAATAAGTATTATATAATATAATATCTGAATAATTATAAAGATTAAAAAGATATTTTGATATCTATTATATCAAAAAAAAAACTACTTCTTTATTTTGTCTAAAGACAATGAGTTAAATATATCAAATATATTAGCCATATTTTCTTCAGTAACACACCAATTTTTAGCCTTCCATATGTCCTCTTCGCTTTATCTTTAATCTTGTCTAGAAAAAAAAAGACGTATTCTCATGGTAATCATTTTATAGGTATCATTTTGTCTCTCACCAATCGGAAATTTAGTATTGAAACTAGATACTAGATTATTATTTTGATTCTTAGAAGTAGAGTATTCGGGAGTTGGGTCATCACTGCAATACACGCATATAGGTTATTGAGCGTTACATATACTAGGAGAAACTTTTAGTTTCCAATAAATCTTTTAGTAATTCGTATATATATATATATATATGGTGACTCGCCTTTCAAAAAATGATCATGAAATACGTCTTTATCAGATCAAGGGCATTTTCTCTACTTGCTAGCTGGTAAACACAGCTAGTTCCCCTATATAGAGCTTAAAGTATGCTGAGTAATTTTACATGGGTTGATACCAAGGCAAAATCTACTCCTCTCACCAAAGCCTCATTTCCGCCTTTGAAAATCTTGAAACAATCGGCTTGATCCTTAAAAGTATTTTTTTATCCACTTTTATAGGTATGGAAGCTTTCGAGGCTTTCCTTTAATAAACATGGCACAAAGTTCTTTAGACCAAGATATTGCGAGTTGTCCGTTGATCGCACTGCTTTCTTTACATAATAGTTGCTCAAAAACTCTTTGGTGGATTTCATTCAATAAGAGTCTTTTGTAACTAACCAATATATGAATATCTAGAAGTGTATATCCGTTTATTTCTTTTAGCAAAAAGAACTAATGACTCGGCATGTACACTGCTAAATATCTTTAGCGTGTAAAGCAACAATAACAGTCTTCCCTATAATCTTTAGTTTTCTGGTATTGTCATCTTCTGTGATAACATTAGACAATATTCCAGTCTTTCTTGTAGCATTACCGTGTTCCTCAGACCACATAATTGGATTTTATATACGATATATATGTTTAAGATGGTTGTTACATCTAGGGTATACTATAGATACTATCTTTACAGATATATTTGTGCCTTTCTCTCAAGTATTTAGCAATAATTGAAGCAAAGAAATATTAGATAGAAAAGTGGGGTGTGGCTATCTGTACTGCATATCTAATTGTGTCAGGAACTCTTGGTTTATTCCTTTCAGTTTGTGTACGTTCTCTTGAATTTGTGTGCTTTTAAAGACTGCAATAAAAACCAAAATACTTTCCTGAAAAATGCAATAAACTCCGACGTGCAAACAGCTTGGAAAGATCGAGGCTTAAAGAAACTAACTATCAAGCATGTAAAGTAAACATTTTGACATAGTGATTTCCTTCTGAAAGTCTTTACTAAATTCTATAGAATAAAATCAATATTTTTATATATATATAAAGACCTTTCTCTTGTTGTTTTGGTGTATCCTATATTGTTCACTGCTAAGAATTATCCACAGTTTTTGGTATAACATATAAAAATTTAGATATTATTCTTGCAATAGTCAAAACTCTATTAAATTTCTAAGAAAATCAATCAGACATCGACTGTATGTATGTATACCAAGTATGTTTAATACTTTAATAAATTTTAAACGCGTGTGCATTCTGTTTTTTACCCTGAAAACACTTGCTTTCTACCATGAGTGGCTGTTTAAAGGATGCGCGAATCAACATCGAACGTCAGGCTGAATGAGAAAAATAGAAAATTGATCTTTAATGCGCAATGTTCTGACAAACTCATTTCTGCAAGAACATGATGAGAGTTTTATATAAGCTAATGACCTATTCGCATGAGCAGAATTGTAGTTGTTGATGGGAAATAAGGTTTCGCATCGTTGTCGCTCGTCTTTTTCTGTTTTTTTGCGCCCTTTTTTGTTTACTTTTTGCTTTTTTTTCATAGTCTTTAACTCTAGTAGTCACTTGCATATAAAAAAGTCACACATTCCCCCCCCCCCCCACCTTGCTTCTTGTGAATGTGTACGCGTCAGCAATAAAAGAATACAAGAGATGTGTAAAGTGGATGGAAGACTTCATTTACTTTAGTTCTCTTCACTGAAAAGAAACTCGTGAAACTCAACTCCGTTAAAGTACTTCAAGTGACGATTGACGTTCTTTCAAAAAAAAAAGTAAGTGTGTGTGTGTGTGTTAGGTACCACCACACTCATCTGTAATATTTTTTGGAATGAGTTTGAGTTTGACCAAAAAGTACAAGATGATTGTACTAAAGTTCTGAGGATATTTTATAGAGTTAGAAAGCCCAAGAGGAACGAAAGATTTGTAACGACTTTTAAGAGAAAGAAAGATGTAGCAGTTTCTAGCAGAGAGAAATGCCAATAATTTTAAGCTTTTAAAGTGTGATTTATATTAGAGTATAGAATAGAGTTAAAAGTGGTATTATTCTATACATTGTTTCCTCTTTAATATATATAGTATCTTACTTAACTTAGTAACTTGAATCACTAGCTGTTAAAGTGAGTTATTGGGATTAATTTCTATCATAAATTTTGAGTAAACTACTGTATGATACGATTACACACTTCTTTTCTTCTGTTCTTATACTAATATTAGATGTATAAGAATAGCCACTATTATAAGGTATTAACATATTATATTAAATTTCGTACAAATCCTTGAAAGGGCAAATGTGCGTGTCCCCTGACAATCTACATAATTTCATATATTGTAGAGTCAATACAGCATTTAAAGTAAAGTAAAGTAAAGTAAAAAAATAAAATAAATAAATTTAAACCCATAATATAAATACTTTAAAGCGCATGAATAAGTTTTTGTCTTGTCTTGTCTTGTTTGTGTGCACCTGTTAAAAATAAATAAATGTATTATTTTATTTTATTTCCTTTTATATATATAATGTAAAGACAAACCACCTCTTTGATGTAGTTATTAATATTAGTATTATTGTTGTTTGGCAACATTCCTGAGAAAACAAACAAAAATTAGCTGCAAAAAATATTTTTGGTCCTGTCAATATATATCACAGAACTCATTAAAATATCGAGTGAATTGGGCTCCAATAAAACACATTATATAAATAAGCAAAAAAAAGGGGAGGGGGGCTATATAATAAGAAAGCCATTATGCTCAACATCTCATTAATCTTTTATCTTGCTTTAGACATAGACGAATTCATTAATCAACATCAAAAAAGAGTCAAAATAGATAGTATTCATTATACGCCTTTTATATCTATCATTTTCCTCCTCTCTCTTTTTTTTTTTATTCACGTACTTTATTATTTTATTTTATTTTATTTTTTGTTTATTTTTTAAAAACCCGTCGATATATCCTTTCTACATTACCATAATGTCCAACGGAAAAAGAGCCAAAGGATCATTTGACATCGAGGACAATGAGGGCCCATCCTCATCCAATAAGAAGCGTGTGAGATTCAACACAAAGACTCCAGTACAATCTACAGATGATTTCGAGATTGATCATGAAGAGATCCTCGAACCTACAAAGCAGCGCCGTGGTGGAGTCAATGCAGACGCTTACGTGAGTGATGATGAAGAAGTGGATGGTGGTGCATATGGTAGTGAATCGGAAGGAGAAAGCGAGGAAGAAAAGCCAGCCGAGCCTCAGGGTGATGATTATGACATGTTTGCCGACGAAGCACCCGCAGTAGACGCATCGACAAAGAAGAAGAAGAAGAAGTTGGAATTGAACGAGATCGAAGGACAAGAATTCGGTTCACACGATGTCGAAGATCTTGATGATAAAGTACCGGATGGAAAAAAGGAACCGGCAGTCATGGCATTCAATATGCAGCAAGAGATGGAAGAAGGCAGCTTTGATGCCCAAGGAAATTATGTGCCCAACAAAGGCGATCCACAAGCCTTCCACGATCGTTGGATGGAGGGAATTTCTCGAAAGGATATGGTGGCCGCAAGAGAAGCACAGACCAAGAGAGAGGCCAATGAAGCACTCCTGGAGGCTGCAAGACAAGCGGCGATGCCTCAAACACAGAATGAAGTATATCTCGAACTTGTCAATCAATTGAAGCCTGGCCAGAGTGTGCGTGAGGCGCTGTCTACATTGGCAAGCGCTTCTTCAGCCAAAGTTCCTGCATGGAAACAAAAGTTGTTGGATAAGAAGAACAAAAACAAACCAAAAGCCAATCCAAAACAGGCTTTAAGTGAAGAGGAAGAAGCAGAGCGAAAGAAGAAAGTAGAGAGGATCACAGAATTAGCTGATCAGATGATGGCATTGGGTCATTTTGGCATTTATGAAGACACTTTTGAGACCATGATCCGACATTTACGGCGGGAAGGTGTTGTAGGAGAAGACTGGTTACCAAAACAATAAACACATGCATACAAAGGTCTCTCTCTCTCTATAACATAATATATGTATTGTATATATATATATATATACATGTGTGTATGTGTGTGTGTATAACAATGATGGTAAATGGATATATATATACATATATACATATGTATGTATGTATCGTTTAATCAGTCTTTGTGGGCTTGGGGGTCTGTTTTACACCACTTCCCCAGTAGAGGAAGACCTGGATAACGAGAACTGCATTAAGAACACTGGCAAGAACAGTTCCTGTGAGCATCAAAGGATCATCAAGCTCGGTCATGGTGGTGAACACGCGTGCGGTACTTCCGGCAAAGTAATTGATAACAGTAAAGACAGAAAGCTGGCCAGTCGACTTGTTCTTGAAATTTGCAGAGATCTGGGGCACTTTACTGGCCAAGCTCAGAGGAATCGTGGCAGCGTACAGAACAGCCATAATCGAGGCAGGTACCAACTTTTCGCTTGTCAAACAATAGAATATCGAAATAAGAGAGGTGAAAGTCATGACCAAAGCTTCGCGTTTGCCGCTGTACAAAAGAATCAGCAAGGTGATCACGATGTTCTGGAGAGAGATAAAGAAGATCTCGCCAAAGGTGCTGAATGGGTTGCCCTGACGCAAGTTGTAGGCCAAAGTAATCGCATAAGAGAAGGTCTCGAGGAGGTAGGATGACAAGGAGAGACCTTGGGCAGACTTGTTACGGACAATGGTCATGATCTGGGGAATCTTGACAATCGAGCCACCCAGGACAATTCCTAGACCAAGACCTTTGGAGATGGTGTACTTGATGCAAGGTACATCTGTGAGGTTGAGGTTCTCAATGAGCACATCATAACAGGTTTCGCCAATAAGGCCGGTGATGGGTGTACGGAGCACAGCAGGTAAATGCATAGTTTGGCTTTTTAGAATCAATAGAAACAAAAAGGACTAACGATGATAATATTAAGAATAATATAATATAATATAATATAATATAATATAATATAAATAACTAAATAAATAAATAAAAAGGTGAACAGGAAACGCGCTTGCTGTGTATTAAAAATTAAGACTGCGAATTTAGATATATAATTAAATTTGGTATTTTGACTGGATTGATTCGTCTAGAAAATGAGGGGTTCGTTTTCATTCCATCTCAGTTTTTTTTAAAGTAACAAAACCACTAGGGAAAAAAGAAATTCAAGGGCATTTATGCGTATGCGTATGCGTATGAATATGAATATGAATATGAATATGCGTATTTGTATTTGTATTTGTATTTGTATTTGTATTTGCATTCATATGTATACTCGATTGTTTGTTGTTAGTCGCCACAAATATGTTTCATAGGTCATCGAAGTACCCGCATACTCTTAAAGAATGTAGGCTTGTTTTTCTAGAGATAATACAGGGAGTTCGCCCTCTTTATTTTATCCATCAAGGTTTGTGTACGTGTATAATGTTAGTTCCCACGTGATTCCCTGCTTTGTCCTGGACCCTTTTTTTCCTTTTGCTTACTTTTCCTCTCTCTTGTTCTCCTTCTTCTTGTCCCAAAGCTTCTATTTTTTTGTTTGTTTGCTTGGTAATGTCGTACAGGTCGCATGCGATGCTGCCTCAAACAGAGGCATCGCTTCAACACATTCTCCATCACCGTGCACAATACTTACAAGACCGCCTTCAACGCCATCTCCCGCGAAAGCCATTCGTGGTTGGCGTGTCTGGCTGTCAAGGAAGTGGAAAGACGACACTTTGCACTACACTGGAATACCTCTTGAAAGATGTGCCCTATGGACTCAACGTTGTGTCCTTTTCGCTGGACGACGTGTACCTGGATCACAATCAGCAGCAGAGACGCGCAAAAAGCGATCCTGACAATCGACTAGTTCAATTTCGTGGTCAGCCTGGATCCCACGACCTCGACTTGGCGTGTGAGACCTTTGAGACTCTTCTGGAAGACAGCCGCCCGTGCCCGATACCTGCTTACGACAAGAGCGTATTTGGAGGTCTGGGAGACCGAATTGATCCCACTCTTTGGCAAACCACACAGCCGCCTGTGGACATTATTCTGTTTGAAGGATGGTGTCTCGGATTCAAATCATTGCCGGTAGAGGAAGTGTGTGAGCAGTACAGAAAAGCAAAAGAAGATGGTGCTTCCTGGACCGCTCATCCGCTGCAGCACATTCTTGGTCTCAATGAAAGTCTGGCGGCTTACGAGAACACTATCTACAATTATTTCGATATCTTTATTCATCTCTCGCCTGATGACCTACGGAATGTTTACCAATGGCGATTGGAGCAAGAGCACGATTCCATTCGTACTCGAGGTGTTGGTGGACTAAACGATGAGGCTGTGTACACCTTTGTAGACACCTATATGCCCGCATACAGCTTGTATCTTCCTCGTCTGGACTCCATTGGTTTTTATGGATTTACCAACACTGTCCACCCATACGAAGGTAGGGTCCGTGCCGACCATGGTTACAGTGGAACGCAGCGACATCTCAGATTGTTGCTCGATCATGATCGTCGAGTGATTGGACAAACATTGATAAAGGAACACGATCCACAGCAACCTCTGATTTGGGCTGATTATAGTCGGCCATTGCTTTTTTTGGTGGGGATGGTAGGAATGGCAGGACTGATGAGATACTCATGTCTAGGACGAGTATTGGACATTGCTAAAAAGGCTGGTCGTCGGTTTCGAACAGGTGGGATGACGTGATTGAAACTATATATATGTATATGTATATATAGTTTAGATAACCTGTATTTCTGTACTATTTCCGAATTGAGTGATTTGACCACATCATTCTGTGAGTGTGTACCTTTTATAAAGCTATAAATGTTTTGTCAATCGAGAAATGATAAAAGTAAGAAGAAAAGAAAAAAGTAACTGCTAAATAGACTTTTTTTTCACTAATGTTTCTTACATAAAAAAAACCATGGCAATAAATATCAATCATCCAAATAATTAAAGAAAAGAAAGAAAAATTGCATAGGACTTGTAGCAAGTGTTCAAATTTATTATTATTATTATTATTGAGCTCTAATAAGAGTAGCTTCTAAAAAGAATAAGCAGATTTGAGATACTTTGCTTTTAAATCTCAAGCCCATCATATAAACCAAGTCGATATTTGTTTTGGAAGCAAAGAATTGTGCATAGACAACAATTAGATACTTAATTTTGGTACTACTTGAGTCCCACGGCATTCGATTCCATAACCAAAGCTAATGTAAAGCAGCTAGAGTAATTAGATAACTAAATGAATAAAAGATATCAATTAATGTAAAGTTTGGTTATGTAGTATACCCTATAGAAAAAAAATAGGCGATTTTAGTGAATTGTTGCAAGTTTTCCGGGGTTTAAAGTGTCTTGTACTTGAGTTTTAATTAAGCACCAATTTCTCTCTCGCTCTCTTATATTCTACTTTTTTTTTTTACCCCACCATGTTTTTTGCAGCCAAAGCAAAACATCTTTTTCTTAGCCTTTTCAACCCATTACAAAACTAAATACCAAGTTATTCAAATCTAATGGCTTACCAGCGGTAGCTTGGCTGGATCCTAAGCGGTACCCAGGACGGAATTTTTTCATCTTCTTTGAATTCTAGTCAGTCTTTGTCTCAAACGACGACCCTCCTGGAGATCTTCTTCTGCTTGTCTTCTGATACGTCCAATCCGAATGACGCGGGTGAACCTTACAGGTATAGTCCCATCATATCTCAGATTGTTAAGTATATGTCGGAAGTTCAGGACAGCAGCAAGGTCCCGATTCCACAAACGATGCATAACTTCTGACCTGTCCATGTTCTCCAAACAATTTAGATTAGTACATCCAAAAGGACTTGTTTCTATTTTTTTTTCACAAGGTCTAGAATTATTAAATGTCTTTAAAAGGAACACACTTAATAACTATGAAGGCTATTATTAATAAAATACGAATCAGCAAAGTTGACAAAAGAAAGCAATCTGAGAAGAATTGACAGAAAAATATATGCATCAAGTACAATTTGGTTGTCAAGATTGCTCGCATGCTTATTAGAAATCTCGGTAGATTTAGAGAATTGCAAGGAATCTGTCTTCTTGTTTTTCAAAAGTAGGAATGAGACATGACAATGTTAACACAAAGCAGGTTTATACTCTTTAATAAAAAGAATCAATTAAGCAATATACATATCTTCATCAATATCATAGTGCTTAGAGAATAGCGTTTTTTTTAGATAAAAAAATGTAAGAAGTATTACATAAAAATAGATATATGTATATTATTTAGTAACTTTATAGCTTAAACTGCTACTAAATATCATAAAAAATAGTACTTCTTCTTTCCATACTTCTTTATATTCAACTTGTATTTGTTGAACCAATTATAAGAATAGAGATATCTAAAAAAAGGTATAAGTTTGCTACTTTAAACGATTTTATTGGATTAAATAAAAAGTAATTTTAACTCCAATAAATTGTATTCGCTGTAAATACTTTTAATTTACTAAAAGCCAGAATTCTATTGGCAGAAATTACAACTTCGCGACCGTAGGAATTATACGGATTTGTATAAGATATACACGACCGTATAATTCCTACTGTGGCGGAGTTGTAATTTCTGCTATTTACTACAGTGATAGTAAAATATGATGCGTGTGTGTATGTGTGTGTGTACCATCACACCTGTGATCTCGATTACGACATTCAATTTTAGAAAATATATACAAGTTTTCCGCATGCATACACAGCTATATAAATATTTCAAAGACCGTGACATTACTCTCTCGGAATGACGGTATTATTATTATTTGTCTTCTTCTTTTATTGCTATTAAAGACTTAATCGGGTACTGCTAATGAAATGAATATATATTAGAGGATAAGGATTATGAATAATGATCTATTAATTAATGTCAAATAAATCTATTCATTGACTATAGCAAATGAATTGTAGAGGGGCCGGAATTACGGACAAAAGAGAGATGTTGAGAAGGCCAAAGAAGCTTACACAAGAAATGGACCCAAATCAAGATTTGTGACTTGCTCAAACAAAAATATAATAAAGAAAAGTAGATTTTGATCCAAATGAATAATGTGCCCTGTGTATATACAATCAAGAATTTAAAAAAGATATATATATATATATATAAATTATTAAAGGAATAGTTTCCAAGATTAGTCTTTGATCTTAATTCTGATTAATCGTAACTTTTAGGTACAATATTTTTAGATGACTGTGTTGGTTTTGGTTGTTGCTTACCAGGTTTATCATATAAACGTTCATTTGGATTTTTCTTAAAGTTTAAATTTTTTATTTTTTTATTTTATTTTTACAATGACTAACTAAAAAAAAATGAGCACCAAATTCTCTTTATTTGGAAGCCTAAGCTCTATAAATGGAAAAACTATACAAATCTAACGAATAAGTTATGCTCTTGACTGTATGGCCTTTTCTTTATTGGTTTTTGTTTTACGTGCTTGTATATCTAAACAAAAAAAAGAGGAAAAGTTTACCTGTTGACTTTGAGTGTGGAAGGATTGTGTTGAGTATGAATGGTGTGATCGGAAAACCAAAAGTAATTTTTGTTTTTGTTTTATATTCTAAACTCACTATATAGCATATGGATAATTTTATTGGATCGATTTTGATCGGCGATGTATGTTATAATAGGCGAACTAAATGGTTGTCTATTCTTATTCCTTCTTTATTAATTATATTACAAAAACATATAGATATATAATTTCTCTTGGATAGAAAGAAGAAGGTACTGCTGTTGTTCAAAGGCTTTATATTGTATTAAGGACAAGAAAAAGAAGAATAATAATAGTTATAATAAAAGATGCCTTTGTTGTTTATTGTAAAAGTGTACCAAATCAGCCGGGTTTTTCTTGTCGGGGGTTTCATTCCAATGAGCCAATATAAAAAAATAAAAAAATAACAATAACAATAATACTAATCATAGTACCTAATGATAATACTAAACACTAATCGTAATAACTGTTATTTTCTATTGATGACGTGAGTATAAAATAAAATAAAAAATAAAATAAAAATAGAAGAATAATATATGTCTTGAGAGAGAGAGTGATGATTGTAATAACGCAGATAATCAGGTACAGGAACAAAATCGTCTTTCGCTCTCTCTCTCTATTTTTTATATTCTATATATTATACATTATATATATATGTGTGGGGTGTGAATAATTATAAAGTGCCCTTTCTCTTTTTTTTTATATGTATTATTAATTTTATAATACTCTATATACAAACGCACTACAAGACCATACAAAATAGACACACACACACAAAGAGAGATACATATATATTTTATTTTATTTTATTTTATTTTATTTTTTATTGTTTTTTTTTTTTTTTTTTTTTTTTTTTTTAAATTTAAAAAAAAAAAATTTTTGGGAATTTCCCCCCCTTTCCCTTTTAATTTTCCCCCCCCCCCTTCCCCCTAATTTTCTTTAATTAATTAATTTAACGGTCCCCACCATTTTTTTTCTTTCAATTTCTTTCCCTAACTTCTGGTCCGGGAAAAAAACCCTTTCTTTTCAAAAAAACAAAAAAACCCGGGGCCCAAAAAAAAACACCTTTGGGATATAAAGAGAAAAAAATCCTTAAAATTTTTGTTTTTTCTAAAAAACAAACCAAAACCAAAACCAAAAAAGCCCGGCTCACCCAAAAAAGCTCCCCCCCCCCAAAAAATTATCCCCAACAAAAAAAAAATTTACAACCCCCCAAACAAACCAAAAAACCCCGTCAACCCCTTTCGAAATTTTTCAATAACACCGGCAAACCAAAAAGGAGCCCCCCAAACCCCCCGAAAAAGGCCCCGGGAAAAATTGTTTTTCCCAATTTAAAAGGTAACCCGGGGGGCCCAGAAGGGGAAACCAAACCCTTCCAAATTTTTAATAAAAATTTTTTGGTGGAACC